TTGCAATTTTCGATTTGCATTAATCAAACAAAGTCGTAAAAATAATACGAACAGAAATGCTCGCTGCAGACGATAACAGATAAGACCGGGATTTCGATGACAGTCAGCGTGACAAAGAGTGAGGAGCACAAAGCAAACTATCTTAACCTTGGGCGCTTGTAGACACCCACTGGATTGCATTCGGAAAATATCACACGCCGTCGGCAAGGGCAGAAAAAAATACCCAAGATGTTTGTGCATGAGCACTGGAAAAAAAGAGTAAAGAGATACAAAAAAAATATCTTAAAATCTTAAGAAAATTACTTACTTAAGTCTGTAAAACGATTGTTTTGTTTTAAATTGTTTAACATTTTTAAAACTAGATATTTAAAACTTAAATATTTTTTTCCTATATTAGAAGTTTAGACTATTTTCTTTAAATAAAAAGTATCATAAATCTAATCAAAGAGTGATAAAAATTAGTTGTCGCTTCTGTTTGATTTGCAATCAACGCATTTCCAAGATGTTAGTCATCTCAGATTGCCGGAGTTATGTGATATGACAATGCACATTCGAATCGCATATCACGTTTGGCTAATCTAATGGCGCCTCTCTGCCATTGATAAATAAAGTGACTCACTTGAATGGAATACGCTATTAATTCGAGTTGAAGCACCGAGCATAAGCGGAGTATCCAACTCAGAAATCAGAAATCCAAAGACAAACACCGGCAGTTTTTCCTTACACCGCCCCTTTTTGGGCTTATCGGCTTTATCACTGCCGCATTGTTTGGATTCACACGCCCCCAACAGAAAGGGGGAAAACACAACAAAGGCAAACAAACAAACAAACAAAACAACAAGCTGAAAATATGCACAGCGAGAAATACTTGATGAGAGCGGGACAAATTTACATAGAATCGCAGCACAAATATTTGCATAACATTTTGACAGTTTCGTGAAAAACATGCCAAGAGGTGGTCCCAAACAATCACACCAACAATAACCGTATAGCTATAGCTATATCCATAGGAATAACAATAACAATAACAGTAAAAATAACAATATAGATAGTAACAGGAGCGGAAAAGGCGGTAGGAAACATTAGTGTCAACAACTCCCGACGACGTCATCTGTCACAAACTGTTGACGCATCTCCATCACGTGCACCGTGGAAAGTTTGGCTTTGCGTTTGGGTTACGCTGCCATCGAGATGAGGAATTTATCAGAAAACGCCAGCAGATTGTAAATCGGCAGTAAAGCAGGGGTTTTCGGAATGGGAGCAGATAAGGCGAAGATTTAAGGAGGTCAAGCTGGCTAACCTTGATCGTATATTGCCTAGATAATGTCTTTGATAATGAAGATCAAAATTATAAGAATTGTATAAGAAAAAGTAAGTGGGGTGTAGTGGGTTTTAAACTGTTAAAAGTTGTCAAATTTATACGAGAATATCTTTTTAGATCCCAAACAGCTTGAATTATTTTATTAATAATATTCTAGGAAATTATTTAAATATATGTAAGCATAGGTATGCATATACACATCATAGAGAAATATTAGTCAAGCTAAACGTTTTGCTGATTGCTCATCGTCTTTATATGTAGGCAATAAAATAAATATCCCATTAAATAAATCTGCTAAAGTCTAGTGGATTTGTGAATGCATAGAAGATGTTTGTCTAGACCATTTATTTGGGAAACTCTGTGTGTGAAAACATGAAATAAATATTTTTGTAACCACACGAGCATGCGGTAATTATTGGCACTTTATTACACTCATGACAAATAAATATGAGCTTGTACTTATGTTGACAAATTGCCATTCAGGATATAATTAAGTACCTTCAAACCCGAATTCATACACTGCGGTAAAAGATTCCCATTAATTTACGACTTTGCCTTATCTTAAACGGCAGCTGCGGAATTAGCGTTTTAATTACCACCCGCATTAGCCAAAAAAACGAAACAGTGGCAACAGCTGACTCGGTGATAAGCCAACTGCCAAGACAGCGTTTTCGGGGGGCATTAGTCAGAGGAACGTGAGAAAGTCTGGCCCGGTGATAAGAATAATGCGAGTATAATGCCGATTCGGGAGGTTGGAGATCGCCGATCTGGTTTGGCACAACAGCTGGGCGCACAGAAGCCAAAAAAAGCGAGAAAAAAAAAAAGAAAAGCGAGACGGGCAAAAAAGAAAAAAGGGAAATGAAAATAGAGCAGCGGCAAACAAAGAAAGCCAGCCAAATAAACAAAACAAATGCGCTATAAAAAAGAGGTAGACAGAATAGAACTGAGAACCGAGAACCGAGAATCGAGAATCGAGCAGAGATCCGCAGCGAAGTGAAGTGAAGCGAATTTGTTGGCATTTAGCGGCCGAAACTGAGGCAACAACGACAATTGATGCCGATGATCTTCGCTCACTTGACTTAATTAAACGCAACAGTCTGCCGTCTGCCGTCTGTCGTCTGCTGACTATGGGTAAAAATAATACATGTGAAAGGGGAAGTTCAAATCGCCCGAAAGGGGCGTGTTAGCTATATAGAGTATATCTGTGGGGTCGGAAGACTACCGCTTATCGCTTATCTAAGCGAGATTACCAGATTTCAACTCCCCCTATGAAAATGCGCTTTATTCTGGATTCAGGCAGCTTCCATTTGCTACTCGGTTAGGAGATTTTCCCCCTCTTCACACAAAACACAAAACGAAATGCTTCTTGTTATTGCTGCTGTCTCTCTATTTGCTTGAGTTGTCAGCGCCAGCGACAAAAACGTGGAAAGTCAGCGCTTCAAAGGAAATCACATTGCGTATACGCAATGTGCAAATAAACAAGACGACAACGCGAAAAAAACCAGAAGGGAAGGGAAGGGAAGGGTAGGGAAGACAAGAATATCGCAAACAAACATGGAAAAATCGACATCGACCAAATGGCGACAACGTTGCTGCTATTTTGCCTAGTTTTATTAGTTCTGCCGGCATTTTGGCCACACGTGCCAGCCATCCATTCAGCCATCTCCCATATAGCCATCCCATATAGCCATCTATTTAGACCCATTTCCATCCCATTTTCCCTCGGCCAACTCACAAATCGCGAAAATCTTTTTGCACAGCCTACATATTCTTTGACTTTCCCGTCTTGTGTTTTGCGAAAAGCAACGACATCATTCGCCAGTTTGTTGCTGTTTTATTCGAAATGAATCGGAAAATGTTTCCCATGTTTGCTTGGCTATTGGAACTTTGGTTTATGCTGGCATATCGAATTTCCTATTGGAATGTCTTCAAAAATGCTTTTAAATGTTTCTTGTTTTATTTTACTTTGCATATTTCTATTGATTCAATATTATACACACAAATTTCAGTAGCAATCATATAAGTTATCAGTAAACCTTTTAAACTGCAAGAGTTACATATGAATTTGAATCCCACTTGAATTGTTAGCTCATTGACTATCTTAATGCGAACAACCTGAACCTGTTGTCGAATCGCTGGCGTTATCACACCGATAAGGGCCAATTGCATTTCACCTCAATGACAACTGCCATTGCCTAGGACAACACGGCGTATGCGCAATGCCCGCTGAAACTACCAACGTAAATGGGACACACACTTATCTCGCAGACGCAATCATGCAAATATTATCAGAGCATTAAGTGAAGTGAATTGAATTGAAGTGTCACTCCGTTGCCCCCGAAAGAGACGCGTGCTCGAATCGTAAACTTTTATCCAGACAAATAAGATAGTGAGTGTCGGGGGATATAGTACCTAAATATCACAGTACAATATAGAGTATGTGCCTGCGCACTCGTAGTATTTGTTTATGGCCCGATAAATCAGCTGGGACGTCGGAAACTCTACGCAAGAGAATCCAGCAGTGACACAATGTCGCGAGCCAATAAAAATGAATCAAAAATAATCAAATAAATAACACTCGAACGCATTCGAAATCATAAATAACCGAGTGGTCGGTCGTCGGGTAAGGAGGGAAATTTATATGAATTTTATTTTTTTGGAAAAACTTCCGCTGACAGCGGCAGCATCTCAGCATCTCGGCATCTCTTGGCAAATGTGGGTCACTCGCCGAGCTGCCAAAATAAATTGTCTTATTCGTTTTCCACTCGCTGCGAGTATTGGAAGATTATACAAATAACATATATACTCGTACATATATCCCCGCCGACTTTTGAGGGAGAAATAATAGGCGAAAAGTGCATTTCACACTGCACTGAGTTGGGTTAAACCCAAAGGGAATAATGATCCCACTGGTAATGACTATGTAAATTGTTGTCTGCCGAACGTGAATATATATATATATAGTATATAGTCACTGAATTCGCAGGCAATTTGACCCGGCAGATGGCGCCAGTCGGCGTGTCGCATGCAATTCCGCTGATTAATTCAATGCAATGCGACTTCATTTTCGCCCGACGACCTGAGCAATAACCACATGTTCACAGTTTTTTTTTACCTTCCCCACCACCTCTCCCTCCCCCTACCACCTCCCCCGCCTCCTTTCGCCGGTTATTACCCGCTTTTCTTGATGGATTTGCATGAATCATTGGCGGCAGCGTCACGCTCGAGAAGAAAAGCGCGCCGGGGCCGAAAATGAAATGCAAAAATATTATTTGAAATATGAAAAGTTATTTTAATGCTCCCTGTCGCTGTGCTGTCTGTGTGCTAAATTGGGGAGCAGGCAACGAGGCGACAACGACGACAGTTTTCCTCCGTTTTCCTTCGCTTTCCTCCTCGTTTTCCTCCTCGTTTTCTTTGGCAGCGCTTCCTTCCACAGGCGGCACTTGCGCCAGACTTTTCCGGAAGCGCGTCGCGACATCAGCCTTTTTGACGTAGGCCCTGCCCCAAAAGTTGTTGACGCACTCGACGACGCAACGCGCACCACAGGGCCAACAGAAAGAAAGGCCAATGAGCCCGGCTGGAGGCTATCCGATTTCAGTTCGATTCCTTTATCCTTTGGCTCCCAATCAATTGACATTGACAAATCAAAAGGGTATGGCAATATTGAATAGTACAGAGAAAAAAATTTAATATGCTTTTATAACGAGCAATTTATATTAATTATATATAAATATATGGGTTTCATATTAAATATTTGTGTATAAATTTAAAGCCAAATGTACACGGCAATTTTCTATTTCGTAGGCGATTAAATTTTAAAAAGATATTACTGCCAACCTTTTTAAATTTTGTCAGATCTTTTTGTTGTGGTGGTTGGCATACGGCGTTCATTCTGTTTTCGCTCCTCCCTCTGCTTCAGGATAATTAGTAAACGGCGGAAGATGTTCAGCACATCTAAGAACAGGTCCATTGCATGCTGCACTACATCTCGGTTTCCATTCCGGCACTTCACTACTATGTTTTGGGTGTCGTAGACGATGAAAGCAGCAAACACAAAAAGGCTGACGTAAAGTTCAGTCACTTCCACGAAGTAGGACTTAAATACCATATTTAAGAGACTCAGTAGGGCCATGGTAGCAATGACGCTGGCCAACATTCCGCCGAGATAAAGATATTTCCCCTGCTTGGATAGCAGAGCAACCAAAGATAGCGAAATGAAGATGGCAAAGGTGCCGGTGAGAGCCGAAAGAATTATGGCCGGATTAATGCTGCATATATTGTCAATCGGTCCAAGAGTCTGTCCGGAGCAAAATCCAAGGGCATACAGCATACTCAATCGTGTGTAGTAGTTCTTTCCGTTGTCCTTGTAGAAGATAAGACCCAGGACCAGGATCAAAGCGGCCACTACCGCCAGAGCCCCCAGATCGAGGAAGTCACGCATCTGGAGCAAGGCTCCCATCGCAGTGGCGGCGGCAGTGCTGCCCAGGACCATGTACACCTTAGACAGGTGTTTGCGCACGTACGGCTCATAACGGCCGAGGCCGTTCCTGCACGTCTGGACTCGTTCATGGATATGGTTCGCAGTCCTTGCCATTATGGTCTTTTTTTTTTTTTTTTACTTGCTTTTCCAATTTATCAGTTATCAGTTGCTTGTCGATCAAACGGAGGAGTGAATGTGAACTAAAAGGTGTAAAGTTTTGAAGCTGACTTTTGATATTATCGGCCTACTTGAGCAAAGCTGTCTTTTCTTCGTTTTCTTTTATGTATTTCACAAAATTTTCTTCACTTTCGATATATTATATATGATCATACTTTTGAGGAATAGAAGATACACACTTCTTATAAAGTTTTTTAGTTTATCTTGATTTATCATTCTGCTTACAAAATCTAAATATTGATGAAGTATACGAAATGTTAAGCTGTTTTTTTTCTGTGCAGCCAAAAAGACCAATGTCCCGAACAAAAAGCACATATTTTTAAGCGCATAATTAAGTCATAATAATAACAAGAGCGATGGAGGTGGCGGGTAAGCGGGAATCGGGAACCGGGCAATATGATATGCCAATTTTTGCTGGCTGAACCGAACTGAACACACGCAAAAGGCAAATAAAAATGTTCATCTTATTATTCTGGCTGGGATTTCTGGTTAAATCAAAGCGGTAACCGCTGAGGGGCATTTTCGGATGGGAAGGTAAATGGGAAAGGGGGAGGAGGAGGGGGGTTTGAATTGTAAAGTAGGAGCTCTGTTTTCATGACAATTGTCAACTTGTTTTGCGTGTGCCCGTGTGTTGGGTGCCTTCAATTCTTAATCGCCTTGTGTGGAGCCGTGGACACTTGTGAGTTGACGTTTCGGATCTCATCCACACAGATACGCACACACACCGCGACAGCGTGACACACAGATACACACGCTCACAAAGGCGGCTCACAATTTGGGAGCGTGAGAAAGTGGCGCGCACAATTAAAATGCTGCTTTATGGCCCGACGCTGGGCCAAACATAAATTATAAACAATAATTTATCTTTAAATATACTCAAAATGTTATAGAATAAATACACCTATATGAACATTTACACTGGGAACAAAAAACTGTCAAAGAAGCTATGATAATTTTATAAAAGAGAAAAAAAGTGATTAAAAAGCATTTAATATATTTTGAGCATGTTAAAATTCATAACTTAAGTTTAAAATTATGCTAAAGACTTTTTACAAATTAGAAAAGTCATCCTTGCATATCGCTTTCGCTCAGTGTACATTGTCAAATATAAAATCACACTCTGTATGTATTTATACATATATCCATATGGACAGCTCCGTCTGGCCACGCGATCCTCATCGCATAAATTAACATTTGCCGGGCATTAAATCAACGCAGACTTTGTAGACTGCTTGGAACTGCCTCGCCCTCATCGGATATAGATAGATATAGTACATTTCGTATTCCTTGCCAATTGCATAACGATCGGGGGTGTTTTTCTTCTCTTCTATTTTTTTCGCTGCTGTGGATGTGCACTTTTTCCTGCCACCCACCGTCGTCGGCCGAAGAAGAACCGAAATAGATCCACCGATCGATGAATGATCATGATCACCGCTGGTGAGTCACTTGGACAGCGCACGCAGGTCTCAATTAGCATGTGACGAGCACTTAGGCAACCCGGCCCCGCCCCCCAAACCCCACTAAAACCCGCCCCCGCCCACCAGACACGTGATATGTCGGCTAATTTAAGCATCGCCGGCGGGGGAGTGGCAAATCGCGCCATTCGCAAGAAGCGACACAAGTTTCATTGCCAATTTGTCGGCATTGATGAGTCAGTCTGTTGTGACTCTTTGGCATAGAATTGGGTAACTTATAGAAAATACCGCAGGCGGGGGCGAATCCATTGACAAAGTCTGCAAAAAAAAGGGAAACGTGATGGAGGTTGGGAGAAGTCATAAAAATAAGCCTGTAGATAGGAATTTTCTATTTAATCAGCTGGTATAATATTATGTCACGAAATGTGATTGCATTTAGCTTAACTACATTTCAAGGGACTAAAATGTTACTTAACAAAATCAGGTGCAATCTAAGTTAGATAATAGCTTTATAAATCGAATTCCATTTCATTGCGTTGTCAACGCAACTGCAGCAATTTTCCGCGCGTAAATCTTTCCACCTTCAAAAAAGTGCCAGACAAAAGAAAATTTTTAACGATCTCCAGGCAATTTAGACTCAACAAGTTCAAAACAGACGCGACGACGATAAAGAAAAAAAAACACAAGAGAAAATTCTCCTGGAATGCGAATTATTTCTAGTTCGCTATTTTGTTTACGGCTGTCTGCGAATCATTTAAAGTCCATAATGGCAGGTGGAAAATTTCCCAATTATCCCATCGGCTAATTTGTTAATGCTTTCGATCGATTGAAGATTGGATGGGGTGGAAATCACCGGAAAGTGAAATGCATGGCCTAATGTTCTGCCTGGTCTTTCTTACAGCACAGAACGCATCGATCACGTCGATCACCTCGATGCCGAACAACACCATCATCGAACATGGAAGGGAGCTGAGGATCGTGTGCAAGGTGTCGGGTCAGCCGCCCCCGAAGGTCACCTGGTTCAAGGACGACAAGTCCATCAATCGCAAGCGCAACGTTTACCAATTCAAGCATCACAAGTGAGTACAATCGAGGGGGTTTTCAATCAAGTAATATATCTAAAATCTTGCTTTTCCTTTTATTATCATTTGCAGAAGACGTTCCGAGCTGATCGTGCGCTCCTTCAATAGTTCCTCCGATGCGGGCAAGTACGAGTGCCGGGCCAAGAACAAAGCCAGCAAGACGATCTTCAAGCGCCGCATCATGATCAAGGCCTCTGCAGGTGAGTCTACATATAAGTTCCCCTTTTTAATTTGCTTTTTGATCTGGGGGAACACCCACGGGTGTTCGCTGTTGCAACAAACAACGCCATGTCGATGTTATGTTGTCGACCGTTTCGGAATGCTCCAATTCGTTTCTAATTTACGACTGCCTATACAAATTTTATTTATTTTAATACACGAAATCCTTGTAAATCAAATTATTTCGACCGATCGTTTCAGTTACCTTTCCGTTGGACCAGTCGCGCAGCTCGGGCACCCCCTGTCACTTCAACGAATACTGCTTCCACGGCGGCACCTGTATGATGATCACGGACCTCAACGAGGTCTTCTGCAAGTGAGTATTGCCCTTAAAGTATATACTATATGATATATCAGCATAGGAATACAACTAGCTCTCATGATAACTAGCCTTATAAAAGTTGTAGTTTTCTTATTAAAATAGTATATGCATATTAATTTATTAAAATAATATATTTTTTGAATTGGGATATACCATTTCTTTGTATTTATCACACACACTTCGTCTTCTCCTGAAATGATTACTATTCTTTTTTTTCTGTGCATTCGTTGCATCCTGTCACAAATCCGGAGCTAGACTCCTAGAAAACGAACCCCAAACTCAAGTGGTTCCCTTGATAAACCACTCTCATGTGACAGCTGATAAGACGCCTCCGTCGACCCCCGTCTAAATATATATCTTGTAATATTTTGGCATCGCATTACACGCTCGGAACCGGAGAAATCCGGAGGAGGAGCGCAATTAAAAGGCCACAAATTTCGTGGCCGGAGGGGAGAGAACTCCACAAAGGCTTGTGGGGAGACTTGCAGCCGTGTGTGTATGCAATGTGAATAATGTCTTTCAGCGCCTCGTTTTATCTGGCGGTACGAGTGTGCACACGCAAACCGATTCGATTCGATTCGATACGATACAATAAGATACGATACGATCCGATGGGATCCCAAAAAAGCGCATTTCACTCGCTACCCTTGCGATGATCTCCTCTGCTTTTTCTACTTTCTTGTGGAGGAGTGTGGGGCGAAATCAATTTCCAATGCGATGCCATAAACTGGCCAACCACCCACCCTCCCACCGCCGCACTTTCCCTTTGCTAAAAATCTCTTCATGCCACACACTTAATTTGTTTGTTCTTTTGTTTATATATTTGACCGGATCGGCGAGTGGTCAGGCGAATACTGCACCGCGGTTCATGGCCATTTTCGGCACTTGTGTTTATATGTACCCCATATAGAGTATATTATAATATAAATATCGAATATGAAACACGATTTGTACTAATTGAACTCTCTCCATATATTCTTGTCTGTCTTTCAGTTGCCCGACCGACTTCTTCGGCAAACGTTGCGAGAACAGTAGGCCCGACAGTAGGTACAGCAATAGTAATCCCGAACCATGCCAAAATTATCATGGAGGTTATTACTGCTAAAATAGGCACTTCTATAGCATCGATTGTTTTACGTCGAGTCAAACGCGAGTTATGCAAAAACACAAAACCGATATAAAAACCGCAAACGAAACCGAAACCGAAACTGAATCAAATCAAGCAAACCGAACTCAGTGCCCATACCAAAATAATAATGAATAATAACATAACATAAAATAACTAAACAGATCTACAGAGTAATACAAGCTAAAAATAGAGAAAAGCAATAGCGAAATTCCTATTGCACATTTCACAGCTATCCTTCCACATAGAAACTTTCTGCAGATCAGCTGAAAATGAAAAAGAGAAAGTGAAATAAACCAAATATAGTTGTTAAAGCGACACACCCGCACACCCAATCACACAGACAGAAAGTACAAATACAGTATGTATGAAGAATCGGACCCCAAACTTACCATAACTCCAGCCAACAACCTACCTATTCACACTCCACACACGCACACCCCCGGCAATCAGTCACTTTGAAAACGACGGACTAAAAGTTTTATTAGAGAACACATTCCAAAAAGAAACAAAGTAAAGTCTTAAAAACGAAAACAAAGAGTAAACAAAACAAATAACTAACCAAGTTGTTCATAATATTTATCATTTTGTTAACTAAAATCACGTTAAGAGCAATCATTTAAAGCGAGAATATAATCAAATAAATACGAATAAAAACAAAGGGTGCTATAGAAGGTTTATTTTAAATAGTGTTTACATAGGAACTTAATTTAATTTCAACTCACTCATCACAACCACACCAACCAACACCACAAGTAAATGTAATAAACAGCAAAACAAAACAAAATTATTAAGCAACTCGGACGGACGGACGGACAAGAGGACTTCCGGACGGACAACAGGACAACAGGACAACCGGACATCTGGACAAAAGGGGTAATCCCCCCATTCAGTACTGAGAAACTTGTCGAATCCTTTGGCTCAGCCCACGTTTACTTACCACCACACACAATATGAATATCCAGATTTACGATAACAATCAACAGAGGCTCTCTTAAGTTAGATACACGAATATCCACACGCATAAACGATGGCGAGATCGCCAAAAAAAAAAAAAGAAACACTCACCCACAAAAGGCAATGTACTGACTAAACAATTGAAACGGGAACTGAATTTTGTTTTGTTTTCGATGTAATTTTTGTAGTTTGCAAATATTAAAAACAAACCACATTCAACTACTCTCCAACGAATAACCCATTATACTTTATGAATTGCAATTAATTTTAATTACTACTCGTTATTAGACATTAACACTTGGCTGTAGATTTTGACAAACCAAAAAAAACAACGGAAAGAACCCAATTCAAATCAAACAAACCAACAATTTCATTCTGCTCCTTGTTTACTTTTATTTGGTGATTGTTTTTTTTTTTTTTGTAATTTTTCTTTTGACTAATCTCCTGCGTTTCCAATTTGGGTAACTCTGTTCACTATTACTTCCTTAGTTTGTGCTCGTCTCCTTAAAAAATTCCACAGCAAACAGGGAGAAAGATCTTGAGCTAGAATTAACTAAAAGCACTTATTTCCAAGTTGTTCTTGCTGAAGACCTTCTCTTCAACATCCTCTGCATGGAATTCTTTCCTTCAAGAGCGCTATTTGATGCTTGTAGTTGCCCCTAATTGTGGAAATGGTGTTAGCCAGCTTTTAGTTAACAGTAAATGAAGAACTGAAAGATTAATTTTTAATTTTATTTATAATTTAATCTCTTCACAGATATTTTGTTGCAATCTACGGCCAAATACATACCTTAAATAACGACTATTAATGCATAGAATTTTGTTTCATTATTTTTATGATTTTATAAACAAAACGAAAAACAAAAAATCGAAACTCCCTGCACTCCAAAACGTCGACAATTGTAATTTTTTACGTTTCTAAAAAATTAGAGAATTTGTTGCACCAGCAGACCAAGCCCAAAACCCACCACCGTTCTCAAAGTTTGCAACTACAAAAAAGAAAAAAAAACAAATCCGAAAACGAAAACATTTCAAAATGCAAAAGATTCCCCCAGCCCAGAGTTCCTTCTCCCCGAGCGAAAAGTTCCAGATCCAGACTGACTTTAGCTACGTTTGTTTTTGTGCACGGTGACAGAATATTTTAAATGTATAAATATGAGAAAAAGAAATTGAACAGAATTTTAATTTATTTATTGTACGAATGAAAAAATCGAAGATTGAAGTTTGAAGTTCAAAGTTCGAGTGAAAAGCATTACCGATTCGACCCTGACTCTGACACTGTTGCGCTTTTGTTGTTGTATCATAGACAATACTTTTAAAATGAGAACAAAGGTTGACGTAGCCGAGAACTTTGTAATAAATCCTGTAAATAGCTCTCGTTTTAACTAACGATAAGTTTTGTGTACATTTCAACTAAGTTAATGCAAGCCCTTCTTTAACCATAATTTATTGTATTTAATTACACCTAAATTAAACGTAACTTTAGCTTTAAGCTCACACACACCCCACACACACACACACACACAAACACTATAAAGCTACTTTATTTCGAAATACTATTTTATTTGTCCTCGTTTTTGATTTGCGTAATTTTAACACCGAAATATGTAAAATGGCAAATTAGTTATTTTTTCGCAATGTGTATGTTGACATCAGTTTGTATGGCTAGGCGTAAAGGCAAGAAAGTGCGTAGAGATTATTTTTAGTTATTTTAAGTGGCAAATTTTTTATATATTTAATTATTGAAAGATTTATACCAAAAATACCATGTAAAGTTTAATTATAATTTAAAACAAAGCATTAAACAAACAAAAACGAAAAAAAAACAAAAACAAACAAAACGATGCGTAAGAAAAAAATTTAATTAAAAACTTGCAAATAATTCACATTTTACAAAAAAAAAAAAACCGATTGCTTTTTGATTTGGTCTGATTTTCTGTTCTTCTGTGGCTTCTTCTACTTCGTTTATGATTTAATATGATTTAAGGTTTTCCCCTATCTTCCATCTGCTTTGCTGTTATTTTCCACACACCAAAAACAAATCAGAGGGCAGCCACCAAAGCTCTGAAAAACCGAGCCAGGTCCTGGATCATTTAAATTTTCTGGGTCCATGCTTATTTTGGCTAAATCAATGTATCGTTTTGGTCTCTCGACAGGCGGCCCATTCTTCAGCATTCGATGAACCGGAGGAATCTTCTTTAGGCCAGAAAACACGCAGAATTTATCTTGCGCGCAGAAATGGATCTCATGCTTAGTTTTAGTTTACACGAGGATGGCCAATAAAATTCTGAATTTGTTGCAATCAACAGCTAGCGTGTTTTCATTACTATTTTTTAAGGTTTCCTTGTCGTTAAACTATAACTCGGATTTGAATTTCCCGCCACCATACGGTTTTACTGGCAGCACTGGTATAGCTGCCAGCCCTGGTCTGGTCACATATCTGGCAACTCTTCTTTAGTGAGTTTCCGGTATTTATCGATAGTTTCAGGACTGCCAACTCCTTCGGGGAGCCGATAGTATTAAAAAATATATCTATTTTTAGTTCCATCTCCAATATCCACTACTTTAAAAATAGCGGCAATTATTCGCAAATTCTTCTTTAAATATCCTAAAAGATTTCTCATTAATTATAAACCATCATGTCAACGGCTCAGGCAACCAAGAACTGCATTACACTTAAAGGTTCCGCTCAGATTATCGTGGAATATCTGAGTAAGTAACTGGAAAGCTTTTTAGAAGCCCGCCTTCAATGGCGTCTCCTTTGTTTTTTTTTTTACAAAACAGAATATGGAATCAATTCTATACTTTTCCAACGTGGCATTTATCCTGCGGAAGATTTTGACAATACACAGCAATATGGATTGACTATTCTGATGTCCAAGGATCCCAAGATACAGACGTTTCTGCAAAATGTACTTAGTCAAACTGAAGGTAACTAGTCGGAAATAAAAACCGAATCCTTTAATACTATATGTTATCCATAGAATGGCTGGCAAAGAACATGATCAACAAGATCTCTATGGTCATCACAAATGCCCACACCAAAGAGGTCTTAGAATGCTGGGATTTCAAGATGCAGGCCGAATTGGGCGACGGCGACACCAGTGATATCAGCAAAGTGACCACCAGCAAGGAGTTGAGTCGTATTCAAAACGAAATTCGCGATGTTATGCGACAGATTTCGGCCACTGTGAGCTATTTACCACTGCTCGATTGCATCTGCACTTTCGACGTGATGATCCATACACTTCAGAACACCGAGCTACCCGCCAAATGGGATGAAACGGGTGCGATAATCATTCAGAACGCCCAGGCCGTTCAGCTGCGGTCCTTCTCCACAGGTTTACATAAGGTGGACACTGTGGTCAACTACAAGATGAGTTCCTAGTTGCATAGCCTAGAAACTCGAATCGGTTTAAATATTTATTCCTTTTTTATATTTACAATAGTGCGTAACGAACGTAACGTATTTGAGAGTTGCATTAAAAGCCAGTTGTGAAAAGCTAACAGTTGCTAAAGTACATAGTTTGGTAGACCGCTGGTCGTTGCTTTTTGTCGTTTCAAATGCCATCTGGGGAACGAAACAAAGAGAAATGAGACACGTTAGTGGGGCGAAACCGATAGGCGTTTGCTGGGAGAGAGCTACCTATCCTAAGCAGCGCTTAGTCGTCAAGTCTGCGTGACAGTCCCAGATCTCTAGTCTGTACCGAAGTATTTCTGTCCGAAGTGATTCGGGGCCACCGGATGAAGCTCGGAGGTTAGGATCTTCAGCTTGGGAAAAGCATTCACCACAGTCCTAGCAGCCATGGGTGTGCAAAACAGATTTGACAGGATGATACAGCTCTCCGGCACTCCGTGTTCCCTTAGTACATTGACCGCCTGCAGTACAGTGTTTCCAGTGGACATAATGGGGTACATTAGCAGCACCTGCCTGCTGCCAATGTCATCCGGAAAGCGGGCATAAACCACTCGAGCTTCATGTGTGTTGGCATCCGACTCCACAAGGATCTTGCCAATTCGAATGGAGCGACAGCAATCCCGCAATCCCTGCTCCATGGCTTCACCAGATCGGATGATGGACACACCACAGTTGCCGGAACGATACTTCAGGCCCTCGTATATGGCACCCGTGGGCGTCTCCACATCGCAGTGCGTGTAGGGCAGCTGGTTGAGAGACTCCTCAATGACAAGGCGAATCAGTCGGTCGGCGTAGAACTTAAAGTCGCTGCGGGTCGTATTTCTGGGAATGTGGATGGGGGAAAAGCTGTGTAGTAGCCAAGACTGATGACCCACTTTCGTGAGGCACCTACTTGTCGCGCAGGATGGTCAGCAGCTCGGCCACCTGTGAATTGCACTCGAGGAGCTTTAGATTGCTGCCGTATTCGGCCAGGATTTCTTCCGATGTGGCAGCGGGTACAACTGCGTGGGTGGGTGTTCGCAGCTGTTGCTCCGTTTCCTGGTTTTCCTGCTGAGGCTGTTGATCCGAGGAGCTGCTGCCCTCCTCCGACTGGGAGCCATTGCTGCTTGGTGAGCCGGTACACATAATTCGGTCTTCTAATGTTATTATTTCCTATATAAATAAATAAGTTAAAAATTTCTACGTTGCCTTTGTTGATCTAACGCGTGCCTCTAAATTAGAGTGGCCGTAATTCCTGAAACCCTGGGGTTAATGGCGATGCCATCCGTTGCAATTTTAAAATATGTTCGTTACTGTTGATTTGTTTTTTAAATTGACCAATTCCCAAAGTGGGAGGATCCTGAATTCATTCCGCCTGGGTTTCAAGGTGCTTTCACAAGAAAGGTATGGGAAAACCCCGCTAAGTACCAAGTATGCAATTAAGTCGACCTTTTGTGTGGGATTCGAAATTGTTTTTACCTGAAATTGTATCCGACGGATTAAGCAGGTAGATTTCTTTCCACACTTGCTAAATATTCGCAGATACTTCTTACTTTTGAATACAAAAACTACAGTTCAAGGATTGACAAGGAATGACATTGGTTTAATAATTTGCATTTTTTTTTGTTATTTCCGGATGTTTTCAAAAATACAAAAGCCAAGTATTAATATGAAAATAATACAATTTACGAACCGTCACAAATTTCAGTATTTTTACCCACATAATATTGTGCATTATTAATTTTTAAATAACAAAAATTCGTCCTTTAGACTGACCGAAGTTTCGCGCCCTACAAATAGGGCTGCCACGGATTGAGCTCTTCAATAGACGGTCCCACTGGCCACGCCACTAGAACCGTTCGAAACTATCGATTCCTTACGCTCGCTCGGCCACACTAACCTTACCTCGTGGTGGTGTTCACTCAAACAAAGAAAAAGTGCATTTTAATTACTGATTACTGCATTGCCATTAGGCGTTCGCGAACAATTGCGTATTTTGCGGATCACCGAATTTGAGGGCGCGCGTGGGCAGGGCTAAAATCGCCGTGTGCGTACGTGTGTGTGTGGGTGCGTGGTGCGTGCGTCGCAGTGTTGGTGCGTGTGTGTCCCCCAGTGTGTGTGTATTTGTATTGCCATTAACTAATAAACAATAACCTTCGGGCCACGAAAGCTACAAAATCGCCACTGCTGTTCCAACTGAACCAGCTGAGGAGAAGAAAACAAGAAAATAAGACTAAATATATAACGCTTCCGCCCCGCGAGAGGAGCGCCCAGTTCAGGAGCGGATTAGCGGCGGTCCACACACACACACAGAATGGCGGACGTGAGCGATCCCAGCGAGCTGTTCGACTTGGAGCTCCACGAGGACGACAAAGTCCAGGACTCCGACGACGACAGGATCGAACTGGACGACGTAAGTTAATATCCCCTTTCCTCCTTGCAAACTGCGCAGCAACAATTTCCCACACACACAAGCATACATTCAGTCGGTTGGTCGAAATTTCCCTCTTTGTTTACCTTTTCTGCTTTGTCTGCCAGTTTTCCTTTCAATTGTCTGGGCATCCCAATCGCACACCCCCTTCTCATATATACGATATATATCCATCCACACACCCTGCAAAACTCGGCTTATCTGCTGCGCAAATGTCTGGCGTCATCCGCAGCCGCCGATTATTCAGCACGTACATTCATTATACGGAAAGTTCCCCACGATCCAACAAAAATTGAACCTCCTTATGAAACATCAACCATCGAACCCAATCGAAATAGTGTCCTTCAAAATAATCAGCACCAATTGCCCGCCACACTTCGTGCATATGGTAACCCCCTCTTTTGCGCCCCTCATTCCGACTCAGTCCAAAAATGCAACAACTGCGAAGGTGGTGGGGAAAAGAGACAGAGGCTGACGAAACGAACGCCGACTCGCTCCCACCCTTGGAAGAGTCTAAACTTCCACTTAGAAAACGAAATTCCTTATCAGCGTACAATATAAAATTAGAAAATGAGAAAAACCTCACCGCGCTGATAAGGGAGGCACAACAAAATGTTGAAAAGCAAGCAGGCGATCGAGTGATCGTGCCAAAGTGTAATATTTAGGGTGCTCCATAGAACCATTTGTAAATGCACTTTAGCCTTCAAAAGTACACGGAAATAATGTATAATACTTACAGATTTATTCATTAAAAATAATAGATATCATAATAAATTTTATATTAGAATTACTGTGTGCGATCAGTTTATAGCTCGAGTAATGACTAAATTAATATGCCTTCGTAGTAATTTACCCCACATGAACTTACATCATCAATTCAGCATGTTTTATTTTTTGAATGTATATAAACATACATACATTTTGCACATGAGTGTGAAAATAAACACACAAACATTTTACATAGTTTTATTTCCTTAAAGTGTTATGCAATAATAATGCAGTTGTTACTATATAAAATAATATCTTTAACATATTAGTATCCAAATGGCTAAAGATTTGCATGCCTTTCGGCAGTAATTCAATACCAGACGGACTTGCATCGTTGATTTGCCATTTTACATGTTTATGATAATGAAGAAATGCGATTTTGGCTAGGGAAAATAAACCATTTGCTTTATTAATTAAGTCATGCTCTAAAAACATGATTTTATTTAGATAAATGTAGCTATCAAGTCTAAGTCTCTGATAGTTTATTAGTATATGTTTAATGTTTTAAATCAAGAATTAAGAATTAAAAAATGTTATAACAGATCTTAATATAGTTTAATTTTCTTCCGTGTGTTTCCGTGAAATTTATAGCACCCTTTGTAACTTTGTATGCTCACTCTCGGGGAATTACATACCTAGAGAGCACTTTTTAAGTGTCCGTTCTTATCATATCGCCCCCCTTTTGACGTTTAGTCGATTGTAATTTACGCAAGCGCGCACACCCCTTACTTCTCCTATCTATTGAATTTGTGTGAGCGCTATAAATTATGATGGATTCGTTAATTGGAATTCACCGCCAACGCTGACGAGGTGAACCAGTTTTTAATGTGCTGCGCGACGAGATGTCGAGATGCCGATCTCAATGCTTTTGCCGCCATTCAATTGAACTTTAGTCAAAAATGTTCTAAACAAATTTTAGGCATGACGAGAGCGGCGGCTGCTTGCTGATTCCTCTGATTCTTCTGACGCCCCTAACTGTGGCCTTCCCCCGGTTGGAGCCACGGCACCGGGGGTCAGGAGATGGATCCGACGGAACGGAGGAACAGCGCCAGCATCGCCGGCAGATTATTTGGCATTGTTCCGAGTTCTAAATTTAGTTTGTCATTAAAGAAAAGGTGTGTGTGCGTGCGGAAAATATATGTCTGAACGCTCTCCTCTCTTTCTCTCTGTGTAAATATCTCGGTGTGAGTGGGCAGATCGAAACGGGGGAGAAATCCACTGGCGTTACAGGCTCCAAAGGCGGCCAGTACCCAACCTCCATGACCCAAGACCGAGCCCCCTTTCATTTCCCGACACGTTGTCTTCATTCATCGGAATATTCCTCTGCTTAAAATATATGCTGAAAGTAGGGTAACAACAAATGAGGATTTGGGTTGTACGGCCTAAATGGTCAGAAAAATGCAACACTTATAAATAAATATTATAGCTTTTCAATTTGTGTTATTAAACATTGTTTTGTTTCGAACTAAACCAGTTTGTGTTGTTTTAAGCGTGTTTTAGTGTTCCCATTCTTCATATTCATAAGGAATTAATAAGGAACAGGTGTTCGGCACCAGTTCGAATTTATTTAAAATTACAGTTTGAATATTAATGTTATTTGGTTATTTCTGGGTTACCGATTATGCACTTCACTTTAATAATATTTTGTTTGCAAAACATTTTTTAGTGAAGTGTTGTTAAAACGATATTTTTGTATAAGTAAATTATATATTTATATTTGTAGATAATTTGTATCATTTTATCCCTTAAATATTTCACTAACTTATCCCTAAAACATTATGTCAGAGCATTGTGTGTTCGTCAATGCCTTTTGCTGTGTAACTTTCCCTTCTGCTGTTCGGTCTCAAGTTCGCTATAACTATGATTAATTGTTGGTTTTTTCACAAGTATTCCGCTGGCAGTTATGCTCCCAAGTAAGCGCCATCTCACTCACGCTCTTTTTTCTCGTTTGCAGGTTGACCTAGAACCGGAATTGTGTATTAATCTGCACCAAGAGTGAGTAATGCCAGAGTTATGTCGGAACATTGGAGGACGTGACTGTGATTTACTCGGAATGCGGGGGAGATAAGGGGTCAGTCTGGATGGAGCTTTCTCACCAAACCAGCTGAGCAGATAAAAACGGATAAAGCTGGGGAAATGAGCAGCCTAATTGCCAATTATCAGTTCGGACTTGTTTACAGACTGGGAACGCCGGCAATGTTAACATCTGATTGATTTGGCTTACAGTCTGATCCTCCCGACCAGACGCACTGCACCTGCTCCGGACTCCGGACGATGGTGATAAGGGACCAATAGACGGACGGACGAACGAACTGGACACAGAAGTGTTTACAACTGCTATTGACTACCAACAAGCTGTCACTCGGCCCCTGGCCGCCTCTTCAATGAGCCAGCTAGTTCGGTGTGTAAACAAGACTCACGGCAAACACTCGACGGCAATAATGGGAGAGGAGCTGGTTGCACGGGGGGGCGGAATGGGGGAAGGTAGGGAGGGTGGGAGGAGGAGCCGGCCAGAATGAAGGTGACGATTGGCGCGTGCACGCCATGGGATTTATTTATAGCACGTGGGCTGCTCCTTTCCCACGCTAGACGACACAGACGCAAGCACCAACGAGCAAAAGACAACAATTAAATCAGTCCCCTAACCCCGATACCCAATTCCCTATTCCCAATTAACAGCACTGAGGGCCAGGAGACCATACAGCTCTGCGAGGAGAATGTTAATCCCGGCAAAATCAAGCTAGGACCCAAGGACTTTGAGCTCAAGAAGGTCCTCGGAAAAGGTGGCTATGGCAAAGTATTTCAGGTATGCAATATTCTCCGCTTCAAGATCACCGATCACTAATTAATATTCTGCGTTTTCAGGTGCGCAAGACCGCTGGACGAGATGCCAACAAATATTTTGCCATGAAAGTGCTCAAAAAGGCGTCCATAGTGACCAACCAAAAGGACACAGCGCACACTCGCGCCGAGCGCAACATACTCGAGGCAGTCAAGGTGCGGTTGGAGAAGGATAATTGCCTTGTTGCCCATCTTAACTATATTTTTCGCTCCCCCCTTAGCATCCCTTCATAGTGGAGCTGGTCTACGCCTTTCAAACAGATGGAAAATTATACCTTATACTTGAATATTTGAGCGGCGGCGAGCTGTTCATGCATTTGGAGCGCGAGGGCATCTTCTTGGAGGATACCACATGGTAGCTACTAAATGACAGGGAAATTATCCAGCCACACGCTAATTTATGTCGTTTGTTTGCAGCTTCTATCTAAGCGAAATCATTTTGGCCCTGGGCCATCTACACACACTAGGCATCATCTATCGCGATCTGAAGCCCGAGAACATATTGCTCGATGCACAGGGACATGTGAAGCTCACTGACTTCGGTCTGTGCAAGGAGCACATACAAGAGGGTATTGTCACCCACACCTTCTGCGGCACAATTGAGTACATGTGCGTGGGCCCACCAGCCTTTTAGTTTATTTTTTCCCATGGAGTTGAGTGAATTTTATCCTGATGTTGTATTGCTTTGCTTTTTAGGGCACCTGAAATCTTGACCAGAAGTGGCCATGGCAAAGCAGTCGACTGGTGGTCACTGGGCGCTCTCATGTTCGACATGCTCACAGGAGTCGTAAGTGCACAGCTATGAAGCTATTGAAATCCTACTAAAATATCTGATTTTGATTAGCCACCCTTCACCGCCGAGAACCGAAAGAAGACCATCGAGACCATTCTGAAAGCCAAGCTTAATCTGCCAGCCTACCTCACGCCCGAAGCCAGGGATCTGGTGCGTCGCCTAATGAAGCGTCAGGAACCCCAGCGCCTTGGCAGCGGACCCGAGGATGCGTTGGCCGTCCAAAAACATCCGTTCTTTAAGCACGTCAACTGGGACGATGTCCTAGCCAGGCACCTCGAACCGCCTATAAAACCGCTCCTGGTAAATACAAATAAAATGGTTAAAGCTTTTACATGCTTGAGTACTAATCGTTGCTTGTTTCAATTCAACAGAGAAGCGAGGACGATGTCTCACAATTCGACACGAGATTCACAAGACAAATTCCAGTGGATTCACCTGATGATACGACGCTAAGCGAAAGTGCCAATTTAATTTTCCAAGTGAGTGCAGACATGATAATAAGGGGTTGGCAAAAAAAGAAAATTGGCTCTCTAGTATGTGATCTTGTAGTTTATAATTAAACCAATTCCGTTTGGTGAAAAGGAATAGCTTTAATAGGTAAATTTTTTCCTGTTTTCGGAATAGAAAAATTTTTTTTAATATCGCTTTGTTTTTAATCTTTAGGGGATCTTTTTGGGAGGTTTTCACAATAAATACTTTACTAAACATTAGGCTAAGTATAGGGAGAGGACCATGTTTCGACCAAGTCCTCAACGATAGTCAGCACCGCACTGAAAGTGTGGTTCTTTAAGGGGTATTCCCGTGGGTCCGTCCGTAAACTCGCAGAAATTTAGACCGATCCGACGGAAAGGATGGCAATTGCTCTTCGGATTGCCCCACTTTCCGCGGTAAGTGAGCCAATCGGGAACCAGTGATCGACCTTTAGAAAATAATTTAGTTTAATTTTAAATAAATACAGAACCAAAGAAAGAAATCCATTGACGTCACTCACCATACGATCTCAGATTCTCGTAGCTTATGTCCACATCCTTCCAAGTGTTCCAGGGCGTTCCAAATCCATTAATATCGTAAAGGCGTGCCACTTTAACGAATCTATGCTTTCCTGGCGCTGTCCACAGACCATGAGAACCCTTGGCGGCAAATAGAACAGGGTGATTTTTGAACGTGGTCACCGTTTTGGGAAAGTTTGGCCGCTGTAGGATTCCCTTGCGTGTCTCCTGGCGGCGGAACTCAAAGGAGCCTGTCAGTCTGTTGTAGCTGTAATAGGCACCCGCATCGTGAGCGGACACATACATGGCCTGCGGTTCGGCGTCTCCGTTGAAATAAAGGCTCATGTGTTCCCAGTCGCCCACATGGCTGCCGATATCCTTTCGATTGCCCAGACAATATCCGTAAACAGCGGGAAATGGAATCCTTCCAAGGGGACCCAAGCTTACCGTGCACATGGTTTTGCCCTGACTGTAGGGATAAAACATCCAGTAGGTTACATGGAAGCCCGGCAAGTGGCCCTTCCCAGGGTTTGCTTCCTGTTCAGGCGACTGTCCAATACTGTTATCCTCGAGATTGTCATCGGCATCGGTGCCACCGCTGAACTTGACATTGTCCGCTAAGTTGGCAATAAAATTATTTACTGGAACGCCTGGTTCCGGGTCAGGCTCTGGTTCTGGATTGGATTCCATTTGAGTTGGCTTTTGAGTTGGTTCCATTACCAGTTCCTCGTACTCATTCAGTGGGTTGTACTTCGGAGCAGGCGCTTCCCGCTTAACTCGCTGGAACAGAGGAAACAATCTGGAGGATCTCCGAATAGTATCATTGCGTTCCTCGAGGGGATCAATGGAGACCGGAATATAAGTGTTTCGTGTGCTGACAGGTGGAGGAGCTGGCACTTCCGGTACCCTCTTGGAGGGACACAAGGTGACCACTCCATAAATGGGCACCGGTTTCTCGTTGGGATTGCGTCCATACAGAAAAGATTTATCGTTCTCCAGCAGTTCCTGAACCTCATTGTTTGTGACCAGGTGTGACTTAGTTGAGTACTCTCTGAAGGGAACTCCCGGGCGAAAGCTGCTGTCTTTGTCCATGGGATGGACATACTGAAGAAACTCCTCCACGCCCAGTGGCATGAATTTCTCCTCGGGCGCCAGCCACACGATCGGTGCCCATTGCTTGATCAGGCGCTCGACTGCAATGAGATGGAAAGATAATTTCGATTAGCACGGTTCGCGTTGGCTTTAATTAGCGTCCCCTCCCCCTGAAACCACATGGAATTATCCAACTTGTTCGGGCATTGGCCTCCCGCCTCTCGCCCCACCTTTCTTTGACTCTAGACTAGCTCTGATTTTCGTTTTTTTCTTTCTTTTCAATTGCAAGTATAATAAATTTCACTTTCACACTTGAAGAGCGGCCATCAAGTCAAATTGGCTAGGTGCTGCCTGCTCCTCTTTCCCTTACAGCCGGCCCAAAAAAATCAAGTCGGTAGCGCGGTAATGTTTGTTATGGCTAATTCGCAAAATTTAACGCCACCCGAGGTGAGCTTTAACTACTCTTCCGTCCCACAACCGCTGTTCCATATAAATACGCACTTGGAGACGACTGATGAGGCGACTCCCTGGCCATAAACGAGTGCCAAACTATGAAGTCGTTCAACTAAATCGTGACGGAAATTTCTCTTGGCCGCACCAACAAAACATGGGAAGAGTAAATAACGAAGGAAAGTGGCATTACGCTGCCCTAAATCGTAACATAATCGTTCTACGTTTGTAGGGTAATTTATGACTGGACAGATAAGCAATTCAGCTTTTAAACAAAAAGACTTTTAAAAAGGGAATGTGGCAAAAAAAAAACATTTTCATAATATTTTCCTCTGAATTATCAGTAATTATTGCAAGCCACATAAACAATGCTGTAATATTTTAGGTTTATTAGCAATGCCCATTGTTTTCAAAACTGATGCTCTTTATCTTTTATTGCCTACATTTAAACAAACAAAATTATTACCCCATTGAACCTAACTTTTGCAAGCATTTCTTTATAAATTTGGTAGTTCATCGATTGGCAATATCCATTGTTGCCGCTGCTCTTTGTTGTTGTTGTTGTTGTTTTGGTTGATGCATACCTACTTCTTTATCTAATGACGATATGTGTGCATATTGCATGGGTGGTTGTTGCTGCTGCTGCTGTTCGAAGGAATTTGCAACTACAGCTTCATTGTTTTGGATGTTGGCATTGCTGCTGCTGCTGCTGCTGCTGCTGGTGTTGTCGATGAAAGTGGTGGCGACACCATCTGAAGTTGAAGTTGCATTCAAGAGTCTGATGTTGCTGCTGGCAGGCGACGTTGCTGCTGTTGTCGCAGCAACACTTGCCGGCAGCAATGGCTGCTGCTGTTGCTGCTGCATCAGCAATTTCTGTTGCTGCAGCACTAGCAGATGTGGTTGCTGTTGCTGCTGCAACATTTGATGTGGTTGTTGTGCCTGCTGCGCTGCGGTAAAAAGCAGCGCTGCCAGAAAATGCAGCAACGAAAGTGAATTTATTTTCAACTGCTTGGACATTTTGCCACTATGATTTTCTTTTATACGTTTTTTTCTTCTTCTTTTTTTTTTTTTAGCTGCCACTCTTGGTTAGTGTTTATTTATTGGTCCGCTTGGTTGTTTGGCTTTTGGTTTTTGCCCACGAGTCACGAACAAAGCGTGGCTTTTGTGTTATCGGCTCGACGGCGTTGTTATTTTTTTCACACAGACCAACCGTTTGCCAATTTTTGTCACAGATTTCTTACACATTTTTCGTTTATTGTGGTTAGTTAGCGCATTTATATTGCCTTTATTTAGGGTGCTTATGTTGCGTAATGTAATGTAGTTTACTTAACAAATTTATCACTTCCGTACGCCGACAGTTTGAGCAGCACTGCGGTACGCTCGTTCTTGTCCCAGTTTTTGATGTTGGCGAGAAAGACTCAAAGAGTTTGAGTGGATCGTGCACGTGCACGCATGCGCTCTGAGTTTCTCTCGGCTTTCAGCTGGTCTCGTTGCCCTTCAACTGGTTTTGGGTCTACCAACTGGTAATCCCGATAGCCCTGAACCACCGATGACAATGCACGTTGGCCCAGAATCAATGTCAACGCATTGTGGTCGTTGGTCGTTGGTCGGTGGTCGGTGAAATGCGGCTATTTTGGCCAAACGACTGGCAATCGATGGCTTGCAAAAATCAAAATGCTTATGAGCTGTGCGTCTAGGCCTTTCTCCAGTTTGGATTTTCTACCACGAGGCACGAAAGTCGCCTTGTCTTGGGTTTGTTTTCTTTCTTATTTTGCTTTTTGACCGAGACTCGAATCGCTTGCTTGGGTGTCCGAACGCTTTGAGCGTTTCTGTGAGACTGGCGATGAGTGCAGCCAAAGTGGCCAAGTCGGTGGCTATGGCTCGATGTTTTGGCCTGCTCGACTTGCTCTGACTGTCTCTTTGTGTGCTGCATTTTAAGCCAATTGCGCACCAGTCGCCTTCTACTCTCTTTCTTGGTGGATTTGGGTGTTTTATTTGTTTACAAACATCTGAGTTAGTTTAGACCGGGTCGGACCGAGTCGAACGACCCTTTCTTTGGTCGCTTTTGTGCGGCGTTTTGGCGCTCGTTAAGCTGTGTAAAGTTTGTTTTGCTTTTGGATGGCCTTATGGGATTAGTGGGCTAAATGCAAAGGTAAATATTGCCTAATTAGGGTTTTGAAGTCTTTGGGCAGAAGAAATTATTCACCTGTAAAGCTTTCGGGTTTAAACAAGTTTAGTTCAAAATTCAGAAGCTTTCTAGGTGGCATATAAACCAAAATTTTAAATTACATTTTCGGAAAAAAAAAAATTAAAACAAGGAAATTGGTTTATTAATTTATAATAACTATGGTTTATGCATCTGTAAATTTTTTGGTAAATGTATTCATTCCATGTAAAAAAAATTTTGTTTAAAAGCCAAACCAGTTTTTTATAATTCCATGACCTTTGCATAGATTAAAGAAAAAAGTTATGGGAATCTATCTAAGATTATACCTTGACAGAAACTGCTCACCATTTGCCATTATGTTTTAGCAGTAGTTTGAGAACGACTGCTTCTTTCGGTTATCTCATCTGAAGTTTGCTAATTGCTTAATGATGCGTGTCCAATCATCGCGTGAGAAGTCAATTTCAAGGTTTCTAAGTCCGTACCGAGAAGCGGATTCATTTCGCACCTGATCGAGGCCCAAACTGGGATTCAATTAGAACTCCATTATGGATAATGGAAAACTTTCTCAACGCTGCGCCTGCCCGCTCGTCGCACCTCGAATTGTTGCGCCTTAGTGGGTCAGCGCTCGATCGCAGTTCCAATTAACGCATCGCGGCGCTCTCACGTACATTTCACCTGGCAGCGACAGGTGCCGCTACCCCGTTCTGCTCCCTTCTCCCCCGTCCGAAGCTTTAGGCCCCGGAACTCCACCTCTCAATCCGGCGTCACGCATTCATGTCCAGCCTCCGTGCCGCGGGAATTTACACAGACGCACACACGGCAGCCGGCGGCTTTTAATTATTTTATTGCATTTGTCGGTGGATTTCGTCAAGACATACTATATATATTTAATTAATGTCTCGCTCTCTCACTTCGCGGCGGGTCTGGAAAATTATGTAAAAAGTGTGTTACATGGAGCACAGCTTAGCCAGCCGACTTGCATAATCCCTGGTGGGGGGCAATATTAGTATTCAAGACGGGAATCGGATCGAACAGAGCTGGACTACCGAGTGCGGTGTACTGGGTTGCCCGATCCGATTTCAATTGCGCACACACTCGGTCGAGCAAGTGGGTCAGGGATTTTGGGGGATACAGTCTAAATAGCAAGCAACTCAAGGTTTTAATTTTTTGCGTTTTTTTTTTTCGCAGGGTTTCACCTACGTAGCGCCCTCGATACTGGAGGACATGCATCGGGCCAACCGGATGCCGGCACGCTCCCCGCGACGTACGCCTCGTCAGCTGCCGGAGAGCAGCTTCCGGCTCCAGTTCCCATCGGCCAATGTGGGCGCCAACGCCCCCATGTCGATGCACGGTCATCCGCAGCGATCCGGGATGCACGGATTTGCACGGGCCACGCCGCCCCATCTCATGCAGACGTTCGCGCCGCGACCCTCACCGGCCCAGGACGAGATGATGGACGTGCAGCAGGGTCTGCCGATGGTCTAAGGGCTGGAGCGGTCGCTTCCCCATCCATCCCATCCCATCCCGTCCCATCCACCATCAGCAATGAACCCCGCTTCCTTCTCCCCAAACAAAAAAAAAAACAACAAACAGAAATTGACAGTTACTATTATGACGTATGTGGAGTGTGGACTTGGTTAAGGATACGGATTGAGCAGGACGATCACCAGGAGGAGGCAGATCAGCAGGAGGAGGAGCACAGGACCTCTGTGTGCAGAATTGTTTTTGTTAAAGAGAGCACGCACGGATCGTGCTGTTTGAATGATTATGATTACGATAATTGAGAGAGTTGAGAGTCGAGGCAGATGAGAAGATGATTGTGCTACGCCGAGAGGAGCGTTCGTTTTTGGATACACCTAGATACTACAGTTAGAGAGACATCCACATAAACATATGCTTTAGCTATTACTATATATACACACACACAAACACACCTAGAATGATGGTAGGCGAGATCGCAACACCCGCAACCCTTATCCCCGACCCAAAACTTATCCATCGTGTTTATGTATAAATATTATACTTACACTTATGTTTTAAATAGGCGAAAAGGTTTACACAATTTAGTTCAAATGTACACGCAACACTTTTTTTCTTTTTTACACTTATTTAACTCCAATCGAAGCAGACAGCAGACCGTTTATACTACGAAGAAAGTTCTGTATTCGCAAGATAGCTCGATATATAAGAAATCTTTTGGGCTAATGGTTCAGAAGTTTAGTATGAAGCACAGCCAATCAAATCAAGTATATTTACTCTGATTGAAGAGTTCTTTAAAGCTTATTTTAATTGTTGTCGAACAGTTTTCCAATTGTTTTTGTCATTTCAAACACCTTCGGTAGGCATATAGTGACGTTAGTTTATAGGGACAACTGCAGCGTAGCCAACAACACAAACTTAAATGAAATGTAAATTATATAAACTAAACTAGAACATTAAAGAATAAACTATAAAATAAAGTATATAAAGTATCAGGTTTCCCAGCTCGATTATAAAAGGTGGCCCGACCTTGGGCTTAACTTGCTCGCATAGCCAATTTGTATTCATAACCACCCCCAGAAGATTCTCCTTCTTTCGTAGTCAGCCCCAAGAATTGGTCTAATTCGATTTCGGTTGCATTTCTGAATTCAAGCTACTAAAACAAAAAAAAAAGAATGGAACAAATTAATACCGCGTACTGAGAAGCTAAACGCTGCCACAACAATAAACCCAAAAAGGGAGAAATAAAAATGTATACAATCGATTTATGTACTTTGATTATATTCCGTTTCAGTTTTCAGTCTGATTTATATTTTTTGTATTTGCCTATGGAATGAGAAAATAGAAAACGTCTACAGAAATAAAACAAAAAAAATACGATGTCAAATATAATCAAAAGGTGCTTTGAATTGTTTAAAAAGACAAGACAACTACACAAATAAAACGGAATAGAAAACATAAAAACTATGGAAAACGAAAGCGACTAAAACCTAAATACTTATAACGGTTATGTGTATAAAGAATATTTATATAAACAAAAAGTAAATACCTCAAAAGCAATTATTTTTGTTACAAGCAGCTAAAAAAAAGTGTGCGATGCAAATAAAGAACTTAACAAAATGATAAACTACCAACTAAAGTACAGAAACAAAAAACTATTAACAAAATAAATCGAGAAATTAGGAAACAGAATATATAAATACATATATTTTTTTCATTGTAAACTTATTTCTTTGTGTTTGGTTTTGTTTACTGCTAAATGTATTTTATATTTAATTAAACAATCATTTTTTATATGTAAGAAAAGAAAAAGAAAAACCGAAACAACAACCAAAAATGAAACTGTTTTCATTTGTGGAAGGAAATATCTTATTTTCATTGTTAGTAGACATAGCAGAGCAGCAATATGCTAAAGCCAAGAAATATGTAAAAACAAGAAAAGAAAAAAACAAAAAAGAAAACCGAACGGAAACGGATGAGAATAACTATCGAACAAATACCCCAAAAAAATGATGAAACACTGCCTACACACAAGAGGAAACAAGAAGTAACAAAAGAAAATGAAAACTAGCAACAAATTATTACCAACTACAATAAACAAAACAAATCGCAAGTAAATGAATTTAAACCAGACCCAAGACCAAGGGCGAAACCAAACACCAGAAACACTAAATGCAGAGAGTTACAGAATTTCGTAGATAGCCAAGTTAACCAATTGAAACAGATCCTCCAGCACAGATCGATCGATCGATTGAAAGATCAGGGGTTATGTCACCAAGGTTCAGCACCAATAACTGAGTTCAGGCCAAGAGCCCAAAACTGTATAGTCCAGCTAATTGAGCCGCGTAATTAACCGATTCCGCATTGTACTTATCCCCGTGGGGCGATGACTAGGAAGTAGAGATAAAGCCAGAATAGAATTTCAAAGTTCACTGTTAATAAACCATAAACGAAAACAACACACACTGAAAGACAGCGAGACAACACAAGGCTTAATTATAGTTATTTTGTAGGAACTACTGTCCTAAAGGGGGCGTGGCCGAATCTGTTGACGGCCAACTTAAGCGGGCCTAATTGCATACCAAAATAACCGAGTCGAAAAATAGTTCTGGACGAGCTGCCATAAGCCATAAGATCGTTGAAGCCAAACGAAACCCGAAACACGGAAATCCAAAACAAAGAGCGAAACATTATAACGTCAACATCCAGAGATCCTAGTTAATTAAATTGTACATTTCTATCATTTAGCTGTAAGCGCAGTGCGTATATACGACTATGTGGATATAAAAGATGTATATGGCAATTGTGTATCGTAATATATTAAAACTTAATTTTACAAAAAACAAAAACTACGTTTAGAATCACTCGAAAGCTTTGGGAGCTTTCAAGCTGACTCGATTTGTGGGAATTTCTTGTCTGAAGTCAGCGTTTGGGGGCTTGTCAGCGCTTCTCAAACTGTCCGGTTTTATTTTCGTTATAGTTTGAGAATAACTACATTCTGATGATGACCAACTACCACGTTTTATTAGATTAAAAATATGTTCCAGACAAAATTTCTTTAAGTTTTTATGTTTTTTTTTCCCTAAATTTCTATTTAGAAATGCTTTTAATTTCGCAAATATCTGTTAAGCCTTCAAATTTCTTACTCATAACCAAAACCAATCATTGACAGTTCTTTATTTTTAGTCGCTCCCACTTGCGCACGCAAATGCAATTGATTAGCATAATTAATGCCAAAAACTTTGCAATAAAGTAAAAAGTACGAGGGAGCAGCTCAAGTCAAAAAAGAAAGGCGCAAAAGCGAAAGTATGTTAGCATAAATCGATCAAGGAGGAGCCGCTGGCTCAAGGGGACTCCCCCTTTCGTAAACTTATTTATAGACATGCCGTAAGACGGGACCGCAAGGAGCAAGGTGCTGCAGGAGCAGCTGGCGGAGCCGCTGGCGACTCCTTCGGCGGATTTGAGCTCTGTGTGCCCAATTGGACTGACTGCCAGGTGACACACGGCACAAGCGCATTGGACAAGCACATGCACACGGACGGATGGAACTGGTACACTTAAAGAAATCATAAATATATTAAAATGGGTCGTTAAATACTATATAAGGAAAAAAGCTTATTGTTCAGATTTATGTATATTTTTTTTAAACATTTTTAGTTTAGATTTTGAATATAAAATAATATATAAATATTTATCCATTTAGATCTGAACTTAGGGAAACCTTAGTTAAATTTCTACAGGCATATATCTTGACTATTAGGTTAAATACTATATTTGGGTACAGTGTATGTTAGGGGTAATCGGTGGGGGGATAAGCAGCAACATAACAATAAATACCGCTAGGCAACCGTAAATTCCCTAGCATGAATCGATTTAACGAAGCCCGTGGGAGAGGAGGGTACTCCACTCAGGTCGCCAGCGATTCTCCTCCGACTCCGGCTGAGATTCCGAGCCAGGCAGCCAGCCAGCCAGGTACATAGAATTTCCTGCCCGGTCTCGAGAAGTGTGCCAGGTGGGGACAATCGAGTGTAGAGATTTTCCAGTGACAGTTACTCCTTTTACCACGAGCTTCTAATTGAATTCCCTTTCTTACGCAACCATAATCCACATAATCCCATATTAGCCAGCAAGATGTTGCCCAATCTGAAGTCGCGCCGCATCACGGGCCTCCAGCTGGCCGGAAAGCATTTGGGTCCGGTGGCCAAGTGTCCACCCAGATATTCCGAGGAGGACTGGGACTATAACAACAAGATCAAGTTTCGGATCACCTGCGACCAGGAAAAGTTGGCCGAACGCATAGTGGAGTGAGTATATCGGGTGGAAAATGCAGGATTCCTGTTAGCGGATTCAAGTTGGTGACCCCATTTTATCCAGAGAATCGCGTCGCGTGGTGGACGAGACCAAGGACACCACCAAGAACTGGCAGCGCGAGGTGGAGCATCACATGCGCGAGCGGACAAGTGAAATCCGTTTCCTGGTGGACGAGTTGAACAGGCAGAAGAAGACCGCAGCTCTCGAGGATGAGGCCCTGAACACCTATCGCAATCGGGTACTGAACTGCATTGAGTTCCTGAAGGAAAAGTCCCTGGCCATTTGCAAGCAGTGCCTGATCCTTCGTGAAGGAAGAATCGGAGTGGACCTCTGCGATGATGAGGTGGACCGTTCACTCCGACGCGAACTCAAGGTGATTAAAGGTTGTCAGGGATTGGCCGATGCCGCTCTCAAGGAGGCAGAGGAGCAAATCCGCAAATTGCGCGCTGCCATTTATCTGCTGGATCAGGATCTGGCCGCCAAGGATAAGTCGCTGGCCATCGACGAGAAGAACTTGAAGCTCAAGGACTTCCAGCATGACCTCGGCAAGGGATCCGATTTGTCCAAGCAGCACTGGTAGGTTTATGAAGAACGGGTCTTCTTAAATCACAATGGCTTTTATTGGATAGGTTCAGATTTCTTAAAAAAGTTAAACACTTTTTTATTTTATTTGTAGCTCAAATTAATTAACTTTAAAATAAGATTTCGTATTTTGAATGCTTGTGGTTATCCTAAATTTTGTTATTAAGTTTTATCAAACTTTTAATTTTTTACCTTATAATTTTTGAATTAAAAATGATTGGATTTGGTTTAGGTTTTTAGAGAGAGGCTTGAGGAAGGTCAAATATGAAAACAAAAAAAAGTTTCTCGTTAGAAATGGCCTAATAATTTTCCCCAAAAGTGATATATTTGCACCCATATAAATCGACCTGATTGTTGCCATGACTCCGTGACTTTCCCTATGCACAATACTCATCCCCTTCGCTTTCAGCCAATTCTCGCTGACCGAGTGGCAGGCGCAGACGTACGAGAATCTGGAGGCCAACGCCAAGGCCCTGGTTTCCGCGGGCCAACTGAGGGCCTACATCGATCTATTGCTGAAGCAGGTGTGCGAGGACATGCAGAACCAGACGGACAGGACCAACGAGGCCTTCGAGCGGAGGATCGCGGAGACGAAGCACGTGAAGCAGTGCCTGGAGAACAAGCACAAGGACACGATGGACCACATCCATCAGGTGCAGCGCAACATGACCGAGCTGGAGAAGGAGATGATGGACAAGCAGCGGGCCATCACCCTGTGCCAGACGCGGCTCAGCAATCGTGCCCACCGTCCCGGATTGGAGTTGACCTGCGACATGGTCCAGGATGCACTCTACAACGAGCTGCAGGCCCTGAAGGCATCCGTCTGCAAGCTCAACCAGAAGCTGAACGAGAACAAGGCCTCCATGCGATACCTGATGCACGTGCAGGTGATGCAGGAGGAGGAGATCAACATCAAGGCGAACACCTGCAAGATCGACGAGGTCGACTGCATGACCCTGCGACAGGCCCTCAAATATCAAACCTTTTAGTCCGGGCAGCACTACTTCCAAGTACCGCACACCCCAGTAGTCGCCATCAGCGTCCTGCACGCAGAACAGCCACCATTAATCAAATTAGATGCATGTGCATTTCGTGTTCGATCCCAAATTACTTAATAAATTGAAATTCACTTTCGATTTCCAGTTACCAAAATATGGAGTTTTTGATGATGGGAATTTCGATTTTAAAATTAAAACTTTTCTCTAAAATAAGAAAAACAAAATCAAAACAGAGACTATTTCAAAAATATTCAAAAGTTATATAAACACAACTAACTCACATTCTAGTAATATTTGAATTTTCATTTGAATTATTTGTACTTTGGTATATACCGCCACAACTCGATAAGCGATAAATGTTTATCGAAAGTGTGAACGCAAATATGGGGGAGTGGAGTGAAAAGTGTTACCGTACGATTGTGAAAATCCCAAGTGTGACCGCAACGCAGCTCCCACAACGAAATGATATTGATGAAGCCTGACAAAACCTAGAAAATCAACAGAAAACCTTAATTAATGTTAAGTTAAAAGTGTAGAAACCTGAGATTAAGGTGAGTGTCAGTCCACGCTGTAAATTTTTAGCACCAATATGTCCCAGTGCGGTGTCCGATGGCGGGAGCTTTGCGCCTCTGCTGCCGCCGCCGCTGCCGCACACGATAAAAAATGGAGTACAGCCACGAATGGCAAATCAATAATGCGGCACTCCGGTAGTTTTCGCAACTGCAATTAGTCCTTTTCCATTCTTTTCCACTTTTACTTGCAGTGCAAGGATGTCGAAACGGAGCGCCGACGACGCCAGCGGCAGCAGCTGTTTGGTGGCTGCCGCAGCCGCCGGTCAACCGCCCATCAAGAAGGTTCACTTCGAGCCGCATCTAATTGGGCCGGTGTCCACGCTGGAGGAGATGGACATCAAGGTGCTGGAGTTTCAGAACAAGAAGCTCGCTCAGCGCATTGATCAGCGGATGCGAACAGAGGCGGAACTTCGCTACCGCATTGAGCAGCTTGAGAAGCGGCAAACGCAGGACGATGCCGTCCTAAATGTTGTTAATCGGCATTGGAATCAACTGAATGAGGACATCCGTGTGCTGCTGCAGCGCTTCGATGCCGAGACGGCCGACGAGTTGGAGAACCGGAACGAGAATGAGGTTACCACCTCCTTCCTCACCCAGCTGTCCACCTGGGACAAGGAGGAGCTGGACGAGAAACTGGCCAACCGCGTCCAGGTGTCCAGAAGGGCGGTGGCCAAGATCGTGCAGGTTATTGATAGGATAATGCAACGCAATGAGAAGATAACTCATGTATTGAAAGGTGATACTCTGGCTACAGCTGGGTCCGGATCGGGGGCGGCCGGCGAAGAGGAGCAGCAGTCCGGCGATGCGGAGACCACGGCAGCCGCGGCGGGTGTTTATGCTCTGGAGGAGACGCTTAAGCAGACGCACATCGAGATCATGAGCGAGAACCACAAGCTGCAGAATCTGAACACGTCGCTACACGAAAAGTTCCATACAATGTCGCTCAAGATGAAGGAGTACCAGGATGCCCACACCGCCAAGGAGACGGAGAACGCGGAACTGAAGAACCAGATCGACGAGTTGCAGTACGACCTGGAAAAGATCCATTGCCGGAATGACAAGCTGGAAAACCACCTGGCCGAGGCTATAGAGAAGCTGAAGGCCTACCATCAGATCTACGGGGATCCCAATAAGAGCACTAACAGTGCCAAGACACCCGCTTCCACGGGGACCGGCAGCGCTACCACTAACGTCAACAGCCAGGTGTTGGAGGAGCTGCAAAAGGAACTGGAGGAGTACCGTGAACTGGCAAACAACCGACTGCAAGAATTGGACAAGCTCCACGGCACACATCGAGAAACTCTCAAAGAGGTGGAGAAACTAAAAATGGATGTAAGTTAAAGGCATTGGGTTAAAAATATACATATCTAACTTAAATCGAGTAATTAAAAAATAAATTATATTGAAAATTCAAATCTTTCCAGATACGGCAGCTACCCGAATCGGTAATCGTAGAGACCACGGAGTACAAGTGCCTGCAGAGCCAGTTCTCCGTGCTTTACAACGAGTCCATGCAGATCAAGACCATGCTGGACGAGACCCGAAACCAACTACAGACGAGCAAAAATCAACACCTGCGACAGATCGAGGTGATGGAGAGCGAGGAGCTGATCGCCCAAAAGAAGGTCCGCAGCGAGATGATCCAGATGGAGGACGTGCTGGCACTCATCCGAAAGGAGTACGAGGCGCTACGCATCGAATTTGAGCAGAACATGGCCGCTAACGAGCAGACGGCACCCATCAACCGTGAGATGCGCCACCTGATCACCTCCCTGCAAAACCACAACGGACAATTAAAGGGCGAGGTGCAGCGGTATAAGCGAAAGTACAAGGACACTTCCACGGACAACTTGAAGCTGCGCAAGGAACTAGACGAAGCTCTGGCGACCCTCGAGGGCAACAAGTTGCAGGCGGCAACAGGTGCGGCAGGCGAGGAAATCAAGCAGGAGAACTCCACAAGTGTCAAAGAGGAGAACTCGAACAACGCCTCCGCCTGTGGCCAATCAAACCAAACAAATTCCGGCAATGACTCCAACGTTGCCATCAAGGAGGAAAACCACACATCTGCGGAAGATGATGCCGATGACGATGGAAGTGGAAAGGACGTAAAAGACGGCATCAAGCAGGAGAAGCTCAGCGGCGGTGAGGCAACGGCAGCCGAGAAGAAGGACTCTCCTGGTCCTGGCAACTCGACGACATCTGCCACAAATTCCGTTCCCGTCAAATCGGAAAAAGATTCCAAGGATGGCGTGAAGGGCAAGGATGTCAAGACTGTGGAGAGCGAAACGGTGCGGGATCTGAAGGCGCAATTGAAGTAGGTTATCGTAGTTTCTTAATAATCAAACTCAAATTAAAAGGAAATATTAATTGTTTGTTTCGCAGGAAAGCGTTGAACGATCAGAAGGAAATGAAACTTTTACTGGATATGTACAAAGGTGTCTCGAAGGATCAACGCGATAAAGTTCAGTTGATGGCCACCGAGAAGAAGCTACGTTCCGAGATCGAGGAGCTGCGCCAGCAGTTGAAGAAACTGCAGGAAAGCAAGCGCGAGGAACGCAAAAAGCTTGCTGACGAGGAGGCGTTACGTAAGATTAAACAGTTGGAGGAGCAAAAGTATGAGCTGCAGAAGCAGATGGCCAACCACAAGCCCTCGGAAAATTCGTGGGGCAGTGGAGCACCCGGTTCGGCAAACTACACCCGACCCTTTGTCGGTTCGCACGAGGAGGAGGCGCTGCTCAACGAGATGGAGGTGACTGGCCAGGCGTTTGAGGACATGCAGGAGCAGAACTCACGCCTAATACAGCAGCTGCGAGAGAAGGACGACGCCAACTTCAAGCTAATGTCGGAGCGCATCAAGGCAAACCAGTTGCACAAGCTTCTGCGCGAGGAGAAGACAGTGCTGGAGGATCAGATGGCAACGGCCACCACGCAAATCGAGGCCATGCACATTGTGCTGCGAAAGCTCGAGGAAAAGGAGCGGAGTCTGCAGGCCACCGTGGCGTCCATTGAAAAGGAGCTTATGCTGCGACAACAGGCCATGGAGATGCACAAGCGCAAGGCGATTGAGTCGGCACAGTCGGCAGCGGACCTTAAGCTGCATCTCGAAAAGTATCATGCGCAGATGAAGGAGGCGCAGCAGGTGGTGGCCGAGAAGACCAGCTCGCTGGAGGCCGAGGCCTACAAGACCAAGCGGCTACAGGAGGAGCTGGCGCAATTCAAGCGCAAGGCGGAGCGCATGAAGAAGATGGAGATGTCGGGCACGACCATCGACGAGGTGATGATCGAGGAGATCCGTGAGTACAAGGAAACGCTCACGTGTCCCTCGTGCAAGGTGAAGCGAAAGGATGCGGTGCTGTCGAAGTGTTTCCACGTCTTCTGCTACGACTGCCTGCGAACTAGGTACGAAACGCGGCAGCGGAAGTGTCCCAAATGCAACTGCGCCTTTGGCGCCAACGATTATCATAGGCTATATCTGCAGTAGATAAGCGATAGAACCCGTTACGATAATTTAGATACGTTCCGGTCATGTCCTATTCACACAAAAACACACACACACACCCCACACCACTCCTACACGCCCAAGCAGAGACAGTCACACACATTCATGCCGGATTATTCATTATGCATATATTATCTACGTACTAATATTTGGTTAAGTAGTCTCCGAATAACTCCCCAGATTCCCCATGGCAATTAATTGAATTTGTTCATTCTGGCGCCAAGCAAGAGCATCTCATTAAGAGTGCCGCGAGACCATGTCGCGGATTTTTTATGTAGCTTCTAGTTTTTGTAAATCAAACTCTATTTTTAATGATCTAAATTGAAAATTAATTGTACGATCACTAATAAATGGCTAAAAACTATATGTTTAGCGTACCAAAAGTTATTCTGATCCACGCAAACTAAAACCGTTTTGTCTTTGTCTTGAAATCATTTAAACCTAAGTATATTTATAGACCCCCTTTAATTTTTAAGTAAACTACTCCTATTTAAATGATCAAACGTAGCATAGAAACTGTATAAACTTGTCAAAAGATCCGTTTAAGTATCGCGCTTTATATGAAAGGGCTGCTAACTTGGTTATAATTTATAAATAATTATAATGACCTATAATCGGAAATTGTTGTTCACCTGGGCAAAATATTTTGATTGTTTTTTTGTTTGTGTATAAGTGTAATCGTTTATTCTGTGTACTGTTTCCTGAATAAAGAAACTTGATCAGAAATACAATATGATCCTCTGTTATCGGCTAACATAAAGTCCACCTGTTAAGATTTAACACCCACTAATTTATGTTAGTAACAGCGATGTTTATCTTTTATCTGTGATTTTTGGCGCGCAAAGCTTATCGAATTTTGAATCAACGGATATAAATTTTCCTATTAAGTTAAACTTATTCAAAAAGTTTTTTAACAAAAGAATTAGGATCGTTCAAAAGGCAGTACTTAACAAAAAGACGCATACGCAGTATTGCCCTCATATAAAATTGTATTTATTGTTTTGACCAGCTTATAATTTTTGAATGTAAATAATAATACACTTTTTTGGAACTGTTTTTGTCGGTTAAGTTCATAGAACTTTTGTTGACGTCATAATTTGTTGTCGTTTTGCATATTTGTATCCATTTAAACCTGCCCATAAAAATATGTCTAATAGAACCAATTTTAATATAGATTTTTACGTATCGAAACAAGTTTATTGAACTTTTTCGCCCCAGACTTAAACGTTTTCGTTTATTCCCTCTGCATTTTTCTCCCGTGCTTGCAGCCAAAATAAACGGATGCACGATATGTATTTAGATTAAAACCCAGTATAGGCGCACCTAGTTAGGTACAAATTGGCCAAGACAGTGTAGTTGGCCATTCTCTGGCAATTATGCTACCCAGTATTTATTACAATGTCTTGAGCGCAACGACATTGTCTTGTGCAATTATAATTAAAGTCATTGACGCAATTTTGCGACCAAAAGTAAGCCAAGAAGTTATTTACCTTGGGGCAGGTGCTCGTGCTAACTTCGCCCGAATCAACAACATTTTTACTGCGTATTGGGCAAAAAAAGCCCCCTCAAAGCTGCCCTAAAAAGGCTTAGATGATGATAAATTATGTTCTTCAAATTGCCAAAAAGGTTATGGAAATTTTTTAGCAAACACGACTCCAGCCGTTTTCGGTGGATCAAGAAAGATTTGCGCATGGCCAGCAGCCACAGAAAGAATGTTATTTTCGAAACTATAATTAAGCCATGCTGCTGATTTTCTTCGTCGTTAATTATGGCCAAGACCAAAAATCCCAAAAGCTCCGAGAAATCTCGTGGGCAGTCGTGTGTTTGGCTGTGTTTCGAAAAGTGTTTACCCCTGCCATCTGAAATTTACCCAATCCGCTGGGCTCCCCCTCCGTTTCACAGAAATTGCGAATTGTTTCGTCTGCTTTGCGCCATGTAATGTGTTTATTAAAAATTATGATTATTGTTCGCATTGAGAGGCAGCGGCATCTTTGTGGCCAGGCTACCAGCTGATGTGGAGCAATTGGACGGGCTGACGGGCTGTCGGGCTGTTGGGGCATCTCTGCCATAAACTCGTTATGCGGCAAACCATGCAGGTTTAAAAAAGATACGAAAACGGAACACAAAAGTGTGTAAAAAGACTAAGAAATTAAAATCGTGCCAGCGATGAGTGAGCACATTACACCGAGCACTTGGTGGAGCGAGTGCGGTTATTACCAACATAACGAATGGGTTTAAAATGCGGCCGGGCCGGTGGAGTAGGTCAGTCCGGACTGGTCAGGGACAATGGCGAAGGTTATCGCTGCAATCGGGGGAATAACCGGGACTTAAAACCTGCAGGAGCTCAACACCCGGAAGTCTCTGCAGAGGATGTGCCTGATATAAGTCGAAATTTATTATCTTATAAGCAACAGGTTTCTTTAAATGTTATTTATTAAAGGTCTGATATCCTCAGAATCAGCTGAACCCTAAAAATGGCCCAAAAGCAGCAGTTGAAAGCCCATTACTTGTCCTAATGATATGATATAATGATATGATAATGATAAAACTGCATACTTAGTTTGTTTTCGAATTTTTGGTAAATTTTTTTTCACATTTTTGTGATGTTTCCACTATCAAAAATCCGGAAAAGGGATTTTTCGGAAATTGGCCGTATACCAGCAGTTCTCGATATTAAAAAGTTCCCTTTTCCACGCTTTTATTTCTGTTAACTGCCCCGATTTTTAATAGCCTGCTGCACCGCTCTCAAGTGGCCTTCGTTCAGCCACCACTTAACCAAATTGTCATTGAGACAGGGCTCACAACAAGATCAACATTAATTATCATCGGACAAAGGCATTTTCACACTGCAGTATAATGATTTGTTTGGCACTCTGGGCGGTGCCCACCTGTCCAATCAACCCCTGAAAGACTCCGCCCACGGACAAACGGAAACTAATCATTAGATTAGCATGTGGACGGTCGAAACTCAATGCAAAAGCAGAGCCGAAAGCCGAAAGCCCAGATCAGTGGACCTACGCCCTTTGTCGGTTGGGAAATGTCCGAATGCCTGGCATACCCGAAGAGCAAAGCCCACGTTACGGCCCTGGGTCCGAAGAGCCCATCAAAATATCAAAGGGCCAACGCATTTCCCAGCCGTAAACTGCAGTCGCAATGCCAATTGAAACGAGAGAGCCCGCGATCTCGAGGCGGGTAAATACAATCAGCATCGGAGCATCGCATCGGAGGTGACGTATCCGCCGGGTGATCATTAGGTGTTTGGCCATTAGCAATAGCGACAGCATCATTATCATCGGGGGATTGCATTTTCAAGGTTGGCGTCCATTCTCGCTTCACTGCCACCTGGAGTCGAGCCATGAAAATGCAAATTTTTTTGTTTCCCTTCCCCCGCAAGCAGCGTTTTTCAATATACGAGATACCCATATGCCTAATGAGTAAGATAGGCATGAAAAGGCAAAAATAAAAAAATAAAAACTAGGTGGGTTTATGTGGGGGAAAGAGTAAGAGTGGTGGAGAAAAGTCGAAGTCGAAGTGAACCGCTAGCGAACCTGATTTACAGCCAGTGGCCAAGTGACCAACTGACTGACTGAAATTGCTTAACAACAGCAGCTCTTTAATACTTTATGGCTACCTTTGATGGCTGGGATCAGGCTCTGCTCTCCCCGAGACATCATCTGCTGGCCAAAAAGGTTCGTGTACTTCGTACTTTCAGTTTCGGCTGGCCAAAAAACTCGTTCCCTCCATGCAGCAGCAGCCGCAGCAGCAGCCGTCGCATTTAACAGCCGAACAAACCGATCAGATTGCATTCGAATCCCGCTCAGGCGCTCGGCTTTAGCCACTGCTCTACCCGTATCGTATGTAGATGTCTGTGTGGGCATTATATAATCCAGTTAATTTCTTTAACAATTTTTGTTTCTCCTCGCCTTTCGTTGTTTTGCTAGACGAGGTCTCTCCATCCAGAGTCATTCGTTGTTTGGGCTCCGCGTTGTTTGGACGTGTTTTTTCAATCGGCGCGTTGTCTCTCGAAAATCCTCTGACATTGCCAGCTGTATTTTGGTTGAAGAACTCAACTTCAAGTCAAGGATTGCAAAACGGGCGTTTGGCATTGCTCATACGCAGCGTGTGACGTGCTTTAATAGCTACAAAAGGAATCTAAAAGAGGGTGTAAGTGTTAAAGTGTGCGTGAATGTGATGATTATTGGGGATTATTCGAAATCCCTTAAATGATTTATTTAAAATCGAGTATGAAAATAAACCTGGCATGACCAACCACCTACACAAAAAACATATCCTTAAACAAATTCAACAAAAGTACAACACATTTATAAAGAGCGAAATCATACATTTATGTAATCGTAAGAAGGAAATTAAAATTGAAGAGGTATAAATCAACAAAATAATAAAAACAAGTTAAAAGAAATAACTAATAATTATAGTCTTACAAAGTTCCATCAGTTAAATAACCGATCACGTTTTCAAGATTGTGAAGTTTTTTTTTAATTTGATTGCATTTTAATATCTGTAAAAATCTTGTAACCTAATATGCGCAAACCTCGGCAAACTGAAATAAGTTTTTCATGCCGCATTCAATCAAAAAGCAATCAAAAACTGAGAGATAACCCAAACCACTAATAACCTTTAATCAAAAATGAATGGCCAGCCAAAGTAATCAGCTTGAGACCTTCTTTAAAATCAATCAGGCAGGAGAATAAGAGGCTGTGCAATTGCCAAATAAGCCACGATTGCACCGCCTGTTGCATTATTGGCCAGTTAGCCACACAAAAGCCACGCAAGCCACCACAACGAGCGCCTAATAAACATGTTGAAACTGGTGAGCTGGTGAAAGAGAGGGGTAGATGGATGGAATCGCAGAAAGAGATAGCTAGTGGGATCCAACATCCAACGGGCGCATTGCTCAATGACATTTTGAAATCGCATTTCCAGTTGCGGGAAAAACCGACAAAACGAAAATTGAAAAACCAAAAACCAAAAAATACACACAAATTTAAAAGCGAATGCAAATTTGGAACCAAACTGAAATCAATTAAATGGCACAGAGTTCGCAACGAATCAAAGTCATATGCAAATGGGTCGGCGGCGAAGTCTCGATGAAGTCGGTGTCATGGGAAAACGGATTTCGATGATAATCGGGGTTTTACAGCGAAAGACAAAGGGCATATGGTGGCTATATGGCTGTAAAATAATCAAATCAAATCGAATCGAACCGCCGCTCGGATCACAAATTGTGTGCAAATATTGAGATAAAGCTGAGCTGAGTGTTAGTGCATCCCATGACCGCACTTTGTTTATCCATCCGGCCATTTAAACATTTAAACAAAGTGACTCCGAAAATAGGGGGCATTGTTCACTGGCTTTCCTCTTATTTTTCTTTGCTTTTCCCTCCTCCCTCTCGAATTATGCAACGCAACTGAAATCGGGCAAACAGCGAAACTCTTTCTTGTACTGGCTAATTATTAACATTTTTTCTGTATTTTTGTATTTCCTATTTCCATTTTTTTAACCCGCTTTCGGTAAACAGTTTTGAACTTGAACCAATTCGCTATTGAGGTTTTCGCTTTTTTCGGTCTTTTTGCCATATTTTATATGTGGTCATAATGCTATTCGGCGGTTTATGGGTCTCCCATTCAACAAAGAAGTGAATAAATTATCCATCTTTTCATTTCGTCGCCTTTGAGTTCGCTGAAAATGTGGTGTCCATTTGCATTAGGTCGGTGTTTTAACAAATACGCGTCTCTTGTGAGTTTTAATTAGCAAATATTTGCAAATTACAGCGATCCGTGATCCGGTGGCGTTTGCCTTGAGATCGCTGGGACCTTGAACCAATTGTGAGGGCTAGAGACCATTAATAAATCTTGTGGAGAAGCATTATGCTGGATTATTAAACCATATTTTATTTGTTGGTGACAGGGCTTACAAGGAAATTCTCATGGTTAAAATGATATTATTCAGCAAATGTGTGATGTAAACTGTTAAGTGTTTAGGAAAAATATATTGGATATCTCTGGTGTTTAACTTTTATATAAAATATAATCAAAACTTGCACTTTATCTACTGTAGTATTACTTTATCTACCATATATACATAAATATATGTGCTTTTAATATATAATATTTAAATTCATATAAAACAAGTATTTAAATAATAAATACAGATAAATAACTCAAGTGCATCGAGCTTAATTAATATGAATCATTTATAAGAAACCCCGTCTAACTTACGCACTCCTTATCTTTCTCTGTAGTTGCCGCAATCCATGCCCATCGTTTGACCGCAGAGTACTCACCACATTAACCGGATAACCAAAATGGTGCAGGATCAGGGAGAAACCATATCCCTGCCAGAGACTCTGCTGAAGATCGCCAAGCGGGAGCTGCGCGAGGATCGGTGCACCAGGGAGCAGAGTCTGGAGCAGCTGCGGAACTGGGTGGCCAAGAACGAGGATCTGCAGAATGTGCGATGCGACGATACCTTCCTGCTGCGCTTCCTGCGGGCCAAGAAGTTCAGTGTTCCCATGGCGGAGCAGACGCTGCTCAAGTACCTGAACATCCGACGCACCTTCCCGCACATGAGCACCCAGCTGGACTATCTGGAGCCGCGACTGGGCGACCTCATCGACCAGGGATACATCTTCGCGGTGCCCCAGCGGGATAAGCACGGCCGACGGGTGGTGGTCATCAATGCCAAGGGTCTCAATCCGAAAATCCACACCAGCTGCGACCAGGCGAAGGCGCACTTCCTCACCTACGAGTGCCTGATGGAGGACCAGGAGACGCAGATCACAGGACTCACCCACGTGGGTGACTTCGCTGGTGTGTCGACAGCCCACGTGACCAACTGGAATCCCACGGAGTTCGCCCGCATCTTCAAGTGGGGCGAACAGTCGCTGCCCATGCGCCACAAGGAGATCCACCTGATCAACGTGCCCTCCACCCTGAAGTGGCTCATTGACTTCGTGAAGAACCGGGTCAGTTCCAAGATGAAGAACCGCCTGATCATCTACGGCAGTGAGAAGGAGCTGATGAAGAGCGTGGACCAGGGCTGTTTGCCCCTGGAAATGGGCGGCAAGATGCCCATGCGCGAGATGGTCGAGCTGTGGAAACAGGAACTGGCGGCCAAACGGGATCTGATCCTCGGTCTCGACAAGAGTATCCTGCTGTCCGATCGGGGAATCCAAAGGAGAAGCAGCTTCAATGCGGAAAAGGCCTCCAACGGCGGACCAAACTTCGTGTCACAAATCGAATCCATCGAAGGCAGCTTTCGGAAACTGGAGTTCGACTAGCCGTCCCAGTTCCCGTCTAGTTCGTAGTTTTTAGTCCTTAGTCCTTAGGCATCATTTGTTAACCCAAAATGCGCGCAACGCTTCGCCGGTCCCCCGATCCTGGCCAGAGCCGATCCCGGGGATCCCCGCTTGCTTATCGGTGGCACCCGCTTTACTCATCCTGCGCTTCTTTGTATACTGTTTGTGTTTGGCGTACAATAAACGAGAGGAATAATTTGGAAGCTCCTTCTCTCTGATTCATTCGATCCCCTTGTGGACGCAGTAGTGGGGCCAGTTTTTCAGCTCCTGCTGCAGTGCCTCCGCATGGTTGCCGATCACAAAGAGCTTGTAGTCCGGTTGCAGTTTCCTGCGTTTCAGGCATTCCAGGATCAGAGCCTCGGCTGCTTTTAACTGACAGTTGCTGGGTGGTTTCCGGTTGAAGTCACCCACAAAGGCAATTACCAGAGAGCTATTTAGTGGCAGATTCTTGGAGTAACTGCTCTCATATCGCCAACCTCGAGCCTCAAAAACCAGACAATCACCAGCGATCAGGAAATTATAGGGCAGCTCCCCCGGAAAAGAACTCTAAAACAAAAGTAAAGGATTAAATTTCATAAGAATTTAATTGAAAGTAACTAACCTGCATATTATGTAATACTGCTGGGCAATCCTCACTGCACTCTTCGCTCTCCGTGTGGGTGAAAAACACGGAAAAGATTTTGTGCGGATTCAATGGAGTTCCCTGACCTTGCAGATTCACTTCCGACCATACATCATGCTCGACGAGACTGAGCCGATAGCCAAAGTCCGGCATTTGGGCTGCAAGCAAGGCAAAGTGATTCAGTCATTAGGTTCTTTGTGAGCCTATAAAAAAAATTTCAGAAATTTTTAAATGAATCATAAGTTTAATCTAAAAAAAGAGTGAAAACCCACAATCCCAATTTTTTAGCTGTATAATTCTTTCGGTTATTTTAAATCTACAATATTATTATCCGAATGTAATTTTTTAAAATGATTGTTTATATTTTGTAGGCATTCTTTCTTATGCACATCGATCATTGACCATTTCCGCCTTGCCCACAAAAACTCGAGTGTTTAGCTTATCATAACTAACAGCAGTGCATTTAAATTTATTTCAACAATAACGAATTGAGCACGTACACACAGGCCTTCATTAGCTGGCGAACTCACTTTGTCTCCAGAGTAAATAGATCGCCAGTCCCAAGGCAGAGGCGCACATGAGCAGGAACGCCACCGAGCACCAATTAAAGCAGTCTTTCGAGAGGATCTGTGCTTCAGTGGAGGAGGGGGATGAGGAGGTTGCAATCGCGGCCGACTTATTGAATCGCTGGGTGGCCGCCAGCAAGGGAGTGGATTCGCTGACTCCGCAATCCTTGTCGACGCGAATGTGGAGCTCCTCAACCGAACCAAAACTGCCGTACGAAGATTGGGAGAGCGCAGCTGGCGAGGGACTACGGCTGGCTATCGTAGCGAAATATAGAGCAAAGAACACATTATGTAGCTTAGCCAAGATAAAAGTGTGCAGATGATTAGCCAAGTGGCACACTTTGTCCAGACCACTCTGATCTTGCTGGTCATAGTACTTGCTGATCGCGCGCAGACTATAGCCGCTTACGAAGATCGGCATCTTGCCACTAAGTGCGATGCTAACAGCATCTCCGGCTAATGTATCTCACCCATTTTTGGCTATCTTATCAAGCCACGTGCTTATCTGTCTTCAACCTTACCCATTATCACGGCTAAATGGCTGGATTCCATGGCTAAACCGATCTTGCTGCAGCCTCGGCATCAAGGTGGCGTGCTGTGGTGCTGTGTTGCTTTGGAGTGGGTCAGCCCCTTACTGGATCGCACTGGAATGCACCACTTGATCGATGAACGGACGCTGGCAACCACCGCCAGCAGAATGCATAAAACGACTGAGACGAGAACAAGGGAGAGCGCCCGCATGAAGCACAACGAACCACAAAAAATCACCAACTGGACGTCTGGTCTCTTATCAAAGGCACACTCTTAAACTCTCTTAGCATAGGAATAACTTTAAAGCCCGGAGTAACATTCGCATTGCGTTTATTTGCCTTTCGCTTTCTGATATCTTCAACTAGACGCTAATAACAATCATAAATGGGTTTTCGTTTTATACACAGAAGTTGGTTTTGCTTAATTTACAGTGCTGGCTCGGGAGCAGAATGTGCTCCCTCTCTTAAGACTAACTTAGGCCTTCTTGAACCGTAATAAGTTATGAGCATGCTGGCCAGTCCAAGTGGCCGCCACACAAACACTTACATGGACACTAAACACTGGACACTGGACAGAAACGAGGCCTGGGACTTGGAACCATTTTAAAATTTTCACGAAAGACAAGACAGTTAGTTAAAATCGTTCGAAAATCTAAAAGAAATGCATTCGCTTAGGTGCCTAGACTAAACTTATTGGGTATTACGTCTCCGCATTGGACTTTCCCTATCCAGCAGCTGCCCATTTCAGGGATTCCTTTTCGCAAGTCCTACTTGTAGGACCTCCAGATTTGCCATGCGCAAAGGGCGGCCGAGAGGAAGGACACGCCGCGGTGCAAGTATTTGGTTTTGGAGTTGGGCGAGTAGCCCAGGATCACAGGCGAGGATACATCTGTTAGAGGGAGTTTCTCCAGCACGGTGTCGTTGTTTTCCACCTGGTGAAAATATTAGAAATCAGTTAACTACTGATCTATCGAAATCTATGGATTTCGTACCTGATATTGACAACAGGGATCGTAGTTCCAGGAGACCGTGTAGAGTCCTGCGCAAAATAGCGATAGGGCACAAGCAGGTGCTGCAATGATGGGGCGATCCCGCCAGAGCAAACTGGCCACCAGGGAGACGACTCCAGTGGCCACCGCAGTCTTGTGCAGGCAGTTCCCCACCCAAATCCAACGACCTGTAAAGATAACAAATTTGTTTTTCAGTTTGATTTAAAACAATGATTATTTGCTATAAAAGCAATGTGAAGAACACCAATTTTTGCGTAAAAAATTTACTACTATTATTAAACTTTACCATTAACATTGTAGTGTTTTAAAAATTATTGCATACTTTTATGTCATTTACACGGGCTTACAAACTAAACAAATTCACTGCTTAAATACTAAAAATAAATAATACACAATTGTTTTACCGTCTTTTTTTAAAATCTTTCCAAAACCTTACCAGTTTCGTCGCCCAATCGCGGTGGCTCTATAATGATGAAGTCCACCTTGGCCTCCAGCGCCTTGTCCAGTTCCGCCTCGAATCTTTCATGGGCATTAGAACTGTCATAGACCTCGCGAATTACATGGAAAGTCGGAACTTTACTCGTGCTGAAAAGGAGCGTTACATTATTTAAAAGAAATCATTAATCAAGACTATCATGATCGGCAGCCCAAGGTTAAGTTCAAGATTAAGCCTCCTCGAAAAGCCATTGTCCGATAAATAAAGAAGCCGCCTGGTAAATTGCATAACAGAAACAGATGAACTTCTAGATCTGGGATTTGGCTGCGCCCACAGGTGGAACTCGTTGCGTAATAACCAACTGCATTATCGTCACCCGGAGCAATATTTACCTTTCTAAGTTTCTGCTAACCATTTTGCTAATCAATTTGTTGTTTTTTATTTTGTTAATAAACTCAGTGCGGCCGCAGTGGGGCCGTTAAAATATACCGAAAATCTTTTTAAATAATACTACAAAATACCATTTTATCTTTAAAGACTATCCTCTGCTAGGCGGCACTAAACTGTTTGAATTATATCGTAAATGCAAAAAAGGCTATGAACCACAAAGTTTTTTCAAATTATTTTAGGTTTCAAATGATTTTATTCTTATATAAACAATTCTCGATTTATGTGCGAGCGAGTTTACCAACTTGAAATTTTACCATCTCTAATTTACGATAAGCAAATGTACAACCGAAGAAAAACTCAATTTGGGTGCTATTACAACATGTAAGTTACTAAACAATTTGAAATTAAATTAAATTATGAATAAAAACCGATTAAAACAATCAATTTTTAATTGAAAATGCATTGATTGATGGGTTACCGGCGTCTTATTGTCTCAAGCGAATGAAGATTTTCCCCTTTGTTCAATATGGTCACACTGCACACGCACTCATTAAAAGACACCCAAATTAAAATTGAAAATGGAAAAGCATCGCTTGCCGCTTCCGGAATTGCACGACGATAAACACAGACACAAACAGTGCAATGGCGAAAATAGCAACCGCTTTCGACCACCGAAATACAAGACGCGCAGCTACGTGGCGGTAGACAATAACAATTTGAACCGGAGTCAATCGCTCGGCTCCTGCAGCGCCAACAGTTCCCAGATCGCCCACGCCATTTCATTCCGAGGATTGGAGTGTCCCGATGCGAGTACTTTGCCTTTGCCGCCAGAACCGGCTGAGTTGAGCGACCGTAGCCACTTTGAGCAGTGCTTCGAACGGCTAGCCAAACTAGGAGAAGGGTCCTTTGGTGAGGTGTTTCAAGTCCGAGATCGCTCCGACGGGCGACTGTACGCCGTAAAGATCTCCAAACAGCTTTTCCGAGGCGAACAGTATCGGGCCGAGCGACTGGAGGAGGTGCGGCGGTACGAGGAGTTTTCTGGTCACGAAAACTGCATTCGGTTTATTCGAGCCTGGGAGCAATACGACCGGCTTTACATGCAAATGGAACTCTGCCGCGAAAGCCTGGAGCAGTACTTGCTACGCTGCCAAAGGATACCCGAGGAGCGCATCTGGCACATTCTGCTGGATCTCCTGAGGGGCTTAAAGTCACTGCACGACCGCAATCTAATCCACCTGGACATCAAGCTGGACAATGTGCTGATTGGCGAGGACGACGAGACGTGCAAACTAGCAGACTTCGGCCTGGTCATCGATGTGGACAGGGCCAATAGCCATCACGCCACGGAGGGCGATTCCAGATACATGGCTCCGGAGATCCTTCAGGGACACTTCTCAAAGGCGGCAGATATATTTAGCCTCGGCATTGCCATGCTGGAGCTGGCCTGCTATATGGATCTGCCATCCAACGGCCCACTGTGGCACGAACTAAGACAGGGTATTCTGCCCGAGGAGTTTATAAATAGTGAGTTTCAAAAAAATTACTCAATATTTGCACAAGTCATCATTGTCTTTGTCTTTCAACAGAAATATCCGTGGAGCTGCAGCTTGTTATTAAGTCTATGATGATGCCCGATCCTGCGCAGAGACCCACAGCAGATCAATTACTATCACATCCCAAGCTGCAGCGTCTGCAGCAGAAGCGCAAGTCGCTGATGAACCTTAGTATGCTGGTAGGAAATTTCCAGAGCTTTAGTTTCTTCAAATTTTTTTAAATTCTTTAACTTTTTTAGACGCGAAGTTTTCGGCGATCGCGCCGTGCCATCTGGGGAAGAATGTGCAATTGGAAAACGGCTGCCTTACGTTATCTTTTTTACTTCCTGGAGGTCCTGCATTTATGCAAACCCATCGCCCCTTCGCAACCTAGCATCAATTTGTGTCCCACCTCGCCCTCGTCGAAGGGAGCGCCCCTGCTGCCCCGAGTGGAATTCCAGCTGGTAGGATCCACGCCCATTGCCAACCGTGACTGTTACGCCTCCGATTTCCTTTCCGGCGAGGATCCATTGGAGCTATCCAATCAAGAAAGCCCGAACGTAATAAACTCCACGCCAACCAATCTAGGCAAATCACGAATAGATTTGCTTAAAAATAAGTGAGTATCCTTCTTCGCTAAACTATAAATAAGCTGATGATCTAATTAATGTATCTTCTCGCGTGGATTCACTTGGCAGGTTAGTTTTGTACGATTTCGAAAGTCCCTGCTCCGACCTGTCTTCCCCAAAAGTCCTCGACACATCCTCGTTCCGACGCAAAAAACTTTTCGTTATGGAATTTGACGACGAGTGAGTTGTGAACGAAGACAACGAGAAATGGAAACCCAATGAATTTATAATACAAACAATATATATATATCAGTTACGAAACAAATACCAGATACATATGGCAACCGAATATATCGTTAATATATTAAGCTTAGTTTTAGACTGTAGAGTTGTACGAAGTTTCCTAGATTTAGTCTTACAATTGTGTAATGTTAATGCTTCTTTAGAAGAACTTGTTGAACTTGAACATTTAATCATGTGATATAAATATGAAAAGCGATTTGAAAAGTTTAAAAATAAAAACTATTAATTAAAATTGCAGTCAATAATTAATTGTTGTCAATAATAAATATTTTGGATAAAACAAAACAACATTTTTGTTCATTTATTACTTTTAGATTTGCTAGAAATATCCAAAAATAATAGCTAGATTTTCAGCACATGTCCCCTAACGTTTTTCAACACTGCCGTTACACGCACATGTGGAAAACGTAAACAAAAACGTTTTATTTAATAATTAATAAAATGACAAGGAAAAAAGCTCCCAAAAAGAAAACAGAAGTTGTCTTTGACAACAAGAAGCGCATGTTAGTGAGAACCATCACAATATCATTATAAGACACTGATAACCAACTTCAATCCTACAGAGAATTTCTTAGCGGTTTCCGGAAGCGAAAAAACGAACGGCGATCTCGAGCAAAGGCTGAACTGGAAAGGAACCTCAAAAACGAGCGCAAACGCATTCGCCAGGAGGTGAAAGATGGCTTCAACCACCTGAAAAAGTCATACGAACCACTGCGTGAACTCACTGAGGAAGACAAGGCCGAAGAGGAACCGCAGGAGGAAACTTACGAAGACGACGAGGTGCAGGTGAAGATCGTGGAGCTGACCACCAACGACCTGGCTGCCAGGCGAAATATGTTGGGGGCCAACACGGCAGAAGAAAGCGAGCAGGAGGAGCAGGAGTCACAAAGCGAGGAGGATGAGGCCGACCAGCCAAATAGGATACCCGGCATGGACTTCGATCCCAACGAAGTACGCAAACGCAAATCCCAGAAAGAGGATGAAGAGCATCCCAAGGCCAAGAAAGCCAATAACAATGCATCGCAGCCAGAGATAAAAAGCAAAAAGGATCTCGACCGCCTAATGAAGACGAAAACTCTGAAAAAAATGCACCAGAGCAAGCTGTTCAAGCAAAAGGAGCGTCTGGACAAGAAGAACAATCAGAAGAAGGCCAAGCGGGATCGCAACAACACCATCAAAAGCGTTCCAAAGCACCAGCGCAAGCAGCTCAAGTACGGAAAGGGCCAACAGACAAAGTACCGAAAGGGCCGCATGGTCAACAAGAAGGAGCTGCGGCGTAAGCGCAACAACGCCGACTAAGTTTAGCTTTTAGCATAGTTTGTTTTACGGTTTATTTACTATTACTCTAGTTGATCAAATAAACTGTTTAATTCCTGGCTTTTACAATAATTTTGCTAATACGTCGGTCGATTTTCTGTCGGTTGCGCATGTAATTCTCGTTCATATTCATAGTACATATACATCCAACATGCTTTTATTTTTTTTTTTTTGGGTTATTAACATTGGCAATATCGTTGCTCGCCGCTGTTCGGTTCTGCTCTATAAATAAAAGGGGCGCCGCTAAAATTACACTCGATTTTCATGGGTCTAGGTCTATTCTCAAAGTCTATGTACAATTTTCGCTTGCATGGTTTTTTAGTTTAGTCTCTTAAAATATTGGGTTGCTTTATTTCCATACTGCGCAGCTGTTAAGCTTAAAGATATTTGATTTTATGGGGTATCATTTCTTCGAAAATGATACATTAGAGCGGTAACCTTGCTTTCTTGGCGCGTGATTACAGCCGTAACCAAAACTCCCTTCGGAGAAGGCGAGATCACCACCCGAATGTATCTAAACGTAATCCTGCCAAACACAATAAATATAAAATGCCAACACGATTTCGCATTCTATTCTCTTTCTTAGTTTTAGGCTTATATTCTAATGGGTGCCGTGCGTGGGGCGTGGTTGGGGTTTCGGGGTTTGAAGGGGCAACAGTTACGCTCTAGCTTATAGCTTACAGTCCTACGCCTACTCCTACTTCTTATATGTTCATCAGCGGTTAAAAAACGTTTACAAAACTCATGCGAAATCGAAATCCAATAACAAATGCACACGCCGCAGTCGCATCGACGTCTCCTTTTTCTCCTCCTGATCCTTGCCGCCTGTTATCCGCATCCAGTTAGGATTGCTGCTGCTGCTGTGCCGTTGGCTGTCGTCGGCTGAAGCCACCGCCGGCGGCCAGGTGACGCTGCAGGGCTCGCTGCTGCTGGAACTTGGCGCTGCCCGGTCCGCCGAAGCGGTTGAACTTGAACTTGTTGCGCTGCTGGAAGTTTTGGCGGAAGTTCTGGTTGTAGGATCGCGGAAAGCCACCGCTGCTGCCGTTCTTGTTCCAGCGCTTCTGGCCCTCGTACTCCTGGAATGGATTGTAGCCGGGCGTGCTGTTGCTGCTATTGCTGCCCTTGGCCGATCCAGACTTCACCTTGCGCTGCCGCCCGCGATCCATTTCGTTCTCCTCGTCGTCGTCGAGGTCTCGCTGACGCTGTTCACGCGCATCCACCAGTAGCTGCGAAAAACAAATTATTCAAGAATTAGGCAAGAGTTCGAACCTTAAGACTGTGAAAAGGTTGGCATGCGCTTGGGTAATGAAGCTTATGTAGATGAGGTGTGCGGGACGCTCACGAAAAAAACGCTGGGATGCATATTTGTATTTGAAATGGGTGAGTGGCTTACGGTTTACGGTTCACGGTGACAGGTTATCAGGCAAAACGGTAACGGCACGGTTGAATTTATGGCCTAACGGGCGGGGAGAAGAAATAAAGAACGTGCCGGCCAGCAGTCAAATCATAAGCTTCATTGCACGGGAACACGGATGCGGAGTCATCGGGTGAATTACCTAGGCTCTGCTGCAGTCACACTCCCTCCCGCAATGACTATTGCAACTCTCTATGCACTCTTAACGCTTGGCGAACGGGGGCCGCATTGGGCTGTCCCTCCTCCGATTGGTTACGGAGCACGGAAACCATCAACGCAATCACAGACTATTCGGGGTAATCGTAATGTTTGTATCGTGTGTGTGTGTGTGCTTTGTGGGGAAACAGAAAGGGCGTCGCCTTTGCCATTGTCTCCGCCTCCGCTTCTGCCTCCTACCGGCCGTCCTCGAGACGATCCGGATCGGGTGCGTCAGCGCCTGCGTGTGATACTCCTACTGTTACGGCAATTGCGACGACGTTGCTACTGCCAACGCCATTGTCACTGGCCGTGTTGACTGCTGCCGAGCTCTCGACGATATCGCTGCCATCCACACTGCCGTGACCAGCTATCCGTTTCGCACAAACCAACTCAAAAGGCTAAATGAATGGGGGATAATGTGGAAACAAATGCAAATTACAAACAAGTTCGTTTAGTAAATCAACACAATCCAATCACATTTCATGCAGCAACTTAGCAAACGACATAGATTGAAAGGAAAAAAAGAAGAAGTCAGACCGATAAACCAGTAAATAATTAGAATTTAGATGTTGCGATCAGCATCGGAAAATAAACCGAGTCGCAACTTTAATTTTTAAGAAAGTTTCCACTACATAAAGATTAGTAAAAGCAGACGCGTCATATGTATAAAGCTTATATAGCGGTTGGCTAGAATCTTTTCTCTAAACTCACCTCCTTCTCGAGCTCCGCGGGCTTGCCGTTCCAGCTGAGCACAGAGGCGCCGTATCCGCGATGCGATTGCTTGAGCAGCTCGTTAATGGTGCTCCCATTTGAGGTGGCCTCGCTCTGGTAACCATTGCCAACTCTTGGCGGCTGGTGCGACTTGATCGCGGTGCCGTTCAGCAACTTCTGGCGCTTGGCGCCCGGCGTTGTGGGTGAATCAGTGGAGGGTTTGCTGCTAGCGAAGGGATTGCGATGGGTTTTTGAGGGCGTCGGGATTTTAGCTGCTAACGCTGGCGCCTCCTCTTCCTCCTCCTCATCGTCATCGTCGTCGTCATCGTCTTCCGGAGGAGCAACCTCATCGTTACGGGTCACCTTCCAGATGCCCGTTTTTGATTTAATGACCGCAGGTGAGGGTGGCGTTTTCGGCGAGGGTGGTGCTCTAGTGCTCAGCGATTGTTTCTGAGGGTGCCAGCCATTGGTCAGCTGGATGCTCGGCTCCTCTTCATCGTCGTCGTCCTCACTGTCAGCGGACTTTTTCAGGCTCTTGAATATCTCGTCTATGGCATCAGTCTTTTGTTTGCTGTTGTTAACGTGAACCGATGACGTGGCCGAGCCGTTGGTGAGACTGCCATTGGTCTTGCTGTGACCATTGAGCTGTCCAGCCTCCTGGTCCGAATCGCTCGAGTCGGATCCACTTCGACGCTTGCGGGCATTGGGCAGTGGCGCCTCTTCCTCCTCAGAGGCGTATTCGTAGGGCACTAAACTTTTCAGCGGTGTTTTGATGGGAGTCTTAACTTGGATTTTGATGGGCGACTTTGGCTTCTCTATGTTGTCTTCCGTCATCTTGGGCATGCTTGGCAGCTGGGCTGTCGTTAGCCGGGGCTTCATCTCATCATCGCTGTCCTCATCTTCCGAGGAGATTGGCAGATATTGTTGCTGGTTCATTGATTTGTGGTTGCTGCTGTTGTGGCTGCTGGTGGAGGAACTTTTGTTACCATTTGCAGTGGGAGCTGGAGGAGCCTCGCCTTTAGCGTGTGCGCCAACCAGTGAAGGCTTCGCAGAGTCCTGAAACTTGCCGGTCCCCAGCTGGAGACCGTTCTGCTGATTTTGCTGGTGGTGCTGTTTGAACTGAATGGCTGTTTTCTGGGCATTGCCGTTACTGTAGCCGTTGATGCCGCCGGGCGGCAGTTGGGGCCCAATGAAACGAGTCGGCGAGGGCGAAGATACCGTGGCCACAGGCACTGTTGGCGTACTGTGACCGTTGGTCAGCCGCAATCCATTTGGCCTGGCCGCCGCCGGGCTGGCAGTTTGTGAGGGGTCCAATTCGTAGAACATAATATAGGCATTTGTGTTGCAGACACTCTGCATGGAGATTGGCCGGACATAGCTGTCATCGAAGTTGTAATAGCTGCCTGAATCTGTGGAACCAATAGCCGTGTAATGGCCACAGTGCTGGGAAACTCCAAGATGAGTGACCATCGATACAAGGCGATAGGTGAGCGGTTGAGCTTGAGCCGCTGGCGAACGGGCAGCGTATTTGCTCAAGTCGATGCGCGGCTTAAAGGAGATCTGCTTGGTCAGTTTGTTGCCGATCATGGAGAAGCGCTTCAGCTGGATGCACAACGTAATTGGTGCCCTTTCCAAGGAGAATTGCTTGGTGGCAGATACCTGGAATGCTCATATGATTAATTATATTATAAGATAATAAAGGCAAGACCAACGCACCTTCTTTTTGCAGCCCTCGCATTTATAGCCCATATCCTCGAGCCGTTCGCGCGAAAAGTGGCCGTCAAAGGCGTCCTCGAGGGAGTCGGCTTTGCGAATATCGAGCAACAGATCTTGGAAGTGCTGGAACGTGATGGACACGTGGTTGCAGCTCAGGCAGCGCACTTCGCTGCGCAGGTAGCCCCCAAATATCTGCCCCAGCGGCGTTGTCTCCTTCACCAGCTGGTCCAGCTCCTTGTAGTTACGGAAACGCATCAGATAGGCCCGCTCCATGGCCTCGACAAGGAAGCGAAGAAACTCGTGCGCATCCTCCTGCCGACCAACGATCATATGCTTGCAAATTTGTTTCAGCTTCGAGTAGACGAGGAAGGGGCCTGACGGCCGATTGATTGCTTTGGGTGGCCAACAGGGTTTTGGCCATGGCGCAGATAATGCAACAGCCACCGGATTCGGCAACATTGCAGTTCTCCAGATGAGCCTGCTCCGAAACGAGCCAATTGGCCAGGGCGGGTATGTGGAGCAGTGCCTGGAGCGTGGAGTTGAGGTAGCAGGTGTTGCCCACGTTTATCATTCCCGTGCCCACCTGCCACTTGCGCTCCGACTGCTTCCAGCCGATGCGAATGTTCTCCCGGGGATAGAGAACCCTCTTCGGTTTGGGCAGCTCATTGGGATTGTTTGTGGGATGCGGATGATTGTGATTGTTCAGATGCGACTGATTATTAGGGTGCTCCGTCTGCTTGCGCCCGCCGTTATTGTCTGCAAGGGAAAAAAAGAATGTTGCCAGTTTAAGCACGTGCCACAGGAGGAGGCAGCAGGGCAGCAGGAGCAGCTTGTAGAGCAGCCACAGTGAGAACCCGTCCACCATTATCACAGTCATAATGCATCGAGTGTCTGAAGTTCTCAGGATTTATTATTCACTCGCTGCCTGCCTGCTTGCCGTGCCAATAAAATAAAAATAAAACGAGCTGTGCTCGTTGTGGAAACTGCTGACACACACTCGCACTTACACACCCACAACCGCAGGTGTGCAGTGTTGGAAAAGGTACGATATCTTTGTACCTAGGTATAGCGCTAATTCAAAAAACTTAAAATAATAAATTGTTACACTTACAAATAAAATTAAAAACTTTCTTTTTAAAAAAAGCCATGACGTCTAAAGCTGTTTGAAATTGTGAAGTAAACCTCTAAAAATGTAACTGAACAAACTATGTACTTCTAAACAAAGAAGTTCTTTAATATGAAAAAACAAAAAATCAACAACTGACATTACCTAATATTAAGTTAACTTAGTGCTATTGGAGTATTAGGTTTAATTGGTAGGTCGATAAAGTGTAACTAGTCTTTAGAAATTATGAAAGCCAAGTATATAAATAAGCCGATAACGTACAAGGTTCTTTATAACGAAGGTATCTATTGTATTAATATAATATATTTTTAAAACATCTTTAAAACGACCAAAAGTTTGGATCATAGGTACGTAGGTGTTCATATCTAAATGTTATTCAACACTCGCCTGTCTCTGTGATAACAGCAAGCGTGTGAGTAGGACGGCAACTGGCAGAAGAAGAAAATGTATGCTGATAACAGCAAACGCGTAAAAGAGATGGCGACTGCGGGACCAGACAATGCGTCTGCCACGAACAGATAGTTGTCTCGCTCTGACTCAGGGGGTTGGGGCAACACAGTGTTGCCAACTGAATTTTTGGCGCGACCTAACAGTGGTTGTTGTAGACTCCCTGCTCCCCTTTTCTTGTTCTTCTTTGTAACTGTGTTCGAGGCATTGACCAGGCCAAAAAAGAAAAGCATCTTGTAACAGCTTCTCCTTCTTGGCTTTGTGTCCACTTCCTGCTTTTGTGATTCACACTTCTGCAATCCCCTTTGTTTGCACTCTTTTTATCACACAAGCAGATTGCGACGCATTTACCGCCTATATAAAAAAAAAACAAATCCAATAAAAGTACCGCTGGCCATGTGTGCGGGGAAAAGAGACAGAACTAGAGAGGGGAGCCCTCGTGCTTTTGCCTTTAATTTTTTGCCGCTGAAAAGACAGCACGTTTTTTTCCGCCACAACTTCTGTGATTCAGAAGTTTGAAGGCGTTGTTGTTGCCTCTCCAGCTTACTCTTTGCTGCGTTGTACTTGTTTTGCTTTTTCCGTGTATTTCTTTGCATTCTGTTTACACGTACACCACCCAAGCGCCCTCACACACGCACACACGAGCTTCTAAAAAGTACAGGTATGCTGCTCTGCCGACGCCGACTGCGCTGCCGGTAAAATGCAGGCAGACAAAAAAAAATGTAGCGGAAAAACAACACACGTGATTTGTAGAGGGATATTCCCAAAAGATCTGGCAAAAACATCTCGGATAATATATACACATGTACATATATATATTATATATACATTTATAGCACATGGAAAAATTGCGCAAATTGCCACACAAAGAAGAAACACAGACGAAGGCGGAGACGAAGAAAAGCCACTTTTGCAGGCAACTTTTCGTTTTTTTTTTTATCTTTACTCACCATGTCCATTTGCGCCCACAACTTTGCCTGCGTTGTTTTTGCCACCAAAACCATTGACGGCGCCTGGATTTCCAGGCTTGATGACAATATACTTGGACTTAAGGTTCTCCAGCACAGATTCGTGGTAATTGGGCACCTCCTCATACTCGATTTTGGCCATCAAGATGCGCTTGGCGTTGGCCACTATGTGGTTCTGCAGGCTGCCCGAAGAATCTTCGCCGGTTTTGGCCTGGTCAGCTGAAGTGGACGACGTGCCGCCAAGCGATTCTCGTAGCGCGGCGTTGACGACATTCGCCGTTTCGCAGACGGCCATCGAAACGGGCATGCTGGGGATTTGAGGTGGAATTTTGAGATGGGTCAACGAGGACCACTACGACATTCGACCAGTTAGCTAATGCACATCGAAGATCCTGTAGATTTGATCCTCTTCTGCCCACACGTCCTTCAGAACTCTCCTTGCTCTTTTCTCTCCTCTTCACTCCTTTCTCTCTCTTTCTGCTTCTTGCTTCACACACCGACTGCGACACCGACAGACGCACACTAACGCACTCGGGCACACTCTTTTTCTAGCTTTTTCCTTTTCGCGTAGCTATTTCTTGACCAATCGAGCATTACGTTTGGGGCCGGGGCACTTGCAAATCGATCAGGTTTAATTTCGAACGCGGCCAGGGCACATTTTAAAACGGAAAGTCTGCTTTCGAAAATAGTGACGATTCCTTCCCTCGTGTTTCTTCCGACTACGGATTCTCTTTTCCACCATCTTCGTCATTTGGTGGTGCCAACTCGCCGTAGATGGCAAAGTGACGCGCTAGGCAATGCGGTATGATAAAATACCCTAACGCGTTTGAAATAAAAATACTATTCGTGTTATTAAATATTATACATATATTCAATATTAATATACATATATAATCAATATTATTAATTATAATTATATTATTGAAGAAAACATTACAACAATCAAAAAGTTTTTGTTACTGATCAAAAAATTTTCTTATTTTCAAGGCCTAGAGGAGTTAAGTTAGTAGTATTTCTTAATTCTTTAAAAACAAATTAGGGTTCAGTTAAAGGTAATCTTAATCCTGTTGTTTTTCTTTAATGTATTATTCGTTATTTTGTTCAATTTTTATGTGTACATATTATTCTTTGATAACAAAATTATTTTTTAATGTTAAAATATTAACGGAATCAAATCCTTATCAGTAATTATCGATAACTTTAAGTACACCTGACAACACTACTTTAAAATGTTGATGCAACCGTTTAACTAGAATTTAATTAATTTTAATCAGTCGAGCAGAATGGCCTCCTCCACAGGTCTCCTCGTCGTGTCCAACATTAAGCACCTGGGAAAATCCCTGCGCGCTATCGAGAAGTACGTGAACTCGCTGTACATTCATTTAAATGTGGCGGGGTCAACGTCCACGTCCTCATCCGTTCCACCTCCACCAGTTTGGGGTCGTCTGATTTCCCAGCTCTATGCGAATAGCAGTAGCTATGTGGGCAACCAGTTGGACTTGCGAGTCCTTGTCTCTCCACTCCGGCCTGGAGGTACCGCGTCCTTAAACTTGCGCCAACCTGTGGACCTCATCTTCTCGGATGCCCATTATCCAGAGTTGTGTGAGCGATTGCGAGCAGATCTAAACATCAGCAAACCAACAATATATCTGGATGAGACCGTCATCTCCGATTTGAGTGCCCAACTGGATGACTCACAGGCTACCAAAACCTATCCCTCGGTTGTCCTGGGCGGAACCTTCGATCGTATTCATCTGGGCCATAAGATATTTCTGACACAGGCTGTACTGCGCACTTGCAAACGCCTCGTAGTGGGCGTAACGACCTCCGTCATGACGAAGGGTAAGCGCTGGATGATTTGGCAAAATGATTCTTATCTAAATGGTATTTGCTATCTGCAGGAAAGACTTTGCCAGACTTGATTTTGCCAGTGGAGGAGCGTATTGCCCGGCTAAGAGAGTTTCTTATGGACATAGATGGTACGCTTCAGTACGAGATTGTGCCCATAGACGATCCCTTCGGACCAACGCAAGTGGATCCCGATCTGGATATGATTGTAGTCAGTGCGGAAACGTTGCGAGGTGGCCAAAAGGTCAATGAAATTCGCTCTGCCAAGCAACTGCGACAGTTGGAGATATTCGTAATCGATATTGTGGAGAGCAACGTGCACGACGGCATCCACGAGTCGAAAGTAAGCTCCAGCAATACCCGAATTGATTTGCTGGGAACCCGATGGCGAAGACCGGAGCATCGTCCACAACTCCCAGCACGTCCGTACATTATAGGATTAACTGGGGGGCATCGCCTCTGGCAAGAGCAAAATGGCCGAGAGATTGGGCAATTTTGGCGCCCATGTCATCGATTGTGATAAAGTGGCCCATGATGTGTATGAACCGGGTCAGGTGTGCTACGAAAGAGTTGTGCAGCATTTTGGACCAAGCATTGTTTCCCCGGATGGACGTATTGACCGCTCCAAGCTGGGACCTTTGGTGTTTGCCGATCCAAAGAAGTTGGAGGCACTTAACGGGATTGTTTGGCCAGAGCTTATCGCAGAAGTTAATAGACGACTGGATGTACTGCGTTCACAGCCGGAAGTGCCCCGTGTGGTGGTCCTGGAGGCGGCGATACTACTGCGAGCCGGCTGGGAGTCCAATTGCCATGAGGTGTGGTCCATGATTGTCCCCCCCGAGGAGGCTGTCCGGCGAATCATCGAGCGTAACAAATTCAGCGAGGAGGAGGCCAAAAAGCGTCTGGCTAGCCAAGTGCCTAATCCAGAAATTGTGGCCAAATCGCATGTTATTTTTAGTTCCCAGTGGGATCACAATTTTACGCAGAAACAGGCGGAGAAAGCCTGGCAAATGCTCAACAAGGAACTGGACTCGCTCCAGAGCAGCCTTTAACAGGGATGGATATTCAAGTTACCAGCTAAGAATTGTTGAACATTTTTTTGTTTGAATTCTTATGCATTTGTTGTACATTGCTTAGTTTTAAGTCGAAAGTTGAAGAGAAAGTCCGAGACGTCATTGGGAAAACGATTACATTTTTAACGGATTCCTAGTGGGTAACCTAGTGACTCTCGCCCTTCTTGCCGGCGACCCGTTTAAAGTCGTTCATCTTGGTGGTCATGATGGGGGAGCCAATAAAGCCGATGTAGTCGATCTGCGTCACATCACCACCTGACTGATTGTTCTTCACGAAGATCTGGATGTTCTGGACGTTCTGGAACTTGACATAGCGTAGATTCACGGGGACGCCGTTCTCCAGCTCCTTCTCAGCCAGACTGAAAAATGTTTGTAATTAAGAATGAACATATTACTTGGGAAATGAGATAGGTAAAAGCCACCTTAAGTCCTGCACACTGGTCATGGACTCGGCCATGTCGAAGTCAATTGTGCGGGGCTGGTTGATGAATAACTTGACATCCTTGGGACCTAACTGCGAAGGAGCCTTGAACTTCAGGGAGTGGATCTTCACAGCCTGGTTAAAGGTGATGGACAGGATAAGCTGCTCATCGCAATCCGACTGTAGGTAGCCACCGGCAGAGGCCAGGGCGTGCTTTAAATTGTGGTCGTCGGATTCGTTGAGACACTCGCACTCCTGCTTTGAGATGAAGGTGTTCAGCTCCATCTACGTATGGTACAAAAGTTAATTATCGATGTAAAGATAATCTGAAGAACCCTACCAAGCCCTGTCCGTAGTCCTCGCCCGCATCTTCGCCGCCGCCGGTGCCGATGTGCTCCTGGATCTTGGCCTCCAGCCCGTTGACGTCCGCACCCTGAATGCGGTCGATTTTGGTCCGGTTTCTGTAGAAGATGAACGTGGGCATGGCTGAAACGCCCTGGCCGGCGGCCGTGTCCTGGCACTTGTCCACGTCCACCTTGAGGAAGATTGCTTTGGGGTACTTGTTCGGGAACATCTCAAATATCGGGGCGATTCGCTGGCAGGGACCACACCAGGTGGCCGTAAAGTCCACCACGACCAGGCGAACGCCAGCCTGGGCCAGCTCCGCCTGGAAGTGAGACTCGTCGTTAATAACGCGCACGGACATCTCTAAAATTACAAAGTATTATTGGCTTTAAATGCGAATTTCCGAAGCGACAACAAAAAAAAGATGACTGGCATATAGAGATGGGCCAAAATCGATTTGTTTGAGAGACAACGGATTTTTTAATGAATGCAGCAGCAATTATCGATCAAGTGCACTGTTGATAAAAATAAATTAATCAAATTAATTGAAATTGAAATTTAGTAAAATTAATATACATATAAGCAAATAACCATTAACAATTTAAAATTTGAAACTAGCCATTCCTGGGAATTAGTTTATTTTGGTATTTAAAAAAGTTTTGAGTTTTGAAACTATAAAACATAATATGTGTAAATGAATATTAAATTTATCTGCAAAGCATTGTTTGGCATGTTTTTTGAGCATAACTATAAGCCTTACATGCCGCTTAATTATAATAATTACATTCCGCGGCACAATTAGGGTTGCCAGGGTTCTTACTTCTCAATTAACGCTCCCACTATTAAAGCTATTGAACAGGTCGATACTTTGAAGTTGTTGCTTTTAAGATGGACACCGTCAAAAAAAATGAACTAGTAACTGTTCATAGATTTCCTGTAAAACTTTGCCGCGCGATCTTAAGAAAAGTTATTATTGGTATATGTGGTCGATTAAATCGCTGAAGTTCTCAACCATCGATGGTGCAAGCTTGCTCCTAGCCATCGATAGTATTGGCAGGTCTAATTCTCTGCGCGCGCTCGGCCACACTAGCTTTACCTCGTGGTGTTTCAGGTCGCATTTTCATTAAAGTCGCCATTTTAAAATTTTTAAAGTCGAGTGTTCACCATGGCAGATGTGGAAAAGGAGCCCGAGAAGACCATCGCCGAGGATTTGGTGGTGACCAAGTATAAGCTGGCCGGAGAGATTGTTAATAGTAAGTATTTGCTGCCGGAATCCGCGGAGGAAGAACGATTCCAGGAGTCGTCGCTGCGACGTGGCGCTTACACAATATATAAATGCCGCTTTCCCTTTTTTGACACGCGTTGCTAAAACCGACTATTTCTGGACCTGTTTAATTTTAGAAACCCTCAAGGCGGTAATCGGACTCTGTGTAGTGGATGCCTCCGTGCGGGAGATCTGCACTCAGGGCGACAATCAGCTCACCGAGGAGACCGGCAAAGTAAGTTGGCTATCCAATAGCCCAGAACTTCACCTTATTTTGTTGTCCAATGATTAAGACTTACACTATTGAGGGTAAGCCAAGGAGTGTGCCATGCGCTGTGCGGGCTGGAGATCACCTCGTGGTCGCCAGGCGTACGCGGGATTTTAAGTACCCACGTGCCCGGCTTATGTGCTCGCAATTTGGTCCCAAGGATTCACAGATTATGAGATCTGAGGACGTTTTAAACACTATGAAAGATTGCTACTCTTAAGGACAATTAAACTAATTAATTTTTCTCCCTCTTTCATGCCAGGTTTACAAAAAGGAAAAGGACCTGAAGAAGGGTATTGCCTTTCCCACCTGTCTGTCCGTCAACAACTGTGTCTGCCACTTTTCGCCAGCCAAAAACGACACCGACTACACGTTAAAGGCCGGCGATGTGGTTAAAATGTAAGTTGTTTCTTATATTTTTGTTGAGTCTGAAATTAATTTGCTCATTTTCTCGTTTTCTAGCGACTTGGGCGCCCACATTGATGGTTTTATCGCCGTGGCCGCACACACAATTGTGGTGGGTGCTGGAGCTGATCAGAAGATCAGTGGTCGCCAGGCCGATGTCATCCTCGCTGCCTACTGGGCTGTCCAAGCTGCCTTGCGTCTCCTTAAGTCCGGCGCCAATGTGAGTTTGCCTGTTAATTACAGGTTAATCCTTAGTTAATCCTTGCAAGAAACGGATTGTCGATCGCGACTCCTCAGCGACTGAACATCTCAACACTTGCAGAAATCAGCGGTGGGAGCTGGTAAATGCCCTAATCTATTATTAAGGGTTGGTGGCTTCTTGCCAGTTGTCCTTATTCTTACTTCATCTGCAGGCAACGGATTGACTGTTGCTAAAACCCTAGCCCAGTTCAGCTCAACGCCTGTGGAGAGAAATCGTGTCAATTTCGTGAACTGAACAAGTTTATGCCAAAGAAATGTTCGGTCTTTAAAGTTGCCCACATATGAACATTAAATTAAAATCATCTGCAGGAAACGGATTGGCTGTTGCCCAACCCATGGCTCAGCACAGCTCAACACCTGCAGAGAATAGCAGTGTCAATTTCGTGAACTGAACAAGTTTACATTTCAGAAATGTTTGGTCTTTAAAGTTGTCCACAATTGCATTGATGATTACTATATCTTTAGTAACGTTACCAATGGTTTTCTTTATCTATTTTGGCAGACTTACAAGTAGATTTCATGCTTGTAACTCATTCAAAGCTTAAATTTTAACACCGTTGTTTTATATCTTATTTCAGAACTACTCCCTCACCGATGCCGTGCAACAGATCAGCGAGTCCTACAAGTGCAAGCCCATCGAGGGTATGCTCAGCCATGAGCTGAAGCAGTTCAAAATTGACGGCGAGAAGACGATCATACAGAACCCCAGCGAGGCGCAGCGCAAGGAGCATGAGAAGTGCACCTTCGAAACGTACGAGGTGTATGCCATCGATGTCATCGTCAGCAGCGGCGAAGGAGTGGTTAGTAGTCCAACAAGATCTATGCTATATATTTACTTTTGTTCAATGATTAAAAACACGCGCTTGAGGTTGACTTTGGCTGGAGTAAGGAGTTTGTTGCGTAAGCGTTTTGTATGCTTGGCGGGCTTTAGTTTGTAAGCCCGGCACGTACAGACTCCTATGTTTAGCTGAAAGTTGTCCGAAGATTGCAAGATTATGAGATCTGAGAACGCCAAAAAGGACAAAACTTTCCTCCTTTTTTGTTAATTAAAAACAGAATTGCTAAGCCCTTCCACTTATTGCAGGGACGCGAGAAGGACACCAAGGTCTCTATCTACAAAAAGTCGGAGGAGAACTACATGCTCAAGCTGAAGGCATCCCGTGCCCTGCTGGCAGAGGTGAAAACCAAGTACGGAAACATGCCATTCAACATCCGCAGCTTCGACGAGGAGACCAAGGCCCGCATGGGAGTCGTCGAGTGCGTCTCGCACAAGATGATTGAGCCCTTCCAAGTGCTGTACGAGAAGCCTTGTAAGTGTGATACATTAATTGTTTCTCCGTTTATATCGTTGGCAAAACTTAATTCCGGATTTGGTACACCTTCGGGTGCTGAGCACGGCCAGACATTTTGCTAGAACAAATCTCAGACTTTGGCGTCTTCAGCAGTTGCTTCCTTTTGGCCTCTGTCTGAACATGCCAAAGTCACAATTTTCTCAACAAAATAATAACTTTTGATAAGCTGCAAAGCTTCTATAATTTGCTGTCTAGTTTAAAGTTGTTTTACTTTAAACAAACTAGTTTATTTTAATTAAAAAGAAAAAACGAATTGTTTTCAAATGTTTAAGAAACTATTCTTGTTTTACAGCTGAGGTTGTTGCGCAGTTTAAGCACACGGTTCTGCTCATGCCCAATGGAGTCAATCTGGTCACCGGCATCCCGTTCGAAACGGATAACTATGTGAGCGAGTACAGCATTGCGCAGGAGGAGCTGAAGGTATGGGATCCTTTTCCACTTACTCCGTTTTAGATATTAACCGCTTCCTTTTTTTCAGACCCTTCTCACGCAGCCTTTGGGCCCCGTTAAGGGCAAGGGTAAGGGCAAGAAGGCGTCAGCTGGAGCGGCGACAAAGGTGGAAACGGCGCCGGCCGTTGAGACCAAGGCATAGGCCAAAACTTGCTGATCAAAATCTGCACCACCAACCCAACAACAATGTGAACAATTGCGCTGCCTTCCGCTGCCGCTCTACAGATTTTTACTATCGAATTCGTTGCGTATTAAAGCCTTTTTGACAACAGAACAGAACACGGCAACAATTTGAGGATTCCTGTTCACACTAGCAGCGAACTAAAAACGCAGAACCATTTCCCAACAATCCTCCATCCATCAGCAGGGCGGCTTGACTCGCTCCAAATTTACCTCTTTATTTCCCATACTGTAAGCTGCCTTCGTATATCGGTTTGTTCAACATCATCGCAACGAAAAAGCAAAGCAAGAACTGTCGTCAAATTGTAACAATTTTAACGCTAAATGATCTTAAAATATAATTCAAAAGAAACGTTATTAACGCTGCGTAGTAGGTATTAAATAAAATTAACATTTTCTATAAAACAACCGATAAATACCAAGTGACTTTTAATTTATTAGATCCCTTGCCCGACGGGCTATTCGAATTCAAGACGCTTAAGTGTAATAAATGCACTTGAGAGTTGTGTTTATTTTATCATTTTAATTTAGTTTTGATGTTCACATTCACATTATACAGTTTGTATTTTAGATTTCTTGCATGTTTAGTTTAAATTTTACAGTCTCATCTTTGAACTCTTGTATTACGAAAGTTGCAAGAATAACTTCGTTACGGTTAACGTCGCTTAGTGTGCTGTGCCAGCCAACCCAGCCCTCGACCCGACCCCCAGCTACGCTCCAATCCAAACAAGTCCAGTCCGATCTGCCCAACCCTCCGACTTTCTCCTCTTGCGTGAAAAAATAAACAACAACAAAATACGCAATTGCTGCGGGTACAGTATATAAAAAACACGACCAGCACATGCAGACGACAAGGATATGTGGCCGTTGACTATAACAGGATCTGGGATTTAATGGTCTGTCCTCGCTTAGGGGTACATACATAGTTTGGTTTCCTTGTTTTTTTTTTGTTTGGGTCGAGGACTGTGTCTTACTCTCGGACAAATTAATTATCAACATGCACGTCCATTGGTGCCGAGGCTGTCACGTTGCTCGACTTCTCCGGCGAGTCCAAGTAGATCTTCAGGGCGCGTTCCCTTCGTTGCGAGTAGCGCGTGGTAGACACACAACCCACTCGATCCAGACGGGCCTTTTCCCTGGCGTTCATCTGGCGTCGCTCATCCAATGACAGTTCACGCGCAGGTACTGTTTTATCTCTGCAAGAAATAATCATTAAATAACCACTTTGTTCAAAGAATTCAACTCGATGGCAACGTACTTGTACAAGTAGATGTTTCCTGTCTGTGTAGTGTTAAGCGGATATTTGTCCAGGCTGGCCGGCACCGCGTACCAACTGCTGGACTCGTTGACGCTTAACGCTGATATGCTTGTGCAGGGGAAGTTGCTGTTCACCTGTGGAGAACGCCAAAAAGGTTTAGATCAATTGAAAACAAACGAAATTCGACATACCTTCATATAGCTGAGTTTGTCTATTGTGATGTTGCTGATCTGTGATAATGAGCGTCTTATTTCGCTGCCCTCTGTAAAAAAATAAGCAAAGTTTAGTTTTACAACAACGTTTATTAATCGTAAAATACATACGGTCTAACGTGATTTCCTGGAACTTGCCGAACTCCATTTTAGCCGGACACCAGCGCCTTACAAAAATGGTGAGCGAGTCCTCCTTGGGCTGAGGATTCACTCCCTCTTCGCATTCCTGTACTATGAACTGCAGTGACACAAAAGTTGAACATAATAACGATATTGTACTATTTATCAATGCAAAGATAAACCCACCTCAGCTGCAATGGTAGAACGCATGTCGCAATAGAGCGTCTCATCGTTGGCCAGAATCTTGATGGGAATACGCCCGCCCTTTAGCCAAATACGGCAATTCTCCACAGTGAGAGTGGCGTACTTGGCGTCCATGCGATGCAGCTTCGCCACCAGATCTTTCTTGGCCTGCTCCGCCGTTGTGTTGGCATTGTAGACCCACTCGCAAACGCAGGGCAGCTTAGAGGTTTCGTTGTCCACGTCGGCAAGCCGCAAAAAGTAAATCTTAGCCTTGAACTCGTCAGACTCCAGATTCTTGCCTAATTCCACCGTGAGTGTTTCGCCTTCGGTAAGAAGAAGTAGCGAATTGTTCGAAGTGCTGGACAGGTTATCGTGCTTTCGTTGCAGCTTAAAATAGGCACTGGGCACTTGGATTAGATGTTCGATGTGGCGTTTGAAGGCGACCATGGGCATGTGGGTGCCCACCAGTAGTTTGTAGGCGCGAGTCGGTCTTCGCAGCTGGGCCTCCTCGTCGGACTGGTGACCCGAGTTGGAACTGGTACCCACAACATCCACGCACTCGACCTTTGTGGCATGGAAGAAGTGGTTGGTGCTGCTGGGCAGGAGCAGGGGATCAACCACATCAGCCGCCGCATAGCTGCCGTTACCATTGCAGTAGGCATGCACTCGCATCATAGCATCGTGTGACGCTGCTTCATCTTCGGGGCTAGAAAGTTGTGGCGAATGACTGGTGGAGCTCACTTGGCTGTCACCTCCGCCGCGATGGGCCAGGTTCTCCGTCTCCACCAGAGTGCGATCGCCGTCGCTTAAGCTGCTGTCCTCAGAATTGGACTCGTGACCGTGACTGGGACTTGGTTGGACCAGCGGCTCCAGCAGATCCCGCTTATAACGCCTCCAATCGCTATCATTGCTGGAGGGCTCGTGGCCAGACGAAACGCCGTTCATCATGGCAGCATCTACCACGTCGCCACCGCTGGCACACTGCAAACGAAACATTGAATTTTAGATTCGGTTAACTAAGAGATTCAGTTAACTCACCTCAACTGACTCGACACTGGGCACACCCAGCATCTCCAGGCTGGCGGCATCCGTATTGGGTACGTTTAAGTAGAAATATGTTATGGATTTGAACTGGGTGTTTGCTAGGTTCTGAAGGTGCTGCAGCGCCTCGGGCGACGGATGGGGATCGTAAGCCACGAAAGCCTTCGGCACCGTGCCGCGCACCGTGGCGAGAAGGAACTGCTGCTCGTTAATGTGCAAACGGACGGCAATGGAGTGCCTTAGGACGTCGCTGGCCTCTCGTTCCCGCGCTGCTGAGTAAACCAGGAAGGGACCGTCCATCGCCATGCTCGATTGATCTACCTTAAACACATACCAGGTGATGCCGTCGGGAGGGTACGGCTCGAACTGCTGGTCCTCGGCCCGGTACTCCAGCAGGAAGTCCAGACTGTAGTTCTGCGAGGCACGCAGCTCGGTCAGAGCCGGATCTGTGCAGCTCTCCAGAGACTGAATAATCGTGTCCATCGTGGAGTTGTAGGCTACCAAGCGACAGCGTGAAATCGGAGCAAACTGCTCCACGTTCAGCATATCGTAGGCGGACATCAGCACTAGGTTGACATCGAAGCTCTGCGACACGTACACCCTCGTAAACTTCATCTTCTTCAGCGAGGGATTGTAGAAGTAAACGCGAGGCTTGTACAAATCCGGAAGGGCCAAGTCTGTGACTGTGATGTGCCTGCCCAAACGGGTCACGCGAGTCTCCTCCTCCGAGTGCAGTTTGGGCAGCAGCGTTTTGATGTGCTCCGGAAAATCGGCCACCTTAGCGACCAGCTCGTTCCGCTTAGCGTCGACCTGCCGGTACATCAACATGTAGGCGTTGGTGCTGGAGGTGTAGGCACTGGAGTAATAGCTGCCATTGGGTCCGCCAAACGAACGCTGAATGTCCTCTTGGGTGATCTACAAAAATTAATATCTCAAGTTATTGAGTTTCATTTCAAGGGAAGGGATTAACGTACAGAGGACACATTCTGATCGTTGAAGCAGAACCACTCGTTGTTGTCGAAGTCCTTAATGTAGGCGTAGTAGTGGCCACCGGAAGCACTGCCCGAGTGAATCATGATGGCAAACAGTTCGTACAGGTACGGTCCAGATCCCTGCTTGGCGCTCTTGCTGGTACTGCTGCTCATGTCGATTCCCTCGTCCTCGTCGTTCAGATCGTTTTCATGCTGACTGGAGCTCGCTGTGGTCACCACGCCGCTGCTCAGGTTGTCATCCTCCATCGCCGAGCCGCTGTCCGCCGTGCTGCAGTCGTCCACGGTGCCGTTCATTTGGGGATTCTGCTCGCCACTGTTGCCGCTCCGGTTGATGAACGTGTTCAAGTTGAGGGTCTGCGGAAAGGTAACTCTGCAAAACAGACGAACGTGAATTAACGAAAACATGTTTAATCGATCATGATTCTTTTCTGATTACCCACAAAAGTCAATCGACTCACCTGTCGTTTAACTTGATGCGGTGCATGGTCTGATAGTCGAAGTCAAAGCGCTTCAGGTGCAAAGTGAGGATGTAGGGAAAGGACTTGAAGTGCAGTCCCTTGTGAGCGTCGCACTTCTTCTTGCACTTCTCGCAGAGATATTGGTTGTTGCCGTCGAGGGTCTCCGGCTGGACGAAGGCGCGCAGAGCCTCCTCAATGCTGCCGTAGGCGGAGCTGCTGCCAAAAGGGCGCACCGGTAGTGGGATGTCCAGGAAGGTATCCTCACGGGTCTTCTCCGTATTGCACTCCAAGCACTTCACGTAATCGTTCATTTTGCCCTCGTACAGGTTGGAAATGAGGTTTGCCTGCTTGGTGTTCTTAAACTTGTGTTCCAGAGCGTCGAACATGACGCGGCACAGTTCTTGGATGTCGTGCTGCTGCCATGCCTCCGTCGAGTCCCAACCAAAGCTGCGGGTCAGGTCCGTGGTCTCCACCGCCGGCTTAGGAGAGGTTTGCAAGTTGAGGAACAGCTTCTGCAGTTGATAAGGTATGTTCTTGGCCTCGTTGTCGTTGTCGAACTCCCAGCGATACAGAGCGTTCCTGAACTCGGGCGTCATAAATAGCGCCTGCAGCAAGCTGTTCAAGTAGCAGGTCATGGCCTGGTTGACCAATCCCACGTAGCCCTTGGGTCCTCCGTTCGTCTGCCGTGTCTCCGTCTCCGTTTCCGTGGTGGCCGAGGCCACAAAGTCCGAAGCCGTCGTGTTGACTCTCTGCCATGCTGGCAACTCATCACCACCGTACTTTCGGCGATAGAAGTTTGATACAGAGGGATCCATACCGTTGTCTGGTCCTATAGATCCGGATGGGTCCACCTCGCTAGTCACACCCTCGGTTTCCAAATCCGCAGATGGGGCTCCGAAATCATAGCCCGGTCCCAGCATAGTTGGACTAGCAGATGCACCCAGTGCTAAGTCGTCATCAGACAGCGGCTCGATATCCGAGATGAACAGGTCCGAGGGAGCATCGTCCACCGGCGAGATGAGGTTTCTAGCTTGTGGAAACAGCTGCAGCTGCTCGGAGAGCTGTTGCTTTCGTAGCGCGTCCAATGGTTCGCAGTCCAGCTCTTTGATGGGCGACGAAGGCTTGATGGGACTCGGTAGCTCGGGACTGGTTTCCGTAGTAACCTTTGCCGCCTTCTTAGCAATGGGACTCGCCGGCGAAGAGATCTTGGAGCTTGCCTCTGCAGGCACTTCGGTGCTTTCTTTAGGGCTGGCATTTGGTGCCTCTTCAGAAACTGGTTTGGGGCTCTTTTCTGAAGTTGCTTTGATCTTGGAGGTCTTCTCTGGGCTTGACTCCGAACTAGCGCTGATTTTGGTGCTGGCCAAGGAGTCCTCGACCGTGGTTTTGGTTTTGCTTGGCGAGGAGGATCTCGATGCTGGCTTCTTCTTCACAACGCGTTTCTTCTTCTCACCAGTGCCTGGGCTTTTAGCCTTTGCCTCGTCGGACTTTACGACCTTCTTGACCACGACCTTTTTAATGGGCAACTCAAAGCGCTTGGTCACGTCGCCATCCCAGCTGCCGGAGGGCAAAAGGATCAAGTGATTCCTCAGCTGACGCTCAAAACCATCGACTTCGTATATTAGCTGGGATTCCAGGGCATTCAAGTTGACCTGAGGGAAAATAATACATTTAGTATTGGGTGTTTAGGCGGTAAAATAGCTCTTAATCCTTACCAGATCCTTGTTGTCGTGTGGTTGCAACAGTAGCTCGAACTTTTCGTAGGAAAACTGGGTGCCGATCAGACCAATAACGCGTTTCACCGTGTCGTGGGAGCGAACCACTACGGCGATCTTCTTCTGCTCCGAGCCGGGCGTCTGGTCAAAGACCGAGACGGTGCACTGTTCGCACTCCTTGTCCGTCATATCCTGCCTGCCCAGTGTTCAAGCGATGATGGGGAAAATCCTGTGGGTGTAAAAAAATGCAAAACGATTAGCGTAACTCATGAATTTTGTTATGGGTTTATCGGTTTATAATTTTTGTAATATTACAACAAAGGTGATGACATGACAGCTTTGACGACTGCGGCGTGGCCAAGTTTTTGGTCATGACGAAGCTACTTTTGGACCAGCTAAGGCCCATGGTAAATAAGGAAGATCTGGCCGGCCCCAAATTAATGCGAAATCTTCTTGTTTTCGACCTCATTTGCGAATAAAGCGGCAGAAACGAAGAAAAGTCCGCACCGCCTCCCTCCTAGCCACGGATATTGACGTGCTCCGGGTTCGCTTTTCGCGCCTTATTTGTACGGGCCAGTTGCCGTCTATATATATATTTAAATAGCACGTACACCCAATCGAGCATCGACTGCCCCCCGAATTCGACGTCGTGACTAACGCACAGCGGAATTTCGTAAACAACCGACCATCAGTTTGGCTCCGGAGGATGCTACGGGAATTATTATTTGCCTCCTCCGTTGGGCGACCAACGTCATTAATATCGGGCGTACTGAATGCATAAATTTCAGTGCAAATGTCGCTCCATGTTGCCTTGTAACGGAAGTGGTGGCGATTATACATACGGTCGAAAATCTGGCGCCTTTCAGGCGGCAATGCGCAAAATGCAAGTGGGTGGTACACTTATCTACATATAAAAATTAATACCTATTTGGGCATAAGCGGAGAACTGAAAATTATTCTAGAAATCTTTGTAATACTTGACAGATTTAAAGAAAACAGATGGTAAATTTAAATTGCGAATTTATTGAATACTATATATTGATTTTATGGGCTACATTTTTTCATAAACTAGGACGCCTTTTCTAAAGATACATATTGACAATTATTTTTCATTTATCGACTGTAAATCAAGAAAATATATAATCTTCAGACGCGCCTGTCAATCGATTCTTAAATTAATTTTTTCAAATGTCTATTTCGGCATTAATCTCGAGAGACTTTGTGCTGGTCGGCATATAATTGAGTGTCGTAAGCAATTGGGGCTCGAGTAATTGCAATGTTTTTCCAATTCGCTGCCTCGAAATAACCACAAAAACACAGCTAGTCAAGATATTTTGGTTCTCCGAATGGAGGATGCACCGCGACGTAATGTGAATGCGCTGCAGTTGCGTTCAAACACATGTTGGATGGTCCAAACACAAACCGCTGGCCCGCCAAGGGAGCGAGCGAGATGGGGATCCAAAAATGCTAATACACGTCGGGCCAGCAAAAATCAAAATAAGAAACCCGTGCTGCTAAAAATAAAAACAGGCGGCGACAACGACACATCGAAGCGGTCGGAAAAAGCACACAAGACTCGAGAAAAAAGAAGGCGAGGGGAGAAAGATACAGTCAGCGCCACAAAAAAAGCCGCACTTAAAAAAATTTGGAAATTGTGCAGTCACTATGCTTGGGTTCCCCTAAATTTTATTCTCTGGGCATTATTTTTTTAGGGAGGTGTCCCTTAACCATTTTCGACATAATTTCGTCATTTGAAGAGCGCTATTGCTTAAGTTGCTTTTGGTAGAATTTTTTTTGTAAAGACACCAGTAAAATCATGCCAAAGCAAAAGCAGTTCACTGATCGCGATAAAGAAAAAATTATTTTATTGGCTAAACAAAATGAGTCAAATCTGCAAATAGCGGCTGAAACACATTTCAATGAAAGCTCAGTGCGTCGTTTAAAAAAAAATATAGTCAGACAGGTGAATTAAAAAGGAAAAAAGGGACAGGTGAAAAAAAATGCACCACGTCACGTGAAGATCGCTTTATTATGAGAACGAGCCTGCAGAATCGTTTCAAAACTGCAATGCAGATAAGATCTGAGGTACATGAACAGTTTTCAAAAGATATTTCGGAGCGAACTGTTCAAGGTCGGCTTAACTCTATGGGAATGCTCGCAAGCCACTTTGCAAAAAAGCCACTTTTGAATACGCGAATGAAAAAAATCGTCTAAACTGGGCCAAGGACAAGGAAAATTGGACTGCTTCTGATTGGTCAAGAGTGCTATTTTCAGATGAGTCCAAATTTAATCTCATTGGATCTGATGGAATCCTCAAGGTGCGCCGTAGACGTGGGGAACGTTATTCTGAAAATTGCTGCATAGCCACAGTAAAGCATTCACCGTATGTTATGGTATGGGGATGCATATCCAAATATAAAACGGAATCAATTTTAATGGTTCAGGGTATGGTCAATGCAGAAAAATACAAAGAAATAATTTTAAGAGGAGTTGTGCCTAGCATTGAGTCCATAAGTGAAGAAGAAGATGAACCCATTTTTCAGGATGATTCTGCACCTTGCCATCGAGCGCGATCTGTGAGTTACTCAGTGTCCGATTATTATCAAAACAACTTTTTTAGTTAAATTTAACATTTTTCTATCTAAAGATAACAAATTTGAAGGAAGAATTGGGGATTAAGTCCTTAGATTGGCCAGGAAACAGCCCAGACCTTAATCCAATCGAGAATGTTTGGGCCTATATGGGTGCCAAAATAAGAAAGCGAAAGCCCAAAACTATGGAGGAGCTAACTCATATTATAGAAAAAGTATGGATACACGATATAACGAAGGAATATTTGTGTTCCATTTACGATTCTATGCCCAATAGGGTAAAATCTGTAATTAAGGCCAAAGGCGGCATTTCTAAGTATTAAGCTAAATTAAAAAATATGTCTATTGTTAAATTGCCCAGAATTAAAATTTTTGTTATAGTTAGTAAGGTGTTCAATTGGAAAAAAATAGTTTTTGTTCAATTTTTTCATTATTATAAGTTTTATGATTTGTTTCCTTAAGTTTGCCATAATAGTGAAAAGTCGTGAAAACTAGGGTGAAATAAAAAAAACATTTTTTTAATATTAAAAACAAATTTAAAATAAAAATTGGTATGCACTTTTATTAACATACCATCAGTTAACTTGTTAAAAAAAAAATTGGGCGAATCCGCAATCATATAATGAAACAACAGGCCCTGAAAGTTGAAAATTCGTAAACCTTCAAAGTGCGGCTTTTTTTGTGGCGCTGACTGTATAAGACAGCTTTGGGAGCGTTTTGAAAACGCGTATATCTGGCTATTTGTAAATGCGAAGGTTTTCAAAAAAGCACACAGACTCGCAGATATGTCTATCCATCAGAATGCTGTGGCACTTTCAACACATTGGCCCACACTCAATATTTACATGATGACGATGATCTTTCGAACAATGTTTGTGTTGGTTGGGTATTACAGAAACCGATATCGCGAGTTATCTATGCTATATAGACAATTTAAAGAGGGTGGCAGGAAGAAGAGAACTCATTCTCGCATATATTTGTGCTATTTTTGAACTATTTCGGTACTGCGAAATTTTTGTGATCTGCAAGAGCCATGCGATTACTGAGATATGACGGCTGGCTGCCGGAAATCGCGGGATTACTTTGACATATAATGCAATTTCGAATACAAAGTCTCCATTACGAAATGGTTGCTATTCTTAGACGCCGTACAACTTCAATTGGAGCTTCCAATGTTGGGTGAAAAAGTTTGTGTATATATCCGTGCTCTATATGCAACGATTTCTGTATTTTTTACCGTCTGATCCGAGTGTGCCGAAATCTTTCCGAACTAGAAGACCGCGCCGTCAACGCACGACATAGTTCACGCGTGTACTGGCCGATTCAGATACCGATTCCGAAGATATCTTACCCGATCTACGGCCGAATGCCCGCGAATAGCCGCCTAGATGAGTGCGCTACATTATAGGTTCTGTTGGGGATGCACTATAATGATTGGACTCCTGAATCTACGTTGAATCTTCTGGACCCCGTTAGATAGTTGCCATTATATGCAAAGCTCTTATTGTTTAGGATTAAATGATAGATCTAATAATTTCCTAAGTCTATGATTATTTTAATTTAGAGAATTTTCTATTTGTTTATTGAAGAGGCCCTATAGAGACATGAATGAGTAATTGGTTACATCTTCAGGGCCTCTAATAACAATAATTGACTTGCATAAAGCCAGGGTCCAATAATAAAGCCATATGTACACATGTGTATCACCCTTTTGCATTGTGTGCAACTACAACTGATAACGATTATCGGCGGAACAAAGCAGTGGGTGGGTTGTTCTGTTGGGAAATGCAAAGGCCCCCAGTCGGATTACTCAATGAATATAGGCGATGTTTTGGGTTGTTATAGCGAAAGTGCTATTAATGTCTATGGCGCTCTCTTTTCGGATTCGCTAGCTCTCTTTTTTTGCGGGAATGAATGACTATTTTTATGGTGCTGCTGGCGGCGCTGCAGCATCTTCAATTGCTGCATTGAGACATTGCAATCCTTGCCAAAGGACTTTGGGAACGGGGCTTAAGGGTCACAGGCTGTTTATTTCGTTTGCGCAACACTTTGGTGGGCGGGGCGATCGGTCAAGGCTTTAACTGTGCAACGTGACACGCATATGTTCGCTAGTGGTTGCCCCAAAAAGTGGCCCCAGTGGATGCCCTTCGTTTTGGGAAATTAGTCCTTAGGCGCGTCCATATGTCGCAAAATTTGAGGGGCGCCTTGTTTTCTTCCCCCTCGATGTGTGTGTGTGTGTATCTCCATCTCACTCACCTCAAGTGTGTGTGAAAATACTGCGGTGTATACGGGAGTGTGTGTGCGTGTGGGTTGCGGGGGGAAATACGGCTGTTTTTCGCCCAATTTTCCCGCTCCTCTGATCCTGATCCTGCTGCTCGGCTCCTGCGTCCTTGCTTCCTTTCGATGCAACTCAAATCCGCTTAAAACAATGTTCGACGGGTCATTTTTTCAATTGTTTTTTTTGTTGTTCGGCTGCCGATGTTTTGCCAGAGTTGCTCGCGAAAGTGTGACTGCGCCACGCCGCCTTTAAAATCCCAAGTTAGTTTAAGCACCGACTTTTGGTCACTCTAAAAAGAACTAAACTTTTTTAAGATCTTACATTTCGCAAAAACAACCTTTTTTTGTAGTGCTTTATCAACTAAAGAAACACCTAAGGATTAATATGCTGTATGCTTTGCTGTTACTTATTTTGAATGCAAGCAAAATAATTATGTTTCTTATCAAAGGAAAAATGTTTCAGGAAACTATCGCCAAGTTTAAATTCAAAATCTATTACTTTTTAAGCTAGAATTTATATTCTAATATAAATTAAAAGTCTAGAAATTTAAAACATTAAGGTAAAAATAAATACGGAATCGTTCTATGCTTTTTTGTAAGCATACATATATTTAAATTTCAAATTTTCCCGCTAAAACTAGCTTTATCCAGCTAGAACTCGGCCGACATCTCCAACAATCGAGACTTAACGGCGTCAATCGGCATTCACACACTTTCGAGATGCAACCCTAAAATGCGAGAAACGTCGAGAAATTTCTACGAAGACAGGAAAACTCTATAAAATGCCGCGCAGTCGGAACTCGCGCCCATTATCAAACAAAATTTCGCTGAGAAAAGAGAACGAAAAGAGGGTGTGTTTTTAGTGCGCAAGCCACATTTAGTGGATAAAGAAAAACGAAATTGAATCAATTGCAAGAACAGAAAGTCATAAATAATTCAAGAACATTGGACCTGTGAAATTATAAATAGTGAACGGTGAAAACGAGCATTGCATTATTGCATTTACGGATTACTCTTCAGATTAACATAGTTTTTGAGGTGAGCATTAGCATATTTTGCGAGGGGAAAATACATGTGGGCCTTGTGTGGGCAGCGGGAGCATCGATCTGATCAGCGTTCTACACTCGGAAACCCTCGGAATCCGGTGACTACGTCACTCGCATGACAACACGGCAGTTGCACAACTGCTGCTTCTAGCAATTTCCACCCGAAAGCAAAGCGAAGCTATCGCCGCAGCCAGCAATCAGTTTTCATTGCTAATCTAGGCATTGTTTCCCCCATTTAATTTCAGTTTGTGAAAAGCCCAAAACAAAGATGGCCAAGGACTTCTACAAGATTCTGGGCATCGACCGCAAGGCCACAGATGACGAGATCAAGAAGGCGTATCGCAAGCTGGCCCTGAAATACCATCCCGACAAGAACAAGAGTCCCCAGGCGGAGGAGCGTTTCAAGGAGATTGCCGAGGCGTACGAGGTTCTGTCGGACAAGAAGAAGCGCGACATCTTCGACAAGTACGGTGAGGATGGCCTGAAGGGCGGACAACCCGGCCCAGATGGTCACAGCCAGCCGGGTGCCTACAGCTACCAGTTCCACGGCGATCCGAGGGCCACCTTCGCCCAGTTCTTCGGCTCGTCGGATCCCTTCAGCGTCTTCTTCGGCAGCGGAGACACTGTGTTTACCAACGAGGTCTTCAGTAACGCCGATAACAACGATTTGTTTGGCGGCGGTGGCATGGCCTTCGGCAACAGTCCCATGGGGGCCTTCCGTTCCCAGTCCTTCAACGCCCAGGCTCCCAGCCGCAAGCGTCAGCAGCAACAGGACCCGCCCATCGAACACGATCTGTACGTGACCCTCGAGGAAGTGGACAAGGGCTGCACCAAGAAAATGAAGATCTCGCGCATGGCCATGAGCCAAGCCGGGCCCCACAAGGAGGAGAAGGTGCTGAGCATCACCGTGAAGCCGGGCTGGAAGGCCGGCACCAAGATTACGTTCCCCAAGGAGGGCGATGCGGCACCAAACAAAATTCCAGCGGACATTATCTTCATCATACGCGACAAGCCGCACTCACAGTTCAAGCGCGAGGGCATCGATCTGAAATACACCGCGCAGGTCAGTTTAAAACAGGCCTTGTGCGGAGCACCGGTTAGTGTGCCCACGCTCCAGGGCGACCGGATTCCGGTGAACACGAACAATGAGATCATCAAGCCCACCACCACGCGGAGAATAAGTGGTCGGGGTCTGCCCGTACCAAAGGAGCCGTCGAGGCGCGGCGATCTGATCGTATCCTTCGACATCAAGTTCCCCGACAGCCTGCCGCCCAGCCTGCGAAACCAACTGGCCGAGCTGCTGCCCAATTAGGCGGGATTCGTGGGATGTGCCAGCCACATACACACACACACACACATACACACTATTGTTATCACTTTAGTTAAGGCCTAAATTTAGTTTATCGTATGTACGAGTAAGACACCTAACCAATTGTAGCCCCACGCTAGTGAGAGTGCCAAGCGAACAGCTGTAGATATGGCCAAGGAGGATGCCGACGCTAGATAAGATAGGGAAAAGAAGAGAACACACAGGCGGAGAGCCCGCCAAGTGTTACAGACTGATCGACTATTGACTTTTTTTAAATCTAGTTCACCCCAATTCCGTAATTTGTTTTGTTTACCGCCGCCTTGGTCGGTGCCTAACGAATCCTTACATTATTTATTTGTCCTAGAAAGAAATAAAAAGGTATTATAAATTGAAAGTAACTCACGATTTTTTTTAGAGCGGCACATCTCCTGCATTCCAATTCCAACACGGGGAGGCTATATCAGTTTTAAAAACACTTATAGTTTTATATGCAGTAGGGACAGTAGTACGTTTTAGTACCAATTTTATTATGTTTAACAATAAAATTATTTATACAAACATATTTCGTTTATTTTTGCTGAGTGGGTCAAGGAAACGATACGGTGATGTTTACTTTTGGTGGTGCACGTGGTGCAGAACCAACTGGAGCAAAAACTAGTACTTTCTAGAAAGAAACTTTTACTTGGGATTTCATCTTTCTAGAAAATTGAAAATTACGCGCCATATGGCTTGAAAGTCTACATGTAGACAAAAATAATCAGCCATGACGCCACCTGGCGTCTACAAAACGAAGTGAAGTGTGGCGGTCTTCAAAGGGTCTGGCAACGCTGTTAACGTATATTTGCTTGAATTTCCTCTAATTTGATTATTTTTCCAAACGAATTTTTACTGAAAGTAAATCTTAATGTATAAAGGTCTTACTTCAATGTTGAACCTGAAACGCCGAAAAAAAGAAGTAATAAAAGAACAACTTTTGTTTATTTTTAAATTTCACATTTTATTTTCTTTTGTTTTCACTTCAAAAGGATTTCGTAATTTAATCATTTGTCACACATTTTCACTATCCTTATGTTGAGTGTTAAGTTGCATTTGCAATTGTATAATCATTGTGTAATTCTTTTTCTTTACTGCATATTTGGTTTTTCTTGTTCTCAAAAAGTATTAACATCCATTGCATTTTCATGTTTTTAATATATTCTTGTTGTTGTTGTTCTTGTTGCAGCTGCTAATTAGGTTTTACAATAAAAATTGATTTTTTAAGTTTCTTGTTTGCTTTTTTCTGCTGTCTGCACTTGTTTCCGATGCGGCTGCAGTTGCCTATTGATTTTCGTTTCGAATTTGGATTTCGTGTGGCTGACTTATAAATTGTATTTAATATGCAATTGTTACCCTCGTGTATCCTGCTGCCTTGCTTTCTTCTTGCCAAAAGGAAAGTGTGATAAGAGTTAACTAACAATACGCCCAAACAAATCAAATATCCGATAACAATTTGTTAAAAGAGATTCCAGTGCGCCGTGTGCACGTGAACTTAATTAAATGAGTACATTGTTTGGCTCTCAAACATTCGTATAATAGTGACTATGTATATATATTTAATAAAAATGCTTTAAAAATAGTCAAATGCGTACAAAAAGTTTCACGCCACGTTCATTCGCCTTTAAATGAGTTTTCACAATTTAACTATTTCATTTCGCTAAAGTCTTCCAACTTCCGACTGCTCCGTCTCCGGTTGAGTTTTGCTTTTTATTATTAATTAATTATTATTTACTTTGCCTCTGTCGAACTTATACAAACTGTAAAAATTATGTTAAAATGTTGTGATTTGGTAAATTTCTCCTTGTTTGTCCCGTGTTTGATTAGCTTTCATCTTCGACGATGAGGATCTATCGTTAGACTGTTGTATACATTTAGAATTTCTATTTACGCCACTTCTTATAGCTTTCTATGGTCTGTAGTTTCAATTATTATTATTTCTTTTTTTATTACTCTTTTTTTTCGTCGTTTAATTAAAGTTTACTTTTGTATATTTAATTCAATTTGATTGGAAACCTAAAAAATGTTTTGATTATGTTTCGATTTGTTGCTACATGGTTCAATGGGTCTTGGGTTTAAAAATTAATGAGTTTATCCTGTGAAAAAGTGTGAACAATGCCTGCAAGTACACTGAAAAACAAACCATTGACAATCGCCACTCGCACTCGCAGTGTACGGCCGGAAGAATAAACAAACGTTCAGCAATTGGGGATTTCATTGTTCCTGAATCGAATTAACATTCAAGCTGCATTCACAACCAATTAATTATTATTTCCCATTTGGTAGAATTTTCATTGTATTTGACTATATACTTGTCAGTGTTTTTTTCTTTTTCTTTTTGCTAAAAATTCGTCCTACAAAAATTGAAAACCATAGGTATTAAAACGTAGGAAAATCAAACGTGTTTTTAATTGAGTTTTCGTAAATTGTGCCTTTGTCTATGGGATTTTGGGCTGGGGATTGGTTTCCTTTGTTTAACTATAATTCTGTTGTCATCGTCTCTCGATTCTTAAAGTGTTCAAAGTGAAGTTCTTAATTATTATTGTAATTCTGCTAGAAGGTGTCGTCTTTTTTTGGTTTGTGTCGGTTTTCTTTATGCTTATATATTCTCATTTTATTTTTTCTCTTGCATAGTTTTATAATTTATTTTAATGTTGCCCGCGCTTTAACGTGTTGAGTTTGCTTTGAGTTAATTTTTTTGGTTTCTTGTATTTGCTGATTGGATTTTTTGTGGAGGCCCGGAGCCCAATTTAATTGCATGGAATCGTTAGCGATTTTTGCTTTATTATTATGTTTTTAGTTTACCATTTAACATTTTGACTAAATTTTTGCTATTTTCGTTTATGTGTATGTGGATTTTGTATGGTATCATTATGTATTTTGTTTTCAGTGTACTTCCTACGAACTAAACATTTTCACTGCTGCTTTCATTTTAATTTTCTCATTACGATTACGAGTGTGTTGATTTGCTTCAGTGTTTGTGTGTGGCTTAATTGGCTAAAATGTTTCTCATTTAACCCATTTGGTTTTTTTCTTATTTTGCATTTGACATTTGTTTTGTTTCTCTTTTGTTTTTGGTTGCAATTCTCTGGGGTTTCTTCTGTTTTGTGTTTTACTTTTATAATTTAAATTCACTAAGCCTAAATACAATGGTTGCAATTTGTTTGCGGGTTTCCCTCCACTGCGCTTTGACAGCAACTTCATCGTCTTCATCTCAATAAATGTATTTAAATCGAAATTTACTTTCAAGTCTTTTCAGCGACAAATGCATTTGAATTTGTTCTCGTATTTCTTAATCTTGTTTAATCTTTTTCCTTAGTTCATATTAAATCTGCTCAAAATCCTTCGCTTTAATTATGCTTTTTATTATATGTTTTGCACTTTAAATACAATCAATATAAATCAAAGTCTTCTTTTGGTTTTAATTTATGTTTAATTTTTTTTTTTTTTTTGGTTTTTTTTTATCGTTTTCTTTCTAAAAAGGATCTGTAGTGTCCTTTTTGTGGTGCTTCTCTCGTTAAAAACATTAACGTAAAAATGACAAAAAAAAAACAGAAAACTCTTCGATGTTTTAGCCATTGGAAAAGAGGGGAAACAAACCGAAGGGAAGCATTCTTCAAAAGCCAACCACATCCATTCACCGATTCGTCGATTCACCGACGGCCGGTGATTCAATGCATCTTCACATTTCGCAGCGTTGAGCTTGAAAAATGCTTTTCGGGTTCGCTTCGCCTGCTTTGAACTTTGAACTGTTGCTGTTTGTTTGTTGCTTTCGCCTTGATTTGCTTTTGCTTTGCTTTTAGCCGTTTCTGTTGCTGTTTGCTGCCTTACACTTGATTAGTTTAAAATTGAGAAATCGAACAGAGGATTTGAAGTTGTGGGTTAAGAGTTCTTATGCTTGCTTAGCTTGATACTAAATGTTTTGCTTTGCTTTTTCTGATTTAATTTTTCACATCGTCTTTGCGGGTTGTTGACTGTGGATCTGTGCCTAAATTTATCATGTCTCGTGGTTTCCACACCGGGGACCCTACAATAAATGAAAGAAAAGAAAAGATACAATGGAAACCATATATGAAAAAATATGAAATATTTTCGGTTTGGTTTTGCAGAACTTAATTTGTAGTTTTGGTTTTAATATCGTTTGTTTTTTTTTTTTTTTTTGGTTTAGTTCAGATAGAAAATATAGATTTAGAGAGCGAAAGAGTTAGAAAGAGCAAGTGGGCGGAGAGTAGCATCTCCAATTGGTTATATACAATTGTGTCGAACAGATTTTCATAAGTAAATGGTGGCCAATTCGGATTCGTTTAGTTAAAAAACATGCAAGCAAAGTGACCAGAGTGCTTTTTTTTCACACTCTGGTCTCTTTATCGGTTAAAAAATATAAGCAAAACTAATTATTGTTTAATGTAATGAGCACTACTTCAAGCGGGGTTCGCTACTTGATATAGTTTGGGGTTTTTGGGGCTGGGGGCGGGGCAGTGGGAGTGATTAACAGCTAATTCAACAACTAATACTGGTGATTAACGGGTTTCGGTTTCGGGTACAGTTGTGTTGGCTAAAATGTTGACATCGCTTGGTTCACTTTCTAGTTAACTGACATTTTTATTGCTTAACATTTTTTTTTACCATGGCAAGACTGGGCAAATTTTCGAATTTTTTATCAAAAGTTTTGCATTTATGCCAACATTTTTCGTTCTGCCTCTTCTGTTTTTCGTGTGTCTCGATTAAAAGGGCTCCAATTCGGTATACAAAATGAATGAGAGAAATTTATGTACATATATATATATATATGGATTGAAGGGAAAAGGGAAGTTTATAATTTGGAAAATTGTGGTGGAGTGAGTAGTGAAATTGAAATTGTTTCGCATTTCAGCTAACCCACTTGCTAATTTCGAAATTAGTTTTCCAGATGCAAAAGTCAAAGAGCGTGATTCAAAAAACGATGGATAAAAGTTGTGCGTAGATGAGAGTTTCACAAAAATTCAATTCAATTTTAATTTTATTTAGTTTGGCACACAAAAAGTTGTACGGAAAACAGAAAATGAAATTTCTGGGAAAATATGTAATTGCGTTTCTATGTGTGGAAAAATGCCGAATAAATCTGGATAAAATCTGGATTCTTGGTGGTGGGGAGCAGTGGAGTGGTTGAGTTGTGGGGCACGTGTGTGTAACCATAAGACATATATAGTTAGATAAATATATATAGATCGATTATAATGGACTTGGCATTAGCATTGCTCTCTTTCGGTTGGCATGGCATTCAGCATTACAAGATTTTGCTTTAGATCTTCGGCACACTCCTTTTATATTATTCGTGATATTGATTGAGAAAATGCAAAACGTTCAAATTGAAACGGAAAACTTGCAAGTTGAGTTTCATTTTTTTTTTTGATATAATCAAGTTCGTTTTGGTTTTTTTTGGTTTGTTAATCAAGCGATGCCAACTAATAATATCAAGTGTTTGTAACAGACACAACAGATACACAGATACGCTATAAAGAGATACACGATACACACAAATGCATCGAATGGGCGGGAAAATAATACCTATGAACTTAACATGCCTAAGGTAACTCCAACTTTGACTCCGACTTACGACTTACGACTATATATCTAACTGAGTTCAACAATATTCGAGTCAATTGTTTTGTTTTTTTTTCGTTTTGTGTGGTTTTGGGGTTTTTAATTATCTTTGAGATAATTGTGTGTGTAGTAGACAAAATGAAATATCACCCGTAAAATTGTTTAATTACTAATTCAATTCAATTCAAGTGCTCATCTCCGTCAACAAGCTTCGTTTGCCTAATTACAAATAAATATTGCACTTACCTGCTAAGCAACTACTAAACAAATTTAAATGCATAACTAATCGAGGGAAGGGGTTTTTCGAGAGGTTTATTGAGAGGGGGAGAAGCCAGAGAGTCGGTGCATAAACTCCATGGGTTTATTGGCTTTCGTTCTTGTCCTCCGTTGATATTTATTTGTTTGTGTATTTTATGTATTTACTTTTATCTCATATGCCATTTCGTTAATTGCATTTGAATTGCCTTAGTTTAGTTTGCTTTTTAGTTTGTTAGTTCGATTTAGTTTGGAGTTTCCATTATTAGTTATGTGTGCTCGCTTTAGTTTTGGTTTACGCGTTTGAATTTGAATTTGAATTTGATTTTTGAAGTTTTCCGTTAGTTTGTTGATTTTTCGATTATTTGTTTAGTGGATTTCGGTGTTTGACCGTGTGGGTGTGTGCACACATGGATTACCGGTTGAATTTGATATTTGTTTTAGCTTTACCGTTACTCTTAAATGTTCGCTGTTCGCTATCTGCTGTCTCTGCTGCCGCCTCTTATCTCTATTTAGTTTGCCTTTATTTTCGTATATATTTTTCCGAGGTTTTCCATCCGAGGATTCCACGGTTTTTCGATTTCGTTTAACATTTATGCCGTATATGCTGCTGTATATTTATATGCCGTATTTACGATGTATATTTTGATTTTTGAGAATGTTTGTTTTCTTATCTTGTTTTGATTTTGCTGCTGTGAAGCCCAGTGTAAACTGTAAACTGTAAACGTTCTTGAAGCTTAAACTTATCTATTTTGACATTGTTTTCCTTTGGTTTGTTTTTTTTATTCTGCTTTGAATTTTCGTTACAACAACCTGAAATTTGTTTGACCTTAACCACTGTCTATATATTTAGTCGAGAGTTTGGCGGCTTGAGCCGAGAATTCGATTGGGAATTCCCGACTTGCGCCTCGAAACAGGGAGGATGGTTATACATTTATAGGTTGATTTTTTTTTACCTAGGGTTACATATATACGATTACGATTACCCATTTATGAACATTGAGGTACGACTTACGATTATCATTCTCTGAATACATCCCCGTTTTGATTTGCATTCGTTTTATTGTATTTTGCTGATTTAATTGGAGTGTGTGAACGGAAATGGTGGTGGAAAACCCATGCGGAAAATGTTTCATCTGATTTGCCCTTCGACTTGTATATGCATGTATATTTGTTTATATCTATAAAAACCTATAAAAATCATACAAAAAACCATATGCATATATGCAAATTATTTGTCACAACATTATTGGTACACACACCGATGCCCGTTTTTCGCACAAACGTGCAAATTGGCAAAATTTTCTAACTAACTAATGTTCGTTTTTTTGTTTTTCTTTTATTTTTTTTTGTCTAGTTTTCTTTATGTAAATAATCCCCGTCGATAGGTATACTCTTGTTAGGTATATGTCATGTTAACCCCTGGAATATTGGCACTCGACCCAAAAGCCAGCTCAGTTGCAGATCCATTTCGCCAGGTTGGGTGATTAAAAATTTTTGATTTCATTTGCGGAAATGACAAAGTTTTCCAGCGTTTCCCCCCCGCCATTTTTCCACCCTCTGCTAATAGTTAGTTAGCGACTTTTCCCGAACTTTTAACCTGCGTGTCTCTGTGTGTCTGTGTGTGTGTGTGTGTGTTTGTGAGTATGTGTGTTTATATGTCTGTGTAGTGCATATATATATATAGTTTAGGTTTACTTTTATGTTTTTTTTTTCTGCTGCTGGCTGTCTTATTTTTCCCATCTATGTTTCAAGTTGAGTTTGCCATTTGTTCGTCTGCCTGTCTCTTAGTAGTTTGCTTGAGTGCGAGTATGAATTTCAACTTTAGTTTACTGCTGCTACTGCTGCCCTTTTCTGTTGTTTGCCCTCGTAATTACGGCACTTGAGTATTGTGTGTGCAACGCGGCGTATACGTTATATTTCTACTTGCCACCCGAGGCGAGCGGAACTTCCGCCATTTCGTTTGTTAATGTGTGTGTGTATATGCGTATGCGAGTGTACGGCTGTGTATGTGTGTGTTAGTATTTTCTGTGTGTAAATCACGGCGAAATGTTCGCGCTCAGCTCGGCTGCAACTTAAATAATTAACTGGAAAACGGTGGCACACACCCATTATGCAACCTCTTCCTCTGCGGGATTAGCAACCCCCATCCTTTGATTAGTTTTTCGGTTTTCGGTACAAACTACACACGTAAATATGCTGCTGCTGCTGCGCTAAAAGAGCTAACTACGCTCAGGTTCGGTGACTTACTTGCTAACACTTAAACAACGAAATACGAATGCACGGGGCTCAAAGGTTTAACAATCCGGCCAAGAGTGCCATTCTTCTATATATCATATCAGATTGTATATACTGTATAGTATAGTATGTTAGGTCTTTTTGATTTCAATCCCTTGTGTCGGAAGTTCGCGTTCTTCGTTTGATTACTCTGTTTACATAGTTTGCATTTGCATTTGCGTTTTCGTTAAGAGTTTACGTATATCTGAGCTGAGTTCGGTTAAAATTAGTTTCGTTGAGGCATTTCGGGTTGATCTTTGTTATCTTTGGTTTTGAAAATAGTAGTCAGATTAGAGTTTACGAGTGTTTTCGGTTATATTGTAGATTATTTTCCTTAGACATGGATCTCGAAGTAGTCGTGACAGTCGACGCAACCGCCTGGAGCTTCGGTGGCTCCCATTTCGGGCACGAATCCAATGCCACCGGTTGCCGTGGGCTGGGCACTCACCACCACCATGCCACGTGGCGTCTTCTTCCGCGTGCGACTCTGCCGCACGCGGGACTTATGCTAGGAGGGTCTCTTCTGGTACAAACAGTCGATGCACGTGGTGTACTCCGGTGCGGAGGAGCTCAGTTGATAACCAGGCTGCGGTTCATGCTGGCATCCACCGCCATAGCCACTCACTTCCGGGACATAACCCATGTACTGCTGCGGGTTGATCGGTTGTGGCGGATGCCGTGGCAAGGGATCGTAGATGGGTTGCTGCGAGGAGAAGGTGTTCTCAGCGGATTGCGAACGCAGTGGCCCCGAACTGTAGACCACGTAGTTCCGTTCCGGGGAGACGCCATAAGCTCGATGGCCATAAGAACTGCTTGTGGTGGTGCTGTCCCTCGAGGTGGATCGCTCCAGGGACTTGCTCAGCCTGCTCCTGTTGCCACTTCCTGCAGCGCCATATCGTCCAGTGGGAGCCGCAGCCACATAGTGATCACTGCACGTCTGGTTGTCGTACACCGGATAGTACTGATACGTTTCCTGAGTCCTTGGTCGTGTTCCAGTTTCGAAACTTCCATGGGCAGACATGCTCCTCTTGCGACTGCCGTGTGGCACATCCAGGTTGTGATCCGACTCCCCGTGGCTATCGAAGCTGCTGCGAGGTGAGTGCCGCAGGCAGGAACTGCTAATCATTCCCCGATCTGGGGATAAGTGATCCATACTGCCTCTGGGTGAAACTCGAGGTGAAAGAGTCTCCACACTGCAAACATGCGAGGGTCCTCCCTTCTTCAGGCAACTTCTATCGGGACTCTTGGACTTCGAGGGACTGGAGGGAGGCTTCAGGATGCCAGGAGCCGGTCCACTGGTGTGTTTTAGGATGCCACCACCTTCGGAGGAGCGACGAGGACTCGGTGTCCTTCTGCCACCCGACAGACGATCCTGCGAGTTGTCCCTGGAGGAGCACACACTCAACCTTTTACCCTGATCACTCAAACTGGTGCGAGGTGACTTTATCTTGATGATCCTCACAGGAGAACTTCCCTGCGACTTGCAGCGATCGGGGGAGATATATATCTGTCGCCTCCCTCCCTTTATTTTAGTGGAAGAAGGTCTTTCAGGGGATTTAGCCTTGAATATCTTGTCCACCTTCTTGTCAATCACCACAATGTGCGAGGCCAGGGAACTTGTGGTGGCCTCCTCCTCTGTTTCATCCTCGGATCTCTCCGAAGGACCTGTGGTGGTGCCAGTACTATCCGATTCAGTCGCAGGTCGCGAAGGAGATTCAATATCCACGACCACCGTTTGCTGGGTGTTCTCCACAATGGTTTGTGGTTCTGGCGAGAGACTCGAGTCATTCTGCTGCTGATCATTGGCCTCCTCGGCGAGATCCTGTGGATCGAAGGCCTTCTCGCGCAGACTCTCCATGTAGGCCACAATATCGCAGGTGCCGTCGGCCAGGTTCTCCTGCTCCAGATCACTCAGATGTTTGTCCATGAAACGCGCCGAGGCATCCGTTTCATTTGGGTTACGATCGCGATCGCGTCTGGGTTTATGCCCCGATTCCCTGGCCTGATCCCCATGATATTGATGGACAACGGCCACCTGCTGCGAGGCGGCCATTCGCTCGGCCTCGCTCTCGAAAATCTCAATCACCTCGATGTCCTGTTTGGGCGACTGTCGCGGCGACTGACGCGGCGATTGTCGCGGGGATGGGTGCAGGGATTGGGATTGGGATTGGGATTGGGATTGAGTCTGACTTAGATTCTGATTGAGATTGTCGCGGGGATCGGAGGCGAACAAGCTACCACTACTGCCTAGACTTAAGTTAAAGGAGGCCGCCACCTGGACGGCATGCGCCTCCGACTCCGACTCGAGTTCCGACTCATCCGGGCTGGGCTTACCTAGGTCCTTCATCAGCACCGGTTGGTAACTGGCCGGCGGATGCGACGACTGTATCAGACGCGCCTGGCTGCCGGTGCTGCCCACCGAAAGTGTCGATGTGGTGCTGTTTGGTTATCATTTACAGGATTGCCAGGATAGCCAAGGATGCCAAGTATCGCCAAGGATCGCCAGGATGTCAGGTTCGAGCGGTAAGAGAATGGAGTAGAGTCACAGGGTCAAGCAATAGTCGAGCTTACTTTCAGGGGGAACCTATAAATCTGGTTTCATATCCACCGACTAACTGGATTAAATCGAATGTAACTCTAAAACTCGTTGAAACGTGTTGCATTTAATTGACAGGAAAATAATCCTGCACAACCATTTGTGGCAATCGGTTTATAAACCCCGAAATTCAATCAAATGTCAAGCCAATTTAATTAAAAACTCACAAAAATAAAATTACATGAAGTAGTACAACAATCGAGTTAACTTTAATTGTTTAAAATGGACGGCAGGAATTTGAAGTACTTTAATTGATTAATTTAGTTAAACAAAATGCTGGGAATTTGATTTTATGAATGAATTCAGCTTATATGACTTACTTTTATTAAGAGCATAAGAATTAATTGAATTATTTGGGAATTAATTTAATTTAATAATTGATTATTGCATTGAAATAAATAAATATATGAGTTTAATTAGGAATTAAAATGAACTAATTTATAAAAGGTAATTAACGTACATTGTAATCAACTTAATTTGTATCTGATTTATAAGCTTTCAATCAATCTGTTAGCAATAACTTGTTATTGGCTCAATCCAGTTAGTCGGCAGATAACCAGTTAGCTATAGAATGTTAGCAGGATATATCCAGACTCACCTCAACGTCAGGTGATTGGGCGTTCGACCCAAAGTGGCCTTGGGCCTGATTGTGCCCTGCTGCGAGTCCTCCTCCCCCTCCGACTTCGTTCCCGGATCGATCCGCTCGATGTCCGAGCTGTGGTGGTGCAGATGTGGCTGCCGGATCGGGGGTGGTGGCGGCTCCCTGGGGTGCGGATGTGGGTGTGGGTGGGCATGGGCGTGACCCTGCTGCATCTGCTGTTGCTGCAGTTGCTGTTGCTGCTGCTGTTGCAGTTGCTGCTGCTGCTGCTGGGGATCTGGGGAGGAACAGGTGATTTCTTTATGGCACGGCGTATGATGATGCGGAATGCGGTGACGCAAATCGTTAGCCAACTTCTCAACAGGATGCGGATCATTGGGACTGGACTGCAACTCACCTGCCACATCGCCCACCGTCTTGCTGCGACCTCTAAAGCCACTTGGCTGCATCTGCTGGCCGTGGGCGTGGCCGGAGGCGTAGTGCACCACGCCCACACTCGGCGGCAGGTCGTCCGCCTCCTGGCTGCCCGACAAGTTGTCGTAGTCAATGTTGCCAGCCGAGTGGCGCTGCGATCCCGACTTCTTCTTCGGTTTGCCCAGAGTGTGCGAGCCATGAACGATGGTGATCTGGGAAAAGAAAATTTAATGTAAGGAATTTGTTGTGAAATTGAAATAAATTAATATCTCATTAAAATCTTTATTATCAGGGATTAAAATGTGTTCGGGCATAGCATTAGTTTACAAAACTAAAAGAAACTTAGCGACTTCAAAGCTTTTAATATTTTAAAGAAGCTAATAAAAAAACCAACAATAAATAAAAGTAATTTTTTGAGCTATTTTATAAGTCATTCATTCAAGCATTTGGAATCAAGCAAGTTTTATACAATTTATACCATTTATACCATTTAAAATCGAAAGAAAAACAATTTCGTATATTTTTCTATAAAATAAAAAAGAAACCAATTTGATAAACCAGAGTTTAATTTTGTAACAAAATAAACACCAAAAAATAATTTATATAATAACCATATTGTTCTAAAAAGAAAATGTTATATATCATCGACACTTCTGAAAATACATCTTGTAATATTGGGATATCAAATGGATTTATGGATTATTTGGCTCACCTGCTGTTTGGGTCTTTCGAGCGTTTGCGAGTTGCCCGCGTAGCCCATGCTGCCCATTCCCTGGGAGGAGTGTCCGGAGACGGAGCCGGAGCTGCCGCCAAAGTTCTTCATCGGAATTGACATGTTCCGGACGCTCTCGCGGATTATCTGGCGAATGGTCTTCAGGAAGGCGTTGCGGAAGTCGGCGGTGCTGTTCGACAGCACGTAGACCTTCTCGGAGCGACGCTGCAACTGCGATCGCAGGTGGATGAGCTCCCACAGGAAGTGCGAGTCCATGTCCTTGGCCGAACTGGCCCTCACCTGCACCTCGGTCACCGGGATAAGCACCTGGTAGCGAATGATCTCGACCTCATTGGTGGCATTCTTGCTAGAAACGCCCTGTTTTCAGGAGAAACAAAAAGGGGAAATCGGTTTAATTATCTGCTGAATAAGGTTTGGGTTCCCTTCTCACCATCAACTTCTTCTTTTGACGCAGTCGCTCCTTGCAGAGGAACACAACCGCCGACTTGAAGACGAAGCACATGGCATGCAGCTCCAGTCCCTTCTTGATCTTGCCCAGGAAGTCGGAGATGTTCAACCACTCCACTCCGCCATAGTACAGGAGATCACCTATAAAAATAGAAACATGTTTGGTTGAAATGTGTAAACATAAAGAAACCATTGAAAACTTGGAACAATCTGACATGAACAGGAGACAAAATTCCGATCATTGAAAAATGAAGAACTTTGAATGGAGTTTTATTAATGATACGATTATAAATATTTAGAGTTATGCCACTTTGGAATCGGATTTAAATTGGCAAAGTTATGGGTTTTGGAAGTCCAGTTTTGGGTCACCATCCAACTTGGAAAAATCAGACATAAGAAGGGATCAAAATTTTGACCATCAGAAAATGAAATGAAATGAATGCAGTTTTGTCAAGACTGCGATTAAAAACGTTTAGAGGTATGTCACTTTGGAATCGGGTAAAGTAACCTTACTGTAATGAATCGTAAATTTGGAAAACTCTAACATATCTCTTATAGTTCCTCTCTATACACTATAGTTTCTTACCTGGACTGAGGTCGATGGGCTGCTTGCAGGACTTCTGATGCTGCCGGAAGAGGTGGTCAAATATGGCGCCGTACTCCTCGTGGATGCGCTGCATTTCGTTGATGTGCTCGGCCACCTTCTCCATGCCCTTGAGTGCCTCTGTTTGGTTATCAAATCCATATAACATATATTTGTATTGCAAAGTGTGAAAAGTCGCCGCCAATCAAATACGTACCACAGAGATGCACATGCTCGTCGGCCCGAGTGTCGGTTAGGTTGCGCATTTGCTGCAGGAGCAAAGGATACTTGAGGATGCGCTGAATGGGCTTGATCAGATACGATTCCAGGGTGCTGCTGTGCTGCTGCTTGGGATTCCGGGCTGCCAGGAACTCCTGCAGGGCGTGATTGCCCTCGTCTGGATGAAAGGGAGCGTGGGGATGGTTGAGAGGAGGGGAAAGGGTAGAATTGAAATGCAAATTGAGACATTTGCCAAATGATTCGATTTCAATGGACGCTCGTTCGAGTCGGTGTAATTAATTGCAACGTTGGCCCATTAGAGTAAATGGCAGGAGGGAGGCGAACGGAGTGTGCAGGTGGTGTACACAATTCAGGGCACAAGGATATGCAGTTACAGCGGCTATGACGACAAGAAAATGTCATTAACTTGTTCTTATTGTCAGCCGAGCAGCAGCTTTTGATAAAGGCAAAGTCAAAGCCTGTCTGCAGCAGCAGCAGCATCAGGAGTAGCGAAAAGCAGGACGAAAGGCTGTTGGAGCAGATTTACGTCTAATAGCGTCTGTCGCTGGCTGCATGTCCTTCTGCCAGCTCGACATGCCACCCCCCTTCATATCCCCCTTAACCCCCTGTTAACCTCCCTTAACCCCCTGCTACTCCAATATCCCTCCGATTCTCCAGCTCTTGCACGTCGTAACGAAGGCACTTAAGTGCACTTCTTGCTATAATTAATTATCCTTTCAACTTTTTTGCATAAAATTTCATGCAACAGCCGGGTGGCAGCTTCATCCCCCCAAACTCTCTTCTCCTTCGAGTGGATGATGCCTGCAGGATTTGCCCCCTTTGGTTACCTTGACTACCCATCGATTGTAAATATTGCGCATACATTTTTTACCTTGAACGCTTTTGATTAGCTGCAAATCCCATCGCATCCGCAAACGCATCAATCAATGTGTGTCAGGATAAAGAAGGCGGATTGGGTTGGAGATCCTTGCCATATAGCCTTAACCCACCCCAAACATCCTGGCACACACACAGCTGCTCGCTGGAGTGTTTCTAAGCTTAGACTAAGTCTAATTTAATTACGACATGTTGTCGCGCGGCAGTTTGCTGGCTTTTTATCCGGCTCACTGCAAGTTCCCAGCTTTTCCAGTTTCCCAGCTTTCCCAGTTCCCCGAAAGTTCTCCGAACCGAAGCCCTGGCATAGTTTTGGGTCGCCATTTGTAAGCGTGTCATAATTCTACAAGTTTAATTAACAAAAGATACTTGACAGTTGCCGCCGCTGCCTTGGCATGAATATGAATATGCTGCCTGCCATGAAAAGCCCCCCCAGCTTTCCCCTGGAAAACCCCTTCTGGAAAACCCAACCCAACCATCAACATCACACCCCCATTTTCGGTTGGGAGTTTGCCTTTAGTTTGCGGTTTCCACTTGGGGGTGTCGTCGACGTCGGCATTTGCGGTTGTAATTATTCATTTAACTTGCAAATCATTTTAAAGTGGGCGCAACGCGCGGCAGCGGGGCGTGGCACAATTGAAGCGAATAGTTTGCCAATTGTTCGCTCTGTGGGTTCTTCCTATGGGTTTTTGGGTTCAGTTCGGTTCGGTTTGGTTTGGTTCGGTTGTTTGACTTTTACAAGTTTCTTGCTCAACTGAAACTCAAATAGACTTTGACGCTTGACGCTGATTGCAATAGTTGGTGCTCAGCTCAAAAAGGCCAAACACACACGCATGTACAGTGCGTTTCGTGGGGGTAACGCATTGGGAAATGTTAATTTTCTAAGGGGAAAAACTTTTCGTTGTAACCTTTTCCCGATTGGTGATTTTTCCCTGAATTAATTAGTTTTATATTTGTTTTAAATTTGCATTAAACAAGTCAATTAATTCACTTTTCCTAATAAGGTGAAGATTTTTATTGTATCTACTGTACTGCCTTCCTTTGGATATGCAAATAAAGTCCCTGAGGACTAATATTATTATTTATGGGCCAAAATGTTTGTTTGTTTGTTTTAATATATTTTTCAGTTATTTTCCCCCAGTTTTCTTTTGCCTTTTGTTTTAATGTAACCCACTTTCAATCTTGTAATATGCAAATGAGTAACTTGTAATGTTGCTAATAAAAGTTGTAATTTAATTTTTTTCCCCAGATTTCTCTGTACTTTCTGCCTAGTTTTCCCTTTATTTTTTGCCGCTTATGTATGTAAATGAATTCCTATACTGTACGAATTTGATTTGTCTGGGGATTGCGGGGAAAATACTCACTTGGATGCAGGACTTTCTGGGCCTTGCTGTGACTGGCACAGAAGGAGGAGTAGAGCTTGAAGTGGTTTACGTAGTACAGGAAGGCCGAGCCAATCGCAAAGAGTACATTCTGCGGAGCCAAAATAAATGCAATTACTTTTGGGGGCTCTTGAATTTCCAATGGATAAACGCACCCTAAACTGGCCGCAGTGCTCGAACTTGTTGAACTCCGGCTCCAGGTCCAAGGACTCCTCCAGATTCTGCAGGAACTGTCGCTGGAATGTGACGATCTCGTGGATGTTCCCGAACAAGGCGTTGATCTCGGCGTTCGAGAGGAATGTCTCCCGCTTCATGGGCTCCAGATAGTGTTCCAGCAGATTGTTCAAGTGCTGCAAGTTAATCGAGTCACAGCGGATGGTTCAATGGTGCTCAAAAGGATAGCGTACAAACAGGGGGTAAGTCATTCTATTATTTTTTTTTCGTTTTTTGGGGACAGCGGCGAAAATGCATAAATTAAATTAAAAAATCAACGACCGCTACATCTCGGCTTCTCCAGCTCCATTCCCTTCACTCCTCCATTTGGCCACAACAATTCCCAGCGGAGTTGGCCAGCAGTTATGCTCGGTCGGAGGAAACTTTTTAGTTTTGCCAACTGGCACAAAACATGAAACAAAAAAGAGTGGAGAAATACTGTAGCCTAGCCACAGGCGCGCGCTTTCATTTGGAACAATACTTCCGGGCAGCGGGGGGAGGGCGGTGGACGGTGGGCGTGGCAGGTTGGCCGCGGTCCGCCGTCCGCCGTCCGCCGGTCCACAGATAAGACCCGAAGCCTTCGCTTCGTTGCCGCAGCGGCGCTTTACATAATTTCTAAATTATAATAATTATTTGTATGCTTCCTGGGCCCAGAGACCAAAAACGAGAAAAGAGACTTGAAGCTGGCTTAAAGCAAACACTGGCAAGGAGAATCGCCTGGAATCGCTAGGAATCCCGAAACAGAAGCCCAGCGACACAGTTAAAGGATTAAAATTTGCATTTTTAATTGCAGGAGGTCTTTATGCCGCCCCACTCTAATGAACACAAGTCATTGGTTGATGGCTGGGATTTGCATTAAAGTTTCGTCTGCTCCACTCCGGCACACTGACCGAAAAAAGTTATTATTTATGCTGACCACACTAAACGAAACAAAAAATTCTGGTATTTATGAAAACCAAATTAAAAGCTAGACAAAAAAAAATTCGCCTTTAAAATAGCAACTGCATTTTTTTTCTCTTGCATTGCTTTATTCTCATCGGGGATTTTAAATTCCCAACAGATTAGTGGGTAGAGTAAGGAAAAAGTGTTTTCTGATTAAACGCTTAATGAAATTCACAATGCGTTGTATTTTTTTGTTGTTTCCCTTTTGAACAGCATAATGAAAAACTATTCAATTAAAATTTTGTATGGTAAGCGATTTATTTAAGAAAGGAATACTTTTATGAATTTTTGGAGCTCTTTGAGTAAATATTTTCCTTTTAAGTAAAATCTTCATTAATTGTAAATAAATGATATCTTAGGGATTACTGTTGAATTAAATAAATTGTTTATGATTTTTAAAACCTCAAGAGATTTTCATTTGGAATTTCTAAAGTGTGTAAATATTTTTCCAACTGTTTAGTGAGACTCACCTTAACGTAGGTGCGTTCCGTGTCCACCAGTTCCATGACGACTTTGCGCAGCTTCTCCGCATCGGTCAGTTGGCGCGATGGGGTTAATGCCGTGGTCGAGACCGACGAGGTGACCGAACCAGTGGGGCTCGATTTGCGTGTTTCCTGGGGTGAACGACAAAATCCGGTAACCTTAACACGGTTCACAGGTCAGGTTCAAGTTGTTGTTGTTGTTGTTGTTGTTTCGGGTTGTTTTCAGTTGTGTTGTGTGGTTGGTTGTTGTTGTTGTTGGAGTTGTTGTTATTGTTGAGTTGTTTTTTTTTTGTTGGTGTTGTGTTGATTGTTGCATGATGAGGAGTTATTTTCGTGGAACGAAAGGAACAAACCCAAAGAAAGAACAGAACGAAAAGAGATGCGAGCGCGTGAAAAGGAGACACCAAATAAATGACAATAAACAAAAATGAAGTTAGCCATGACAGAGATAGATAAGAACAGCGATAGTTTTATAACACCATGGGTGGTGGGTTGGGGTGCTTCTAAGGGGGGTGGGGGTTTTTAAGGGGGCTTTAACGAACGGTGGTGCCAAATGGATATGGGGGGTATTCAAAACGGGGTTGGATGGGGTTTATAGGGCGTGGCCAAGAGCCCGCGGCCACTTTAAGGAGACACGGAGACAGCTGCGGTTCTAAATGACTGTCACGTCCTTGTCCAAGTTGTTGGTGTTGCTCTGCTGTTGATGCTCTGTTGTTGTTGTTGTTGTCGTTGTTACTGTCGTTGTGCTTTGTCCTCGCCGGGTGTTATGGTGCTGGTGTTGCGGCCAAAGTGTTTGTGGGTCTCAATCCAAGACCCCCTGTTCTCCCTACCCCCATTATCCTTTATCCTTTATCCTTTAGGAGAGTAACTATCTGGTATTCGCACCACCCACAACCTTTCTCCCGATTGCTGTGTGTGTGTGTGAGTTTGTGTGTGTGGTTACAAGCACATTTGGCACTGACAGTTGACGCTTGACGGTTGACATACACAAAATACATACGGACATGTCGGTGCCCCATCCTATATGCTATACTATATATCCCCCCAACTGTTCCCCTTTCTCAAAACCATTCCCTAGTTTTGCATTAAGACTTAGTGGCGGCACGGGCTTTCTTCGTGGCTCCTTCTCTTGACTTTTCTCCTATTTGCTAAGCTCTTTTGCTTCACCTACTTGTCTCCTTGCCACAGCAAAATGGAAAAAAAAAAACAAAATACGAGGACACTGGGAAAAAGTGTTAAATGGAGCATTCCTGATAAATTGACTTAACAAAGGGAGCGGCAAATGAATTTGCATTGTAAATGCCTAAACAAACGGAACTCAGACCTCAAAAAAGGTCTTGAACTTGCTGCAGAAAGGGGAATGAAATGCTTGAGAATTCCACAAATTACTTGGATTAGAATAAAAGTAGGGAAAACTAAAGGTACACAAAGAAAAATAAGGAAGGGTCTTTTGAATATTTTGAAGTATTTAAAAAGGATTATGTTTTGGTTTATAGAAAAGTTGATTACATCTTTTTACTAATTTTTTGGTAGAGTAATTCTTATGAGAAATATATATACTCTTTTTAATTAATTAAGTACTTCAGGTAAAAGAAGTAAAAAATAGAACTGCCCACTTAAGTAATTAGATACATTTTTTAAGATATATTGGTGTAGTGATCTATTTATGGGCTTTCTGGCTTTTACATCTGGCAGTAAAATCCGTTTGTCACTCTGCCATCTCTGGGATGTATCTCCGTCCCTTTCACTTCCCCCAGCTGCCCCTCTCTTTCTGTCCTGCTGCAATTGCAGTTGTCATTGTTTGGCGCTGTTGTTGCCCGGCATTGTGGAGACATTTCACTTTTATGCAGTTGCACTTTGTGTATTGTTACTGCCCTCTCTTTCGCCCCGACTCTATCCCTCTCTCTTTCTCGAGTTCCCTTGGTTGTTGCAGCTTGTTCTTGTCTACTTTTAACTGTTTTATTGTTCTGCATTCTGGGGCTGAGCTGAGCTGCTGCTGCTGCTGCTGCTGCTGCGCTTCTGATTTGCATAAGCGACGCCGACCCAAAAGCCAAAACAGCAGACAGAGGGGGGAAAGAAAACCGAGGGGGAGGGGCGGTGATGGGTTTGGGTTTTTTCTTTTTTTGTTTTTGTTTTTTTTTTTGTTGCCAGGTGAGACAGGTGCAACAACAGTGGCAACATCTGCGGCAGCGGCAGCAGTGGCAGCTTCTGGCTTTTGGCCCTGAGTGCCCACATTGTTGTTGCCGCTGGCCAGGCCCAAAGATGAAAAATTTGAAAATGTCTTGAATTTTGCACCCGACCTCTTCTATTTCTTCTTCTTGTTCTTCTTCTGCTTCTGCCGCTCTTCGTCCTGTGTGAAATGTCAACTTGAATTAAAAGGATTCCTTATATAAGACAACACCCGCAGAATCCCCTCCGCTCCCTTCGTCACTCAGCTCCCTTCAGTGTGTTTGTGTGTCACAGTGTTCAAGTATCATTAAATGAAGTGGGTTTCTGCCAGTTTCGAGCACACTTGGGGAAAGCATATCCAGAAAACAAAGTGCATTCTGTGGCATCTTTGCTTGTTGTTCTATCTGTCCCTAACCCCCTTTTCTTAACCCGTCTGTCTGGTCACTCACTGGCAAAAACAAAAAATTATTCTAAAATACCTTTGCATCTCATTGGAACAAGACATTTCAATATAATTTGTCTACAACCAGTCATTTTAAACTAATTACTTAATAAGAATCCATTTTTTAAAGATAATAATTCTTTTTCTACGATCAAGAATGACAAAGGTAATTTGTTGTAAATCAATCTTTGGATTTTAAATAAATAGGAAAAAGTTAAAAGTTTGCTTTTAAAATAGTGCATATTATATCGAATATATTTATTTAAAAATGATTTAACTAGAGATCGATTTCGAGTTCCTCTTTTAAATAAAATAAACCAAATTGCTCATTTTGCCTAAGAAGAATTCGTCCATATCAACAACTAAAACATTTTCTATACTTTTTGAAAGCTTTTCTTTTTTCCTTGTGTAGTTATATCTGTCCTGTATATATATAGATATCCTTGATATTTTTATGCCAGGCACATTGCTATCCGTGACGTTTATTGTTCGCCGGCTGGAGGAGGAGCAAGAGGCCTTGGAGGATCTCCTCTTGGCGGCAGCGGCGACCCAATAGGCCAAATTTGCCATGACATCTTGAGATGTGTCGAGACACGCCTTGGGGCACAGAGCTCTCGGAGATCTCGCTTCCTGCTGCTGCTGCTGCTGCCGAGTGCTTCTTGCTTGCCACATCTTTTTGCGCAAATTTCAATTTGTGCACATTTCAATCACAAGTGCTCATTGGGGAGCGGAGGAAGTCGGCCCACCCGAAAACCACACTACACCACACTCTATACTCTATACCACCCACTAAGGAAAACCCCTTTTCTTGCTCCACCCACTGAATGTCGTGTTTGGCGCTCGTTTTAATAGTTTCCGTTTCCGCTTTGCGAGTTCAAAGCAATTTGATTTGCCTTCCAAGTGGCAGGTTCCTGTGGGCCTGGGGTAAATACACTAAAAGGGGTGGGATTCTGTAGGGGTGCTCATGGTGCTCATGGGGGGTCATGGGGGGTCATGGAGGGGGTCATGGGGGGTCGGGGGGGTCGAGAGAGAGTTGTGTTTGCGTTTCCCTGCGTTTCCAGTTTCAGGAGGTTAAACCCCTTTTTCCTCCCCACCGCCTTGCCTTCCACGATTTTCGGGCTACACTTACTTGCTCCGCGGTCTTTAGCAGATTCTCAATCTCAAAGCTGCTCGTACGCGACGTGGGCTTGGCCACGCCCAGTCCGCCTACGACCACGCCCCCGCCCACAGCCAGCTGGGCGGCCATGGCGGCTGGATCCACGAAGGAGGTGGCCGGCGAACTTTCAGCCTCCGGCGAGTACAAATCCTTGCTAGTGCCATCTGGAAATTGGAGGGGAGATAAGCGAATGTTGTGATTAAGTATTATTATTATTACTACTTTTATTATTATTAGTTTTGGCCCAACTCGTAATTAGTTGTGTGTGAGTGTGTGTGTGTGTGCCGGCGAACATCGATTAAATGCTCGTTTTTTCGCTTATTTGTTGCTTGTTAATTTTAAATTCCATGTTTGTGCAGTAAAACGAGAGCGAAGGAATTTTAATACTGGGTGAAATGGCACGCCTTCGCCCTTTTTGACTCCCCTGTTTCTTTTTTTTTGGCCGCCTGCCTTGTTGGCTTCCTGCCTCAAAGCCGAAAGTAATAACGACAAAAAACAGCCAGCAGCAACAACAAGCTGTAATGATTATTGCTGCAATGTGTTTGCCACAACGTCCACACACTCACGACGAAAAAGAGAAGGATACTGGCGGCGAAAAAGAGAGAGAGAGAGTCACACACGTTCTTACCCAAAAAAAGAATTTATGGCCCATACATATGAGGCCAACTCGCAGACAAACTCACTTGCACTTCCCAAAAAACATACCGCAACTATTTTAGGAATTTTTAATCTTAAAACAAGACACAGCAATTTCCTCAAAGAAGTCTTTTTTGGGGCATAAAACTAGCAAAGAGCTATCCAAACCGCAGATACTATATTGTTCAGGGAACAAAAAGTTGCTGAAACTTGTAAATATTGAGTTGCCTAACAATAAGTTACTAAGAATAGAGTATAAACAATCTGAACAGTTCAAAAGTTTAAATCCCAAAATGAACTTTCTTGGGAGTTTTTGGCGGGATAAGAAAGTGAGGACAAAATGCTTAAAGTTTTGAAGTTTATGTGCCGAAATGAACATATCCAAAATAACAAGCATAGTTTTATAAAAAAATTACAAATACCTTTTTTGTAAAGAGAGAAATTCATGATTAACTAGATTTTCTTTACAAGTCTTTGAATTTATAATATCTTTAAAAATTGCAATAGATTGTATGCTTTAAACTTTTGTTATTTTTAACCAAACTGTAGAATTAGATTTGATTAACTTATACAATTATTTCGCTGTGTACTTTTTGATATAAATATCCCTGTTCCCAAGTGTTTTTGTGGCTTCAACTACTACTTCTTGTAGTTTTTCCAGCACCCAGGAAGCATTTAAAAATCATGTCCTTGAGGAACGCCCTTCTGCCTTCTGGTTCCCAGCAGCTTTTGTCTTCTGTTTTCTTGGCCCTCCTGCATGCAAATTTGTTGGCAACAAATTTTATGAACGTTTTCCCTAAAATTTGACACCACAAAAACACAATGCGTAAGTGTGAGAGTGTGTAGTTATTGGAAATTGCCATCTTATAAATTTCAGTTTGCGGTCTCCCTGTGCAAATTGCACGTAGTCCTCGTCCTCGTCCTAGGACCCTAGGTCCTGCCAGAAGCCTGAGCTAATAACTCGTGGACGTGCCAAGCCGAATTTGTCGATGGCAAATAACTTGGCCAGTTTTAGTGGCTTTAAATAAAGTAAGACTTGCAGTTGTTTATGGCAGGAAGATACGCTCGAGGAGCTCTCAACTTGGGCCACTTTTTCGTCCTTGTTCTTTTTTTTTTTGCCAGGATACTAAACAACTTGGCACAAGTCCTGCATAGTTTCTTCGGGGTTAATGATCCCTTGAATGTTTTTCCCCAAGTTTTGCGGGGAAATCCGACTCCTTTTTTTTTTGGTTGGGTTAACTTGGCTGGCTCGACTCTTGGAAATGCATTTCCGTAATTTAATACAACTAATTGGCTGGATTGCAGGGAAGGTATCAATAAACTTGTTTTTTTGGTTGGCAGAAAAAAATTTAATTGAAAATTGGTGGCTTTCAAAGAAAACTCCCTGTAATCAGTTACTCTGCTTTTGTCTGCTTTTATTGTCCTTTTTAAATACCCCTCTTCTCTGGCAAACTTTTTAAGCCACCAGGATGTGTGTCAAAAAAAAAAAAAATGGAGAAATAAATATTAATACAAACGCACACACACACAAACACATATGAAAACAAGCTCTCACATATGCGTGCATATATAGAGAGTCGTTTAATTTCTGCTACAATTTTTGTTTTGTTGTTATATTTTTTATTTTAATTCTTTTTTAGTGTTCGTTCTGTGCCTTTTAATTGTTTGCCGCAACAAAAAAGTTTCATTTTGTGTGCTGCTGCGTTTGTTGGCTTTAATTGTTTTGTGTTCTTAGCCACTTCGGCTTTTTGAGTGCAGTGCAGCGTGTGTGTGTGCGAGTGTATGAGTGTGTGGGAGTGGGAGTGTGCGTGTATGTGCGCTCATATGTATGCTGCAGTTTGTAATCCTGTAATTATGTAGTTGCTTGTTGCGAAACGAATACACCCACACATACACACATACTCACTCACACAATCGCCTCTCTTTCCCTCTTTACTTATTGATGTAATTGTTGTTGTACATGCAGTACACCTTCTCTTTCGCACACCCCGCTATCGCCATCTCTTTCGCTGGCCGTTGTCTAGAGCCAGCATTTAATGCAAAAAACAAAAACAAAAAAAAAAGAAAATATAAATTACTTTAATGAACTTTACAAATTCGCATGCATGCCCGGAAATGCGCTTTTTCGTTTCCTGCCACAAACACACACACACACATTCGCATTCGCATTCAGGGATAAGGGATATAGGGCGGCGGAGGTATAGGTACGCACCTCAACGTCAAGGCTCGTATAACCGGACCCCAAGCTATACACGGATACGGACACGGACACGGAACCGTAACCATAGCCGTGATTAGTATGCTTTTGTTGTGCGAGTGGCTGATGAATGCTGCCTGTGGTTTTCCCCCGCTTTTCCTTTTCCCCCATTACCCCTGCCATTCCACTTTTCACCAGCTTAAACGTTAAATGTTTTAAAACGGCCGAATTTCCACACACAGCAATTCCGAGGTTGCCCATGGGAGAGAATTCTTTTGGTTTTGCCCGGCTGCATATGGTGCATATATGGATATAATCGTATTGGTGGGCGGTACTTACTCCAACCTGGAGCCGGAACAATCAGTCCAGTTATCATCTCCTCACTCATCACCGGCGGATCTGTGGGCGGCGGCGGACACACCAGCGAGTCAATCATATCGTCCGTTACCCTCATGATCCCCACTAGATCTGGTGGCTCAGTGCGCGAAGACCTGCGGATTGATTAAGGGGAATAAAGAGATTATAACGAGGTGCTCTGCGTATTAACATAATTTTCATCACTGACCCACTTTTCGTGGCAAAAGTATAAATACTGAGTAACAACTGGTCGAATTCTCATGGAATCGATATTAATTAAGATGTAAATTAGGTGTTTTTTTTTAAACCTTTGTCACACAGGTGAATAGGAAAGACACTTTTAAAAATATTTCAAAATAAAATATTAACTAATTGATTTGCTAAATGATATATTAAGCAAGATATTCTAAATTTGGTAATTTTTGTGAGTTTTTTAAATAAAGTTGCACTTTCTCAGGTAACACAATATTGTACGAGTTTCAAGTTTATGTGAGCGGGTTAGCGCCAATTTCGTGCTGTGTATTATTTGCATAATTTCCGTTTCTGACCCTCCTGACAAATCCAAACAAGTGAACGTATAGCGACACCTGGAATGGAATGGATTCCGGACTGCCGACTGCGGACTGCCGTGACCTTTTTCTGTGTCAGTGCGCGAAATTAGCAAAAGATGCGGAAAATGCTCCCAACGTGCATAATTTGAATGGACCACTGGCTGGGGAGCAGGTCAGGAGGTGAGTGGTGGGGGGTCAGGGGTCGGGGGTTAAAAGGGGGCGGGGCTCGTGGCTCCTGGCAGGAACGGGCGCATTTGGCTCTACAAACGCTTAGCACAAAAGCTTTTCTGTTTTCGTTTGCCATAAAGAGAAGCTAATTAGGCTATCAAAATGCCGTTCGGCTCGCCCGAAAGGTGATGCAAGTGGGAGGAGGGCGGTCGAGGGAAAGGTGGGAGGGAGTGGTTGGAAAATTGAGGGGGGTGGGGGGTTGTAAGGTTGGCTGGTCAACGATTCGGAACCAAGGGAACCCAACAGCGACCACGTTCTAACTGCATGACAAGCGAGAGAACGTGAAGTGGCAACGTGTTTGGGTTACGGCTTGTCTCCCCATTTACCCCCCCCACCGGTTTTACAAACGTTTTCCTTTCCCTCTCGCCCTCCGCCACGCTTCGCACACATTTTCCAGCTGCGGCTTGAACTTGTTGTTGACTTTGCTGAAAAACTATAAACCAAAAATGGTTCGAGAATGTACATGGAACATTTTTCGGTTCAAACATCTATTTTTTTTTTGCCCTCCGCTTTCCCTTTTTTTTTTTAGTTTTTTCCGATTTGTTGCGAAACAATTTCTGGCATTTTTTTGTGCTTTTCACCCATCGTCGAATGGGAAACTTCTTATGGTGTAACATCATCAAAAATTGGCAAAGCTTGTCGATTGTTGACATTCTGGGGTGTGTGAACTTGATGTGGCTTGTGGCCAGTTGGTTAAGAGCTGCCAAGAGTTAGAAAGCTTGCACAGAATGTTTTTAATTAACAACATCAGCAGCTGCAGCAGGTTGCGGTTTTATGGATTTTTTGCGCTACTCATTTATACTTTAAAGCTGACAACAGCCATTAATGAAGATCATGGAACGAAATCAGCAGAAATGGGTCAGTCAACTGTTTTGCCTTCGACTTTATGAGCCATCTAGCCATATAGCCAATGTAGCTGGTAAAATGGATAGAGATTTCCACACAATGGGAAAACAATGGAATGGATATTGCATTACGCTGTCACGATGCGCCCCAAAGCTAATTGACAGCGGGCCAGGCCGGGTGACTAAAATAGTTAATTAATCCGTGTAACTGAAATTTAAACAATGGCCATCGTGTGCGCCCACATGGGGCGAGCAATGGCCACATGGCGTATACTTTATCAACGAAACATCGAAACAGATGTGAAGCAGGGCATAAACAAGAACAATGACGACAACGACCAGTCTGTGTGGCTGTAGCTGTGGCTGTGGCTGTCATAACTTACCGCATCATCATGCTGAGCGATTGTTCCTCCTGCAGGACGCTCTCCAAGTACATCATATCTAGATCGGACACAATTGCGCCATTGATGACCATTATTTCGTCTCCCTTGATAATGCCTGCAATTGGTTGTGGATAGCGTTAGTTGTTAATGTGTATATATAAATCGTATATGATATAGGTTGAGTTTCTGCCACGGTCATTGTTACTTTTTCAGTCAGCCAATGTGGCACATCCCATTGGCTTAGACAATGGTTTCTGTTCAGTTCTGTTCAGTTGAGTTCTGTTCAGTTGAGTTCTGTTCAGTTGAGTTCTGTTCAGTTTAGTTCTGTTCGGTTGGGTTGGGTTCTGGTTTCTGGTTGCCTGTACAAGGCGGGCGATCTAATGCACCGGCTAGCAATCAAGGTGGTTCCATGGGACTGGAATCAATGTCTGACAATTGTGCGGTTGCCTGTGGACCACTGACATCTTTTATGTAACAAACGATAAGCGGAATGTCTTCAGCTGCTGCTTCTGCTTCTGCTTCTGCAACTGCAACTGCATCTGCTACTGTTTCTGCTGCTGCAGCAGCTTCAATGCTCGTAAAACAATAACAACAAGAGCATTGTGGTTTTTTGCATTGTTCATACGCCACGTTATCCCAGCGCCATCAGTGCACTGATCAAAATTATAAATCAGGAATACAATTCTTAGAGTTTAATTAAAGAGAATGTAAAAATAAACATTTATGTAAATTATAAAATATATTTTATATTGATTGGAAATATTAATTGTTTAGCTATGTTTGATTATAAAATATTATGTAAAACCATAATTTACTCGATATTTTATTTTTTTCTTGAGCTGCATTCATTTGTAGATAATTATCCATATGCTAGCTTATTTTCTCGCAGTGATTCCCTGCACTACGTTCGTTAGCATTTTCTACTTTGTCTGCATGACTCGTCTATCATGTGTGTTTGTGTGTGTGTGTGTGTGTGTTTTAGTCGCTGGGTGTGTTTCTGCAGCATTTATTCTAGCCATGATGTTGGTTACTCCGTGTTGCCTGCTTCGACCTGTCTTACTGCGGCCAATCCCCCAAACCCCTTGGAATGCCCCTTCGTTTGCTTCTCTTCCTGTTGACGACATGCATTCAGTTGCCTGCAGTTGCAAGTTGCCAGTGTCGCTTATCATTGTTGGTGCAGCAGGAGCAACATTTTCTTAAGGCAAAGTTCGATAGACATGTATATGTGTTCCGAGTCCGCCTTGTGGCAATATATTTCACCTGTGTTACACCTTCGTCTGTCTGTGTATTTTTTTCTTTTTTTTTTTGGGGGTAGATTGGAAAAGGGAAGATATCCCCCTGCATTTGTTACAATTTAAACGGATTTTTACATCTTAATGCTGGCAAGGCATGACACATGCGATTTACCATATAAAATGCACACAAATATATATGTGCTATATATGCATATCCATGGGGATGGTATGCAAGTGTCGTTCTGTACTTTATCCGCCGGATTATTTCTGGCTCTGGGAGAAGACAAATTTTATTTATCCCCCCTTGGGGATCCCTCTCCGCTTTTTACTCAAATTTCGCCTGGCATATGCATTGTCAACACGTTCGCTTTGCTGTTTTCCAGTTGGCCTGGCTTAAAAGAAGCCCGAGCAAATTGTTATTCCATGTTTGCCAAATGCTTTGCCACGCTTGTTTCAGCGCTAAACTTGCGCCACTCCACTCACTGAAAGTGCCGAACTTTGTGCACTTGCAGCCAGCCAAGAAAACGGAATAAGATGCAGTTAAGAACTCTGAGATGGATGGTGGGACAACAGCCAAACCGAGACTTTAAGACAAGTGCTTAAAGAAGCCGTTTGGCTTTCCTCAAGTTTTCCGCTGGCGTCTTCATCAGTGCCACACCGCATTTCCTTGGCAGTTCGTTACCAGTCCCACAATTAGCCAAGCAAAAGTGGCCAGAATTTTCCGCTCCTCAGCCACATTTGCATTTGAAAGCTGCGGTCAGGATTTGTTTTTGTTTTCGCATCGCCCCTTCATTGGGGGAACTTTTGTGCAATTCGGTCGTAAATGTTGTCTTTCAGCCGGTCCGAGCTTTGTTTTGCGGTTGCTGCTTAAGAGTTGCGTCTTTCAACATGCTAATAGCCATTAAATTCAATTGTGCCTTCCCCTTAGCCCCCGCCCTCATCTCTTCAGCCCTTCAATCATCTCCGGTTAGTGGCTAAAAAAGGGGCGAAGGGGGGGCTCACAAAGTTTCCTATTGCGTTCTGCGTTTTGCAAATGTAAATGCGAATCCTGAGTCCTTAATTTATGCATACACACGCCACTACAATGAGTGGGAGATATCCTCGCAGAGAGAGTTGGCCAGATAACGCTAGCGGTAGAGGGCTTAAAGCCCAAACACTTAAAGCCCAACACATTGTATACGCAATATTTGATGGCAAATGCTGCCAAAGCCAGGCAATCAGCATAGATATGCTGCTCTATTGATGCTGGGACACCAGGGTCTAATAAAAGCTCCAGTCGCAGAGACTAAGGCATAAAAATCTATATAACTTTGGTTTACTGTGCAGCATATAAATACTTTGATATGTGGGTAGTAAACAATTTTAATATGATTTCTGACCCACAATAACCCAACAGACTCCATTATATTATTACAAATAAATTAGATTAAATACTTACAATGTAATAATATGAGTACAAAACAACGAGCCACATGTCGTATACGTAATATGTTGAAGTAATTTCATTAAAAAAGTTTACCTAATTGACCCCTTTACTCGAGTTAATGCAGGAAGATCAATGTTATAACTACTTCAGTGCCAATTTGGCGTAATTTAATTAAGCTAAGGCTTCCTGCATTTCCCTGCCAACGAATGCAACATTTGCTCCATCGTAAAACTCATTAGCACAACTCCTTCCCACTTTGCTACACATCCCCCATTTCTTCGATTTTTGTTCGGCAGTCCAACTTTTTACCCCTTGTGGTTGGATTTTCTGTGCCTTTTCTGGTTTTTTTTTGTTGGGTTTTTCTTCCGCAGCGTACGGAGGCACTCCTTCCGGGGAATTTCGTGCGCATTGTTTCATGGATTTTTGATTCGTTGTCGCCTTCAAAACCAACCAAATGAGCGCCACTCGCACTCGACGTGCTTAATGAGTTTTCTGCTGTAACTGCAGCATGAAATGTTCTTTCGGTTCATCACTTTGCCAAGTGCAGCACTGCAGTTTTCTCACTTTTTGCGCACCCCACCTGGAAAAGGGGGGAAAAATGGGCGACTGCCGCAACTCCTGTCAGTTCCATAATTTAAGGCGCTGTTCTAGTGGCATTTCGACTACATCCACTTGACTCCCTGCCGTTGTCGTCGTCGTCGTAGTCGTCGTTCCCGGCAAATGCAAATGCCAACTTAAGTTGATTTTAAGTGATAGAAAAACAAACTAGGAAGGGGGATGAGGGAAGAGGGGGGAAAGGGGGGTAAGGGGGAGCTGAGGTAAGCGGACTGAAGAGCTGCCCGGTTGAGACGACGGCTCACTCTCGAGGAAAACCCCTTGAAGGACCTGCAAGCGCCGCCGCCGTTGCAGCCGCAGCCGGAGTAAACCATCGCCCACACCTGGCAAACATTTCGAGTGCGCTGCTCATCACCATCATCGTCATCGCGGCCCCACCTGCTGGAAAACCATTCATTTCCCTCCCCCTCTCTGTAACGGCGCCTGTAGCGACCAGATAGTTTAGTTCGGCCTAGAAGCATGCTTTAAAATATATCTAAGCTCGGCTTAGTGTCTTAGCTAATTACACATATGTTTGATAAATCAGCTGTAACAGAGATGCAGTGGGAAGCTCGTTTTAGACATCTGGTGTTATCATCTGTGGCGAACTTCCGACCATACCCTAGCCTAACACTACCTATATTTGGTAAGGTTCTTTTCTGATTGACATCCGATATGAGCAGACGTGCCAATTTTTCTCAACGTCAACAAAGTTTTGTTTAAATACTATATATTGAAATCGTGGAAAATAATAAGAGGAATAAGTGCAGCGAGCCTAGCTGAGTAATATTTTTGTGATTAATTTTGGAAAACTATTGAGATATATATATGATATATATATTTCTCACGTGGCCATCAATACTGGCATCCGTGGGAGCTCCCCTTCAAGACAGTGGGGGGCATGATTTAATATCGTGCCCCAAATTAAATCGGACAAGAAAAATGAGGAGTTTCAACTGGAATTAAATTCAAGAATGCGGCATTAAAGAAGTGATTTGGAGAGATGTTTAACCCTCTCTACCCACGGCAGCAGCAGCAGCAGATTTAGTATAGCCAAATATGGACACAAAAGGGAATATATAACCTGGAATTGCTTTTAAGCCGCTACTGCGATTTTTTTTAAAGTGAAATATTATAATTAAAAATTTGAAAGTTTTGAAACGTGCCAAAGTGAAGAAAATTTAATGAATCAAAGATAGCAACATGCCGTAAAAATCAAGTTTAAGTGATATTTTCTAAAGTCTGAATGATTCAGTCTAAAACGTAATATTTAAATTAAATTAAATTTAAAACTTAATTTTTCACGAGTGGAGTTATTTACGCATCGATTTTGTTTTGGAAAATTCGCTCAACTATGACTTAAAAGCGATAAATTAAATATTTATTTTTTTTTTGTAAATTTAAATATAATTTGAAAATAGCAACTTCTGATAAGAAACAATAGTGAATATTAAATTTACAAATGTGGTTAAGTGAAGATATCACAGTCGCTTCTCAGTAAAATATGTAGGCCTAAAAGGGTTCCAAGTTAAAAGATTTTTATAGAATAGTTTTGTGTTTTCGAGCCCCAATTTCACCCTTTACAGCCACCTGCCCGGGAGATCGATCTTTCGCCGCTGGAACAACGTATAAGCTGTGAGTTTATTATTCTCATTATTGCATTTATATCTATTCTATTTATATCTTATTGCGAAATACTCTATGAAATAATTTTTAACAATCTACTTGAATGAAACTGTGAATTTAAAAGAACCCTGAACCGATAGCCTCACTAAACTAAATTAAATTAAACAAAAAGATATCAAACAGAATGAAGATGATTTAGTGAAATAAAAAAATAAATTAAAGCAATGAAATTTA